AGCGGCGATCCAATCACAATCGGAGATGCTGCCCACAGCTTTGAACGTTCTGGTGTGATTATTGTGATCTGCATATTCTACATGTCTGTGGGCTTTCTGAAGGCTGAAGTCTACAAAACACAAGCTCTGTCAGGTGCGGGACACTTGTAACACTTTAATTTTGTTAGAGTTCTTTTGGAAAGTGAAGTCATTTTGCGACATTTAGTTTGAAAATGACCCTTGAGCGCAGAAATCATGCCATATTGACGGTTTTTACCAAAGATCTTGCCCCATCGAAGACAATCCATCAATCACAAATTTCCAATCGTTATCAGACAACTCTATGACCTCTTACCCATGTGCTGATCGATATGTGTGTCTCGGTTATCACCTATGGCACGAAACTCACCAAAAAGGCACAAAGTATTGTGTTGTGATCTCAAAATAACTTGCAGCCATTTGCTTCATGCATACAGATCCAATGCAAGTCAACTTTATTTCTTGAAAACATGGTAAGAAACTCATGCAGCACTCACTCCTTTGTGCCGCGCAGGTGAGCATGCATGTTTTAAAATGCCCGGGTTGAACTGAACGTCAAGAGAATCTAGTGATTTTAAAAGAAAGAAATCTTTAGGCTTACGGGCCATCTCTTCAGATTTTGTCCCAAAAGTCGTTCCCTAATGATTTCGAAGCGGCAACACACAATCATGTAATTGCTCATAATGATTTGTATACTTCATGGAGACCAATTTCATTTAATTGATACACCAAGGGCAGGGGGGTCATTTAAATGGAATCGGGGTGACCCTACAAACCCCTACAACACCTCCAAGAGGGAATTGACAAAATGGGGTACTTTGTGGGACCGCCCCTAGTAGAACCGGGTTGCCGACCGGCGCTGGTCTGGCAACGAATCTAATGTAAGGGGGGCGGTCAGAGGAACCCCTTTTGTCAAATGCACCCCCGGAGAGGACTCCCTTTTGTCACAGAGGACACCTTTTTGTCAAGATATCTTACAGCGAACCTCCTTTTGTCATTTTCCCTTGTTTTAATGTACGGATTGGAGCATAGCATCTTATGCATGCTGTTAATCAGTTGCAATTGCCCAGAAACAACTTGCACTTGAGGGAGTGCTCCAAAACGCAAGATTTGTCGTTGTTATGTTCTTTTTTTGTGAATTTACATGGAAGGTACATGGCACACAGTATCTGGTGCAAATGCGTCTGTCACGAATACGTGGCGTTCACGGAGAACAACAGAAAATGTCGCCGCATTCTCCCACCTCTTCGACTCCTGAAATATCCCCTTTGCTGGCCCAATTTCGCACCAACATTGCGCCGTTTTTTCTATGGCTGGAATGCGCTCCCTCAACCCGCTCTTGGTGAAGGCAGGGGTGAGCAGCCTTTTTAGCTCCATGCGATCTCCCCCTGGAGAGCGTTCAGCCTAGCGCATCGTTCATCTTCAATGCCGCATATTGCATTTGCCCACAAACGTACCGTAGCCTTCATTTCCGGACATGAACGTCATCAGTGACCAGGCTTGTTATTTATGGCGTATACACAGCGTGGATTTTCGTATTTAAACGCAAAAATAATATGTAATGATTACACTTCTACATGTAAAAGCGCGTAAGAATACGAAGCCCTGCGTACATAAAAACAGTATGCACAGGATCAAAGACTCCAGGTGGTGGCAGCTGGACACGACAGAATGGGCAGGAACGGTCGATGATTGTTTCCCTTGCCAAGGGCAAGGTGGACTGTGTTGCGGGTGCCCCAGAGACTGAAAAGTATTTGCGGCTTCATCACGTAACCTGGGCGTGTCAGCGCGCGGCAAAACTTACGTAAATATTGCCGACTTTGTGTTTACAATTATGTCCACGTAAAAAATCAAGTACAAAATGGTGTCACAGGCGTGAATAACGAGCCTGTTGATGATTTTAATGTCCAGAAATGATTGGCATTGGATAAACCTCCAGCCGATCAGTTGCACCCGGCAAGATAGGGTCCCTTGCAACCGGCCAATGATGAGCACTTCGCGCATTTAAAACGGGTGTTCGTTCTGTCGTCCACAAGACTGCCAGTGAGGTCACTGTTTGAAAACTGCAGCGCCACTGGTTTGCACAATTAGCAGCGTTTCATCTCACGCGCAGAAGTCGCCAAAGCCTCGCGAGAGTTCAAGCACTACCGGCAATCCAAGCGGGGCAACTTGTGCCATCGTATTTTTGCTTCCTTTAAGAGTAACAATAATATTGTGTCCCGAGTGCAGCATAGAGTGCATTACACGGCTTCGGTGCGCAAATCTGACGCCGCTGAGGCGCATGTAGTTGTTTGTGGAAGTAGGAGCTGTCGCTTCAACACTGGCGTTAACCCAAAAAGAAGTATGCGATGTAGTATATAAGAATTGTGTGGCACCGAATCGTGTCTGCGCACTCATCATTCTTGAGAATGAAATAACTTGCACCAGTGAGTTGCTCAGAATCCTTCACATAGGGCTGCTTCAAAAGTCCAGGATCATAACCAAGATCTATGCACATACAGCAAATGCAGTCCCATGAAGTGACATCAAATTTTGTACGGCCTTTCCTCGGCCATTATTAATATAAATCTGCGACCATCATATTATTTTGTCCACACAGGAGCTGGGTAGTCCACTTGCAAGTCAGTGCCTGGCCAGTTCATCCGGCAATCATTGCCTGGCCAATGCACTGGTCTACGTCTCTTTCCTGGAGATTTCCTCATGAAACGACACGCCGTTACCATTTCACGACAGACGCGTGTTTCATCAGAGGTTTCAGACACGAAAATCTCCCTTGCTAGTTCCAACTGTAGACCAATTCAGCGGCAAGCTATTGTCAATCAATGATTGACAATCAGCATGAACTGGACACGCACTGACTGAAATCCCCTCAAATCTATTTGTTTCGAAGTGCAAGCTGAGCCAAATTCTGAGTGTTGAAATTATTTCCAACATGGCACAGCACCACAACCGAAGTTTCCTGGCAAAGAACTGCCATTCAGTGCATTTTCATTCAGCACAGGATATCATGCGGGCATGGAGTGCGGCGACAGTACATTTGACAGTATGACAGTACATTTGACTTCAGCAATTGTAGTGCATCTGTACGGGCATTAATGAACACCCAGTCACTGCAGCTTTCGGAGATTGCCGTTCCCTGCGATGAGCACCACATCTCGCCCAAACAGACTCGTCCTGCTGACAAGCCCATACCTCCTACGAGGCCTGAGGCCCGCCGCTGCTCCTCCCCGCCCAGCCGCCCTGTGCCACGGACCCGACTTTGCCACTGGTTCAGCCATTTTCACGGGCGGACCCCAGCTGCAGTTCCCAGAGCGGCCAGCGCGCTTTGAAGGGGCAGTTCAGTAACCATCTGGTGTCGTCTGCGAGTGCGGGATGCACGTGGGTTCCAAGCCGCACCGGCATGTCCCCTCCCCAGGCATACCTTGGACTTACTACTACAGTTGCAGATAAGGATAAGTGATGATCTGATAGCAGGGGCACATTCTGCCAGTTCGTGAGCCACTCCAGACATCTCCGCACAATTTGAGAGGTACGTCAAACGCAGCTACATTTCCTGCGAGGACCCATCCCTGCACATGCCACTGCGCCAACACTCAGGGATCTGTGTCGAGCTGAGCCATGCCTGGACACCACCGGGCAATTCACGCGGCAACAAGACACCGTGCAGCCACAAGTGGTGATTGCTGTGCCCACCGTGCCCGAGGGAGTGTGTTTGTTGTATTGCCACATCTTGCTAGGAGAGGTGGATGTACACTGTCAAAAGAGTAACGCAATTGCCCACTGCGCGTTGAGGTACCAATGCTTGCACGATGTGTACGTCTCCGAAATCTGGACATATGTTTGTGCACAATCAACTGATGTGCAGAAACCGTGACACCTGTACCAATGCATGTTGGCGCGTCGTAATTTTGAACCAAGAATAAGTTTCCCAATCTGCCGGGATGCCGGCATCAGGCACCATCTCGAAAGCCGACAGCGGCTCAGTGCATTACCGTTAGGGATAGTCAGAAACGTCTCTAATCAATGCAAAAAGTATTACAGCAAGCTTGGTGCACATCGGTTTGGCAGATATGGCTCAATGTTCTAAAAGGTTGGAGCCGGCAGTTGCTATATCCTAGCAATGCAGCCGGTTCTGCGTAACTACACTCCAGGTAATCATTTCATTACAATTCAGTTCCAAATCTGTTGCCTTCATCTGCCACCAAGACAGCACCTTGCTGATCAACATTCCTCGCTGGTGGTGGTATGAACTGTCAATGGCCATGCTTATCTATACAACAAGACAAACTTGCTGCACATACACTTATTTAGCCATCGGGCGTTGTTATTTTGCGCAAGTTGTCCTGCTCTAAAGTACGGAACAAAGGCAGTTCTTTGTTTTCCTCCCTAACAAATCGCCTCCTATAGAATGAACATATCTCAATCAGCCCACTCTATGCCTGTAGTCGAGTCGCACTAATGGGCCCCCGGCCCCTTCCCCACCAGATCACTGTCAAAATCTCTCCAAGCTGCTCAAACGAGTACCCGATAATCCCCTTGTGCACTAGCCAGACGTGTAGTAACTATAGATTCAGGGACAGATCGCAAATCCGGGTCACCCAGAAACAAACAATTGCGCAAAGGCACCTGTTCCAAAACTTTGTCTGGGAAATATTTCCTCTGTGGCAAACCCGCCCTTTTGGGATGCGCGTCCAAGACACATTAGGTAGACACGGTCGTTCAACGACTCCCACGCTTCTGTTCCCCGGTACAGCTAGTTTGAGAATTTATGCCTAAACAACTTTGAGTTTAGTGACAACGTTCAACACGCCCAAGCGTCGCTGCCGGCCGTGAGTGATTCCCCACATACCGATCTGCCAGGGGAGTCTTCCTGCGCCCGGACAATCACGTAAATGCACCGCCACACAGACGTGTCGCCATACCCCGCTTGTGGTCTGCAGACCTGCGCTGCCCAGTCATGCTCAACTGTCCTCGGGCAGTAGCTACATCCACACTCTGATATTCATCAACAGCCACACGATGACCATCACGGGGACGAAAAGGAGCATTTGCCTGCCCATTGTGACGTCTGTCAAAGCTTCACGTCTCCCCTCGACGAACCGCATCCGGTTTTCATACTCCACAGTCCACATCACGTACGATGGCACGAGCATCCCGAGGACAAAGTGCGACATGGTGACGACGCTCCGGCAGGCGTCATAGGGCGCGGGCAACGCCTTGTCTTCAAACGCGCCTCCCGTCAAAATGGCATTAACGATCCGCCAGCTGATAATGACCATGGGACCGCTCTCCGCGGCACTGACGGCCACGGCGCACATGTTGCCCACCATGAAGACGCGCATCGCCACAACGGAGGCGAAGCTCACCACCAGGTGGTGTTTCACGAGGAGGGGCACGCCAATGGTGGACAGCAGCATGGGCAGCAGTCCCGTCTGCATGAACAGGAATCGGAGCATCGAGAGAGGCGTCTGGACCACGATTGGCAGGGAGGCCGCATCCACCACCTGAGAGAAGAGGAGGACGATTCGAGTCACGATCGCCATGGTGGTCCTCTTGCGGCCCAGCCTATCCCTCTGCCAGCCAAAGCCCAGCCACTCCACCACAGCGGCCAGGGCGACGCAGCACAGCGCGTGCAGGCCGTGCTTCCCGAGGCCATGCTGCCACAGCCGGACGCAGAGGAACACCGGAATGACGCTCGCCCTCACTGTGCGGAACAGCAGGTCGGCGCTCTCGAAGTACTTCGCCGCGAAGCGCCTTGCGAAAGCGGCCTCGACGGCGGGGTTGGGCCACCACAGGAGAGTGAACGGCATTATCATGGCTCACTCCCGCGCTTCAGCCCACTCGAACAAACGGGAACCGCGTAAAGGGCTCTCCAGCGGCGCCTCGCCCGCTGACGTCCGCTCCAGCGGCCCAACCTCCTATCCAAGGAGCGGTGCGCCCACCCGCCAGCGCGCGCACCGCAAGCCCATGGGATGGCCGCCCGTGCGCTGAGCCGGCCAGGACGCCGCGCAGCGGGCTGCGCCGGTCGGTCCGTATGTCGGAGCTTCGATTGAATCCGATGCGCCCGCCTCGGAGGCTGCGCGATGCCGGAGAGCCTGCAAAACAGTACATAAGATGTCATTACCATGGCGGCGGTGAACGCATTGACCGCGGCGCACCGTGGTACGTGCAGATTCCACTCATGCTCCCACCTTGAAAACCCTTGCCCGGCATGGCGGCTCACCCATGGATCACGAAATTGGCAGCGGCCGCTGAGTCTCCCTGATAGTACCGGTGATGCGGCAGGGCCTGCCCAAGGGCCGCTGACATCGTGTCGATCACAGGGCGCAATACGACAGCGTCATTTCTGCTCCAAGGCGTTGCGAAGAGCGATAGGGAGCTGACTGCCGCTGCGGCCTTCGCCGCCACGTCAGGCAACAGTGGACGTGCCTGGAGAGGGGTAGCGCACCACCCTGCCAAAACATAGAAGGGATCTCATGAACGAATGCAGGGGAAACAGTGTACTGAAACCTATGGGTAACAGTGCTTACATGTATGTGGTACAGCGACTAATCACCCTTCTTATAGGGGCTCAGCTTCCTGGTGTAGCTGGGTGTCAGCTGGTAGATCAGCTCACGGCAACTATCACGTGCTTTGGAGCCTCGATGTAGTGGCCACACCCAGTATATTGCGCCGCCTTCACAGCCCCATGGACGCAGCAATTGTACCCCTACACAATGAGCTGGCCGAAGCCACGAGCATCACTGTCACGAGACAGGTGTTGACGCTGCATGGAGGGCTCGTGCTGCCAACTTTTCGTGCCCTTCTGTGGCCAAGCCTGTGGGGTCAGCCAACACAGGTAGTGTAAATTGTGTGGTCCATTCTGAGACCTTGGAAGGTCCGCAGAGCGCTGTCCAAGCCCTGCTGCAATAGCGTGCTTGTAGAGCAACTGAATAATCAAAATTGATTATGTTCAAGCCTCATATTGCAATCCCACTTGATTGCACAACCCCGTGTGCCCCAAACTGTACTGCCATTAACCGAATGGCACTTCTTTTGCTGCGTTTGAAGGTGGATATCCCCTAAAGACTGACCATTTTGCCGAAACGTCGTACCTTGGTCTTTAGGGCCCCAATGGCTTTCAACATTTGTGCCCTCGCGTTACTTACGATGTTGTCATTGCGGCCTGTTCACAGTCTCTGGCACATTGACTGGGAGAACAATTGTAGTGTTCATATTCACTGCGACAAATGGCGGTCATTTGAGCACCATTTGCATCCTTTGTTCTGGGTGTTGTAGTCCGCACGTGGAACACAAGGAAGAACAATATTCAGCCCAGTAGAGCCGCTTGATATGGTTGGGGAATGAAGACATGTTGTAAGCAGGGACATTTTCATGTGGAGGAAGCCCAACATTGTCTGGATCAAGAGCAAAAAATGCCTCTTACTTTATAAGCACAATGTGCAGCAGTTCATCCTTTGATGTTGCAGGCTACTGCTTGTCCGATGATGAAAGACTGGTGGCGACGGATCTGGAAATGAATCAAATTTCGCAACTACGGAAGAACTACATATTCTATACACATCGATAAATCTGGCTAATCGCTGAATCCAGCTATCGAGACATCGAGCTGCATATTTTCCTTGAGACTAAGGATGGCAGCAAAGAGATTCACGGCATCTTCATTCTAATATGACTCCGCCCCTGACCAGGGCCGCGCTTACTTCAGACACGGTGTTTTGGTCGGGTTGCTGATTCGCTATCTCGATTTGGTTTACGCCGTATGCTGGATTTCTTGAAGTGTGAACAGGATTTCCCGGCTAAACATGCCAAAGAACATGGGCTCGTTATCAATGTGAGCTTGCTTGGGAAAAGCTGCCGATATCGATGGATACGACAATCTAAAAAAGTTAAGGGTGCCGGGGCTGCATGGTGCTTTATATTATTGTAATCAATAGCACGGCGCATCCGGTGTTCATCCAGTGCATGCATGAGAACATCTCCCCGGAAACTTCGTTCCATCAAACGCTCCAGGGCTGGATTAGGAGCCATTTCAGGCTCGTTCATGTTCTTTAGGCGGCCGCCAAAACACCCATGATAAAACTAAGGGAAGACGCTCTGTCGCCTTCGGTGCGCTTGGCGTCATTTCGTTAGCGTCAATCCTTATGTCGAAGCCAGGGTGACTCAGCAACATTACCTAACAGTGGTATTCAACTTCGAGGTGTTTCTAAGGAGAAAATGAATGGAAGTTGTGCTCATTTCAGTGGGTGAAAAATGGGATTCTTAATGCCACTGTAAGTGAGGCGGGCAGCCTCAATGGCTGCAAATTGATCCATTCTAAGGCCTTCTTTGAAGATCGAAAACTTGCAGCAGGCTTAGGAACATATCAAGGATTGTTTGCCAATTATCAATGGTGTTGTTGGGCACCTTCCTTCCTTGTGTCGATTTTGTGTCGATTACATAATATCTTACCGTCACAGGTCAGGACCAGCTCTCCCCCCCCCCGCCCCCCTCCCCCCCCCTTCCCCCCCTAGCGTCAATTTGAATCTAAGCGCACCAAAGTGGACATAGTGTCTTCCATAAATACCATAAAAATGTTGTGAGGACTGTGGCAACGAATACTGTGGAAAACAGAAACTGCTTTAAAAAAAGGTGAAAGGACAGCGAAATCCACGATGGGCCTACGGTTTATCCACGATGGATAGTTTGTGACGTACTGGGTGTATTTTTGCGATCTGATGGACTGGACTTGTTGAAATCGAGAATATATCAGCAGCAATTGTGATACTGCACTCAAGATTGCGATATCTTTCCCCTCAAATATTGGTCACCTCACAGCAGACCTGCAGCTTGAACAAAAATTTCGATTTTCAGCTTTTCCATGGCATGGTGGAGAGCCCCTTTTTCGGAATTTCGTTTTAGACGTCCTTTTGTTTCTGCAAACTTTGCAGAAGATGCATCAACGCCTAGCAAATTTCCAGATGATCTTGTGTTGCTTGCTTTTCATGATTTTGGCTTGCAGGCGGCGCTCGGATCGTCCGCCCATGCTCTCGGACAAACATTGTGGGGTTCAGCAGAAGCACGTGCGCATGGGGCCACTGCCCGACATCACCAACTTGGTCCAATGAACTTTGCTTTGTCATATGACAAACGTAATGAAAGCAAGAACTAAGACACGCCCAACACGCAAGCTTGTCAGGATCGGAGCGTCACTGGGACCTATCCCTCGCCTGTCTTGCTCGGCCATGTTGAATGTTACAACAGCAAGGCATTTCTATGTACAGCGACCAGATTCATTCGTTGGCTCTGAATCCGTTCTTCATGCTGACCTAGCCTACCCACCCAGTGCTCGATTTTCGATGGAAGCCACAACTAATTCTGGCTTTGCCTTTGCTCCAATAAATCCCACCTTAACACCACCTTCCCACCTATAATGTGAATCTGTCATAGATGAGTTCCCACCCCTTATCCATTCCTGCGGGCCGACACCCAGGCCTGTCCGCTGCCTTGCAAAACTAGGACTTCTCATCATGCTGTCGGACTTCCCCTCGGGTTCCCCTTGAGCTACCCCTCCCATCGCACCTTAATGCGCATTTCCGCGCCATTCCTTTACGGCTTCTTGAGTGATCTCACATGCCCAGATTGACATCTGCAGTCCGGTCAGCAACAGCTGACGTCCCAGTATGCGATTATGCTCCAACAAGGGATGAAATGAATGTGAAACCCCATGTTCTTGCCATCTTTCAAGTGCGCGACCAGTTGCCACACCTCTTGTCGTTTTCGTCCAAAGACCAACCAGAACAACACTCGCAGGCTCAATTCCCCAGCACGCCATTGCTGGGAAAGCGACCCCATGACTGGCACGGGTGCATGTGCGCAGCAGCTGACGCATCCCTGAATGGTCAGGCGTTATTGCGCCCAACTGTTGCCAGCCGTACAGCCTGGTTGACCTGATTATAACCATGCACCGCGCTTTGGGTGCCAACCTAACAGAAGAATTTGCTTTCCTACCTGCATTCCACATAGTCGCTTTGGCTGCGCCCAACATTCTCGCGTTCGGAAAGCAGCCTTTCCCAATCTGTTCTGCTGCAACGGAAGCGCTTTCCTCAACAGTTCGAAAACCCCTCGTCTCGCTTGTTCACCAACAGCGGCAGTTCGTTTGGGCCCGCGAGGGGGATGTAGTGCATTCCGGGGTCGGTGTCCATGACCTTCACGTCGTAGCCCCTGGCCAGCACCGCCAGAAGGATCTTGGTCTGCATCGCCGCCAGGTGCCTCCCGATGCACATGTGGGGCCCCACGCCGAAAACGATGCTGGACTCCGCGGCGAGGCTGTCCCTGGCCAGGAACCGCTCCGGCTGGAATTCACAGTGCAGGGGCCAGCTGTCGTCCTGGAAGCTTGCGGGCGTGGTCATGCACCCCATGACCATCCAGTCCTTGGGGATTCGGCGGCCCCCGAGCTCGAAGGTCCTCGCCGCGATCTTTGGCGTGGCGGCGCCGGGCGGCAGCATGCGGTTCACCTCCTTGAAGACGGCCTCCGTGTACGTCATGGCCGCGACGGACTTGGCCGTGAACTCGGGGCCGAATTCGGCGACAATTCGCGCCTGCTCTTCCACAATTTTCCTCCACGCCTGCGCGTGCGCAAAGTGAATTCGTTGCGTCGCCTTGCACGGCGCGCGGCATAAGCGGCGGCCAAAATCCAGTGAGCGTCGGCTGGGCGTGTAAGCGCGAGCCGCAATGCCACATGTGGCAGAGCCCACACTCTGCCTGAGGATTGAAGGGGACCATTTCGCGCATCGCGTGGCGCTACAACTGCTTTGTTCGCAGCATATGACACACACATCAAAGTTCGGCAAAAAGGTCAAAAGTCCTTGTGGTGGAACAGAGACCTATGATAAATGCATGCGCTGCAGATACGTGCAAGTCATTTTGCAACAGCCGTTCCTACCTCAGGATGCTGACCAAGAACCAGCAGTGCCGTCGATAGAGATGAGATGGTTGTGTCGTATCCTGCAAATGCGATGGTGAGAACGTTGTCTTTGATTTCGTCAATTGTGAATGCATCCCCGTTCTCGTCACGAGCGGACCTCATGGCCGACAGGGCACCACCCGTCTGAGGATCTTCTCGCATTTGACCAATCCCCTGGCACAAGGCGACATTTCACATGTGTGAAGAGTGCACGGAATGCCAGTACGAGGATTTGTGAATCAGAAGATTGACACAATCATCTATACCAGAGCACGAAATCAGAATAATGCATCGATTTGGTTGAAACAAAACGAAGCGCTGAGTAGAGAATCAAATGCACCAAGCAATATATTGGAACAAATGGTCGGAATTGGGGATTCACGGATGAAATGAATGTGGCAGGGCTTTACACAGTCCAAACATTGGATCGAGGTGACACAGCATATTATATTTCATTGTGCCGCTCGCTTCACCATAAGTTAATCCATGCCGCAAAAGGCTTGAATCATTTCATGTTCCGGGATTTCACCTCTTGCACGATGTCTCTAAGCTTCTGGCGAGCCTTGAGAGCCTTTCCAAATTTAGTGAACGGCAGATTGACCCACAGCGAAGTGATCCCACGAACGTAGATTTGGAACAACTCAAGCATGTCAGTCCTTGAATGCCCTGCAAAAGGGAACCTGATACCGATGGCGGCCTCCGTCACAACGCTGAAGGTATATGACGATAGCTGCAACATGAGCATTTCCAGACACAACAGTCTCAGTGTTTTGATGGAAAGATGCATGTTGTGTATATACATGTCCAGGACATGGTCATGACCCAGGATAAGACCACCCATAAACTGGCATGTGACGATATCCTCGACCGTATTCTCGTCATATTCTCGTGATATCCCAGCATATGGGGTGGCCATACCCTGGATACAGAATGTCCATATCTACGATATGGCCGTATTGTGGATGTGCAGATCTGGAATATGGCGCCCATATCGTGCTGGAACGTTGACTAACGGCTGCAGGGTTTCGACCAAAGGTGATAGCAAACTCGGTATGTTAAGACCAGAGTCCATCCACAAATATATTTGCGCATAAGCAAAAAAACGAACTGAAGAAAACTATTAGCTCACTGGCACAAGCTGCAGCTTACAGATTTATTAGGAAACGGTAACCATAGCCAGTGGGAACAGAATGGATTGCCATGTTGTTGGCTCATCATCAGGATAAGTCGATTTCAACACCCACAAAACTGTAGACCATTTACGTTTTCAGTCTTGACATGAACTGCAATCCACCACCAGGGTGCCATCGAGCTCTGCATTCGAAGCCACATTGTGTAATCGAAGTTATAGCAAGATGTACTAATTCTGTCATAGTTCGGAACTGTACTAATGTGCGACTCCAGCTCGCTAGTTGCCGGTTTGTTCCTGGAGGTGTTATTGGCCAAGAGAATGCGTAACAGCGAATGTGCCGGGCGCCAGATAAAGGCACGAGTTTACCGCCATGGAGACTGGGAACATCTCCGATACTTGTTATTGAAGCGATCACAGACAAAACTGGCGAGGGAGAGACGCGAATTCAATAACACTCGACATCAAACATACAATTTGCTGCACTTCAGACGATTTTGTCACCATTTCATCCCCCGGTGTTGATTGGGGCTCGAGGAGGAGGCGGGTTGCGCATCGCATAACAAAACGGTGAGACGCTGATACGAGTATGGTCGTGAGCGCGCCTCAACAGGCATTTGATTACGTACTACTGCTGCTGTAATTTGAACTGATTGAGCATCGTCGACAGCCGAACGCATAACAAGGTGATGAGGCATTAGGAATTGCGCTAAGGACATGGATCAGCGGGCTGGATATAAAGGGCAGAACTCAAATGGTCCCTTTGCTCGGCTGCAATCCATTGCCGTGGATTCGAGCCCACGGTACCCATTCAGGGGTCGCCAGCCCTCTACCCTGCCTGCCTTCGTCACTGCTAGTACGGATTGGGGGTACGCATCAATTACTACAAACCCATATTCTTGCACCAAAGTGTTCTTCGTTTTCTTAGACAACTTTTTTAAACTTCCGCTTGAACCTACAACATAATTTATTGTAAGAAGCGTTCGCGTGGTATGTAATTTGAATGTAATGATCATTCAAGTGGTGCACGAATTTGAACCATGTACGGCAGCGTATTCAAGGAGGTCCAGCATCAGCACACAATTACCAAAACGCTGTATGTTCAACCCTTAGACCTCATGCACACAAGCAGCGTTTGCCAAAATTCAGAACGCATGTATGCCTGCTGAGCACATTGGGCGCATTTTGCATGATGCATTTGAGATATTTCCCTCACCTCGTGTACAAAATCGATTGCTCCCTTGCGTGTCCAATCCATGCAACACTCTTCCGCAATTTTGGCAATTCCTGGAATATGAGAATTCAAGGCTGCCACTGCGAAAGAAGGGCCCAACAGCTGCCTCACTCGTTTGTGCTCGTCTCCTGCGTCGAATGGAAAACTGCATCAGGGTTTTTGACGCTATTGACAGGCGAGGCTCGTTGCATTAGGGAAAAAAGGGCCAATAACACTTTTGTGAACACACATAAAGCACATTTCATCAAAGCTCTGCACGCTGAGAACACAAAATAACACAAACCCGAAACTTTGTACACGTTTGAACACGTGTTATTTGGCCCTTTTTTTCCTAGTGTTGTGTGCTGAGCGAGCATCGCAATTGGTAAATCAAACACCGTTCAGAAACGACTGCTTCACTGCGGCATCCAGGTGGGAGAAAAAAGACGGCGTCGAATTGGATGGATGTTCCTGGAAAATTGAATGTGAAGGGGAGAATGATAATGATCAAAATATGCAGCTCTGTCATGTTGTGATTCAAATGCGCAGCATGGCGGAGCTGCAAATTTTCGATTGCCATTATTACACACAATGGAATCTGTTGTCACTGGTAAAAGCAGCTCTGTCAGCGCAGCAAATTTCAGCACAGAATACCATTCTCCTGTCCCACCAAATTATGTAGAGTCCCGCTCAGACAATTTACATCCAATTAAAAATGTCGCCAGCCATATCTAAAACAAGAATAACCAAATCTTAATTGAAATCGATTTTCAGCTCCATTTCCTCCTTGGTTTTGTTTAAGAAAACACGGATTTTTGACCTGAGAATTTTGCACAATTAATTGTGCAAAATTCTCAGGTCAAAAATCCGTGTTTTTTTGTATCAATATTGATACAATAAAAATAGGATAGCCCACTCTACATAAGTCTTCAATAGAATACGTTGGAAAATAGCAAACTAGTACTTGAGCTCTTTGACAATTGAAAAGCAACATCCGATGAGGATTTCGTCTCCAAATATGATGATCATCATGTGATGGTGAGTGGCACCTACCATCGTGAAGCACCAGTGAATTAGGCCCAAAGAGGTCCCTGGCGCTCTTATGGTATGCCTGAATCAACAATCCAGGATCCTCCCCAAGCACCTGCACAAAGCCCAAATTACTACATTCGGCTACTGGAATGCCATTCCCTTCATGAAAGCATGCCTGGATTTAGAAGAGACATTCACTTGGCATTACAGGTGAACGTTCACATTGCAGTGCCGCAGACGTAGACAATGGATGGAATCGTGTCTTTGACAGCATAGTAGTTAAGGGCGTCTGCGGCAGGATATGCAGAAGTTGAAGAACACGAAGTACACTTTCAAAGTGCATACTTGAACGGTGTGACCATCTTGACAAACTGTCAAGATGGTCACACCGTTCAAGTATGAATATCATACGGGATCTGATACTAACCAATGATGTCCCAAAACGGACGTGAAATCAGCAAAGATGATGTCAGCCGTGCGGAATTCTAGACGTTTAAAACTACACAGTGCATGACCAACGCAAGTGTTAATTTTCCGATCGATAATATAATGCTTAATATGGAATAGTTCCACATTTCCTCAATATTCAGTTTTTGTCTTGCGTGGACGTATGCTCCGTGCACGGTTCCAAGTGCTTCAAGTACAGCAATAGAAACTCGAGGCAATCATGATGTGGAACACTCTTGGCGTAACACTTGCACTGCCTGAGCATGCCACATTTTTAGTTCGACTGCACGTAATGGCCATGTCAGATGCACATGTGATGACGCACAATGGAGTCTTGCATTCCACCTGCTCACCTTCTGCAACAGGTCTCTGCCTGCAATGATGACGGCATCTCTTCCAAGGAGATTCGTCCTGCTGATTCGGCCGTATTTCCTCACGCGGTCAGCGACAAAATGATGCGGTCGGGTGAAGAATTCCAAAGTGTTGCCAATCAGAGGCAGTCCGCCTTTCCCTGTCGCGGTGCACGCAAGGAAAAAATGGGTGGAAGTTGTTGGGAATTAACGGTGCTTGAATGCATGCACTCAAAGCATGCATCCAAATACGCACTAACAGGGGTCATATGTGAATGGGATTGTGTGTATGCGCATGTGAACATGTCGACCTCAAAGCCATCCGCCCTTAAGCGTGAAACCCACGTTTACTTGCAACACAGCTAGCCACATTATGAATTTGCTCTTCTTCAATTGCATGACATGGGCGCCAGTGCAGACTGCTTGCAGGCGATTTCCTAACCTGTTGTCCCGCTCGATTAGAAGCAAATGAAGGCGGCTTTCCTCAACATATATACAGATAATGGTCACAGCATTATCACCAACATCTGCTGATGGACACTTGGTGGACACTTTGAGGGTTACGAATTGGAGCAACGTGAGCGGCCACGGGCTGTGGCTGTTTCCGCATCGTCAGCAAATGGCCTGTGGCATTCAGTGAGCTATTTGAACTCTCAGGTTATTTGAAGTTTAGGTCTGTTCGAAGTTAGTGCTGCCTTAACCCTCAAACCAAACTGTGGCACGAATAAAGTGTGAGCACTAGCACTAGTAGAAAGCTCCGGTCCTGCAATACTGACTGCGATGCCAATTTTAATGCTAAATGGCGCCACCACAGCGATTATGATGGCATAAAAACAAAGGTGCTGGCGTCAATAACTGTCAAATGGCGTCGCAGTCGGCGTCGCAAAAACGCCCTTTTCTACTGGCGCAGAATCAACAAGCACCAGGTAGTAAAGGACCAAATAACACGCGTTCAACGTGCACAAAGTTTACGGTTTTGGGTTATTTTCGTGTTTTCCGCATGCAAAACACTGATGAAATGCATATATATGTGTTCGTAAAAAGTACTATTTGGTCCCTTTTTTCCTAGTGAAGGGGGCGCCAGGCCCGTGCGAGACCGCACGAGGTGGTGGCCCGGGACCCGAGTGTCCCGAATCGGGACGCAAAAAGAGACGGCAGCTTGCAAGCCCCAGTGTACCAATTGGTACATTGTTGCCGACTGTTCCCCAGAGAAAGGGTGACCAAGGGATTTTGGCGCTCGTCCCCTGCGTGCATCTCGAACGCCACCACATGATGGGGCGCACCCGAGTGCGCGATTCAGCGCGTGTGCGCACCTCCGCAAGCAAAACTGCATCCTTGCAGGCTCGGGACCGGACCCAGACGAGAAACCACAACCCACAGCGCGCCATCCCCCAGCCACCGCCGTCAGAACACCCATCCCTGCTCCCCATCGACGGTCAATGGACCCCCACGAGATTCATGCCTCTCCGCGTCCGCCGCCCCGCTCCTCCCTAACTGTTCGCCGTTCTGACCTTCCGCCTGCTTCCCAGCGCTTGGCCTCCCAGATCCCGTCCAGATCGTTTCAGACACCCAATTGGTCCCAAATTAAGATCCAAATTCAGATCTTCTCCGGGCTTCCGCCCACCTTCTGGGAGCGGAAGCGCCTCCAGGCGCCTGCACGCCTCCTCCTCGTCCGCCGCGGCGACCAGGGGCGTCTCAGACGTTGCTGTCCGCAGCGGCTCGCCTCGCCGCTGGGCATGCTGCCCCAATCCTCCCTTGGCCGCCATCACACTTCCGCGCGAGGCCGTTAGCGGAACGCCCGGACGGGCGGCCCATCGACAAGGGGGGGCAGCCGGTTGAGGCATCCTGGGAGCAGGGGGCACCCGGCCGGGCAGGCTCGCGGCGGCGTGTGCGCGGCGGGAGCCCAGCGAGGCCTCAGGGGCCGGTGCCGTTCGCTGCGCATTCATGGGGATCCTCGTGAGAATCCGCATGGATCCAGCCCGCACAGCAATCCGCAGGGGGAATCCGCTCGTTTGTGTGCCCCAGGTCTGAACCCCTGGTTTGAAGACCCTAATCCGGTTTCCATGGGCATCCATGGCGGCGATCGAACATGGTGGACATCAACGCACGTGGATTATCCGCTGGCCAATCAGAGACAGCGGAGACAGTCGGAGACAGGCGGCGACAGTCCTGGGGATTTAGCGCCGCACCGTTGTGGCCCCCAAGGCGAGCGAAGGGAAGGGCTGGGAGCATGGCTGGGCCCATGGCGACTTCGAGCCCGTGGCTGCCGGCCTGCGTTTGCCACGGGACGGCTGGGCGCCGGAGGGCCGCAGGGGGAATCAGGAGATGGGGAGGACTGCGGGAAGGAGCGCAGAGGCGGGCTGTCGCGACGGACGGGCCCCTGGAATGGCAAGAGGCCAGCCAGGGCGGTGCACCCCACGTCTCGCTCGAGGACCTGCCCCTCCCCGAAGGTGAGATTTGTTGCAATCAATGGATTCCGTGGAGAAACGCCAGCCATTTCGATGGGATTGCGGCACATTCCGGCGTGCCATGGTTCCGATCTGGACAGGATCTTGGCCGGTGGGTTGGCGTGGCACCAGTATGCGTCGCCGTTATTGACGCCCACCCCACTTGCCAGCCGCAGCGACTGGTGTTGCGGAATTTGCGAGTCTTTCAACAAGCCCAACAGTGGAGAATCGCGAACGTGGCCACACGCGCGATCGTCAACCTGCGAAGAAATCGGCGCGGCCAACGCTATGCTTGGGTTGCGCCCACAGTTGAGGTTGGCTCCCAGAAGGCCAGCGGCGTGGGGGCCGCCCTTGTGCCTGAAGTAGCCCTGGGGTTGGTGGTGCCTCAAGGGGCGCCAATCCTGGAGCTGTGGCCGCAAAACCCGTTCTGCATCCTATCCGTTACCTGTGACACACGGGGCACGAAATTTGGCGTTTTGTCAAGTGTCAGCCACGTTAACCTTGTACTAAGACGGGCGAGCACTGCAAACCATGCGATGTCCCATCTTCTTGAAGTGGAGTGGGGTCTCCGGTTATCGGACCCCGGAGAAGCCAACGAGCCAGCAGAAGTTGTTGTCTGTTCGGAGAACACTTTTCGCTCGGCGCTTAGATGTCTGCGCATATTTCACGCCGTTGCATTGGAATGGACAATGCGCAGACAGCTAATGACCCGCGACACCCTGTTTCGTGTTTCACCATTGACGGACACGGGTATGTCTCTGACTTGCCAAAGCTACATACATGTTGGGTGCGTGGTTGGGTGCTATTTTGCGTAAGCATGGCGACTAAATTGGGCGGAAAGTAGGACAGATGTGATGGATTGAACACATCAGGAACGCAGCCTGTCCAGCAAAGTGAATGGGCTGCCCGACGCAATAGAACGTGACAAGAACAGTTGCGCTTTTGCTGCATAAGGCGGGGAGGACAAGTAAGCGCGCAACACCGGGCCGACGGTGCAATTTCTGAACCGGCTGCTGATGATCCAAAAATTGATGCACCAGCAATGTGCAAATTCTGCTCTTGACAGGATGAGCCATTCTCGGGAAATCTGCAGGTAGGCGCTTGTGGTGTCACATAATCATTGCCGAAAAATGCTGCCATGGTCGAAAAAGGACAAGGAGACGGAGTCACTCATGTTGTCTTTATGTAACTTGCATGTCCTTCGTGTTGCGTAAATAGTCGGGGCTTCCTTAGTGGCTGTTGATCATCTGTTCAGCAAATGCGCATTTGCCTGGTATACCAGCACGTTAATAATTTAATTTAATTATTCAATTATTTAATTTAATTATTCAATTACTTAATTTAATTATTCAATTATTTAATTTAATTTAGAAATTTACTAATCAAAAACACCATGCACTAAATTTGAACACCCACCGCTAGTTTGATGCGCACACAGGGGACACTGGCGGGTGGCCAATCATAGGCCGTACGCGGGAATTCGTGAAAGATCAACACGCCTTCATGGCCGAGCATGTCAAGAAACATGGACTCGTCAGCACGGCGAAGCTCTTTGGAACGACCGTTGCCATCATTGCAGGGCATGACAATCTTCAGAAGGTACAGGATGTCGGGGCTGCCATGGCATTGCACAATATCGAACGCAAATGCATCACCAGTGCGGTAATTAGCAGCACATCTAGGGGCACATGTCCTGAACAACTTGCTGTTTCCGAGCGCACTATTCCAGGCACAGAAGATCATTCAGGCTATGTGCGTACTCTTCAGGCGAGTGTGCAATTGAGCGAGTGCTCCGTATAGCATTCTGAGTACTGGGCGAGACAGAGATTGCGAGGTTGTCCTGCACCCGCCGACACCCCGCTTGAATTGCTTTCTGAACATGGCCAGCAGCGGATTTTGAAACGCTGCTGTTGCGCTAGGATGGCTGTAGGTTTCTGGCACCGTAGAAATGAATCGGAACGTGCTGCAGCACTTTGATGGCGGCATGCATCTCAATTTCACAGCAACCAGCGCGAGGAGAGTGCCTCGTTGGGTGTTCGAATGCGTTATACGGATTTTGCCATCGAGTGTACTGCATGTTGAAGTCCATGAGTCTGTCAGAGGAATGGAGCAGAACTGCTTCTGCTGCGTGCTTGACTCGCTCAATTTATGTTGGGCGAACATGGAACAGACCACTGGCCGACAAATGCATCCTGCATATAATGGCATCTCTCCCAACGGCACACGTGCCTCAGAACACCCTCGTACGCGGAGTGTCTGTAGTGCAGACTCTGTACTCACCTTTGCAGTTTGTGTTTCGCCTGTATTTTGCACAGGTCATGTCCAAGGACGCCGGACTGCTGAATCAGTACTTCATGAAGGACTTTCAACAGCTGTCTGGACCCAGCTCGTTTTGGCACAAGGACGGTGAGCGCATGCACGCCATTAAACTCTGAACCGAACATTCGGTTTTGGTACAGAGGTGCAACTTCGCGCCCATCACAGCAGCGAATTGTGGCTGTGCTTCACCACACCGGTATTGCACAATGTGTGATGTGGTGTTTCAATTTTCCTCACAGCATCATATGCGTGATCTGGACTCAGAGACCTGGATCCACATTTCCTGCTCGAAGTAGGGAATGTGCACAATATGAAGGGCTGGTTCGCCCCTGGATAAGGGGTGGATGGAGGAGCAGAGCGAGAGTTTTCGATTCGAACTGCATCAATTGCACCTCAACGGATGTCCATTTTCAATGTAGCTAATACCGGTAAAAAAGGGCCAAATGACACGTGTTCAAACGTGTGCAAAGTTTACGGGTTTGTGCTATTTTTGTGTTCTTAGCGTGCAAAACTTTGATGAAATGTGTTTTATGCGTGTTGGCAAAAGTGTTATTTGGCCCTTTTTTTCCTAGGTACCTCCGTGGGGATAATTGTTGTGGCGTGTTGCACACGTGCGGCATGGGGGGCGTCCTAGGAACAATGTGCAAAAGCAGCGCACGTCTTCCAAATGAACAGACCACGCACCATCCTTCGAAATGCAAAGGCCCAATTGAAGAAACACAGTGTAAAGAATTGACTACGCGACGTCGAATTTGAATTGACCTGCTGAGGTGAACTGCTATCAGGTGATGATCACATGGCGCTGAGGAGACTGATCGCGCCAGCATTCTCGCGGGCCGCCATAAGGGAACGGATTCCCGACCTTGCAAGGACGGCGGAATACTGGTGCAGCAAATGGGCGAACAAAAGGAATATTCTGGGGTCAGAAGAGGTACGAACAATGCAGCACAGTTTTTTCTGCAACCTTTAGTGAGCACCACGTATTCTGTGTGGGACGTTTCCCGCCAGGTATGGCTCATTTAGCCGTGCAGACCTGGCCCTTCTCGTGCTTCGAAAGATTGACTTTTCAAATCTGCAGAAACGCCGAGTGCATTGTGTGCATGTGAGAATTTTGCAGCCCCAATTTCCCATATCCGCAATGTAGTCTGTTATCGTCATTTTCAGGAAAGTTTACATCATGATGAGAATTTATCAGTGGCAGTACTGTGCTTTTCGATTTATTCCCTCAGCTCTGTTCGTTGCAAAAGAGAGATCATGTGCATGAATTTGTCAGGCCATCAGAAAAGCGGGTTAGCTTTTTTTCCACGCTGGATTTTTTTGGCACAGATGAAGCTTCAGCTTGATTTCAGTGATCTACTGTTTGAAGCAATGTGGCGTCTCCTTTTCAGCTGAAACACTATACTCTGGATGTCACAATGGGTGCTCTTCTTGGGATGGCCTTCCCCCTGAATGGAAAGTCGCTGGAGGACATGTACAATGAGTTGCAGATCTATTCCAAAGGCGTCTACACCTTTGGGATCGACCTTCCATTCACAAAGTTTGGAAAAGCCATGGCTGCAAGGAGGGAGATTGTGAAGATGGTTGACGAGGTGGGGATCACTGGCAAGAGAGTGCAGGGAAGCACTCACTTTCATGCAGTTGCGCCCTCCCAATTGCACTGTTCATGCTCCTATCAACAGAGCACGTTGCAAATGGAACGAATCGTTCAACTGCAGATGCGCAATTTGGTTCATTAAGCCACGGGTAGACCGAATTTCGATATTTGGCACGTTTTGTGAAAACGCACTGCTTGTGCTATGCTCGAAGCCACAAGCACTGGAAAATCTTCTTCAGCTTGTGCTACTGTCGTGATCGCCAATTTTACCTGGCTTTCTTGGCTCAATTATGCTTATGCCGTCTGTTGATTCATCACTGGTGCAGCGCCGATTGCCTGATGTGACAGTGTCGCTTGGAAAATTATAGTACTGTCGTCGCAGCTGCTCCTGTTCCAAGAGGCATTTGGCATAGCACCTCTGGCTTTCACGGGCATGTCATGACTCTGCATTCCGCAGTGCAGGGGATTGAACGCTTTCACAGCAATCCGGAGCTGACAGGAGGCCTGCGGAGACTAATTGACGAGCAAGATGAGGAGGGCAAGGGGTTGACTATGCAAGAGCTGGAGGACAACCTTGTCACCATAATCTACGCTGGATTCGACACCACAGCTCTGGCTCTAACGACGGCCCTCATGAAAATGGCACAACAGCCGGAGGTGAGTTTCGCAGCTGTTCAATGGGTATATGCGGCATTGGGTATTGTGGACACGTCCAAGGACCTCTTCAACTTGGAATCGCCCTCTTCGCCATTTTCTAGGAAGTTCCAGACAGTGTAGTGAATGTCCAGAAAAGTGTTGCAACATCACATAAGGGACCAGAGTGTGTCAGAGCAATAAGTGTGACTGACTGGGAAAGACCGCCACTCCCTTTGGCTTCACCAGAAAAATGAGGCGAAGTATTGTCGCAACAGATGGAAAGGCTTTTCACGCGCTCATTTGTTGCTCAGGTTTGGAAGAAGATGAAACAGGAGCAGGAGGACATCATCGCCAAGCATGGCCCCAAAATAACGGAAGCGGCCATCGAGGACATGGAATACACCACAGCGGTGTACCAGGAAGGCGTGCGTGTGTTGCCTTCACTCCCAGGTCTTTTCAGAATCGCAAACAAGACCTTTGAGATTGGAGGGTGCCGTATTCCCAAGGGCTGGCTGGTTGTTCCACTACTCGGCACCACTGCTCAGCACTTTGACGACCGGTGGCCTGGCGAGGCGGACTATTGCCCACACCGACACCTGACGAAAGCAGGACGTGAGCCCGTCCCAGACTTGGCCTTTGGCTTGGGGCCACACTCCTGCGTCGGACGTTCCCTGTCCCTGCTGGCTGGAAAAATCTTGCTGGCCACCATGGCCCGCGGTTACAGCTACACCATTGCCAATCCCTACCAGCCCAGAGTCTATGCGCCATTGCCCTGGCCGCAGGATGGACTCGCTATGATAGTCGAAAGGTAAAGGCGCCTATTCCCCTGCATGCGTTGGCTCTTCCCTTAGGTAGAACACTGCTCTTGCTAATTGGATGTTGCAATTGGAGGTTCACTCACTCATCATGGCCGGGAAATAGACACGTTGGATTTGCGAGTAGTGCAGAACACACTGACTGTGTAGGCATCAAAACATCAGAACAGGCCATATCCGACGCTATTTGAGATCGTGGTGGACGTCGGGGCCACTATGGTCAACATCATTAGATTCTGGATTAGATTTGAGAATTTGAGACTCGCAGTTTGAGAAACGAGGGTAGCTGCTTTGGTTGGGGACCCTACTGGACACATACCGTTCGCGTGTGCTCTTCGCTCGTCCACCGTTCTTTTCCACACCTTCACTGTGCAAATATTTCTGATGAAGTGCTGTCAGGTGCATTCTATGCAACAGCTATGGCAATGAGCAGGCAACGACCGCCCAAAGTCGTTTCGAATATATTCATATATATGTTCATATATATGGCCGGCTCTGCCATTTCTTTGGCAAACGGCGAAGGTCTGCCCCAGACAGCCCCCGGCCCCGCCCCAACCGCGTCACTCTGCGGGGGTTGATGCACAACGGCAAGCTAGTATCTGCGGATACTGTTCTGAAATTCAGTGTACCGAGATGCACACATAATCTGGAAAATTTCACGTCAGCATCTGCACACATTCAGAATACCATGATGCATTCAGAATCTGAATGCATATCGTAGCCTTCCTTTGAAGTTGTTTTTATCATCTTGCCGTCCATGCCTCACCCGGGACACTCCTAGCCTGATCAGAAAAAGGCCACCCGCATTGCGCCTGCACCAGTCTAAGCGCTCCCGCTGCCCCTTGCGGTGGGAACAAGGCCGTGACGCGGTTCCCCTTCCAACATGAACAACCCTCCATACACACACGGCACAGGGTGCTCGGTTCGGCTCTAGACCAATGCTCGACAGCGGCCGCGCTGGTAAATCGACGGAATCGGGCTTGGGTCGCCTTTCTTGGATTGCCCTCCGACCTTTGCAGCGGCGCACCAAAATGCCCGTGGTCTAGCCGTGCAGAGCGGTTCTGGGGTCCTGAACCTGGCCATACAATGGCCGTGGGCGTGGAAGAACGGCTGTCGCAGATATTCAATGAATAGCAGGCCTTGGACCAAGAGACTCCAGCCACAAACACCATCGAAGGCAGCAAGAAAGGCAGTGCGCCGTTTGAATCCGCAAGTGGAGTGCCAGACAGCTTGTGTGGCTTCTTGTGTGCACGACGTGATAGATCTGCAGCACCATCGCCTTTCTAAGCGGTGGATACAGCAATGATAATGCTCTCCCGCACAAACACGCACAAGCGCGCATGAGCACCTGTCCGTGTTCATAGTGTGAACTTCATGCTACCGGTTCCGCGTTTCTGCTTGATGGAATCCTCTTCCTGCCCAACATGCACACTGACCAGTTGTATTACAAACGTTGTTGTCAGTGCTCCAGCTCACAATGCCCAGGATCGTCAACCTCCACTGGACCTTGGCTTCGCAATAGTAATCAAAGTCCCCAGTACCTGTAAATTTCACCTTCTCCTCAGCCGAACTCAATGTCAAAGGGATGGATACCCATCCCTCCATGGAATGGCGCAAAACAGCTAGTTGGTGGTCTTTGAGGTCTTCTTAGGGAAGACACTATTTTGATTTTGGTATGCTTAGCGTCAAATCGATGTTTAGTCAGCTCCCATCGAGGCTCGATATTATCTTTTTATAGCATGGAACAGAACCTCGCATAAACTTGCCCAGGAGGGGGTGCCCTTTGTATGACCTGTTTCTCTTTCTCTTTTGCAACAAACCTTACCCAACCCCACCCCACCCAATACTAAACGGCTGATGTCTGCTGGCCATTCGCAACTTTGTTGCTCGGAGGAGCAACGACGCTACCCAGATTCCCAAAGGGAAAATGACAAAATGGGTTCTCTCCAAGGGGGTCCTAATAGACAAAAGGGGGGCCTAATAGGGGTCAAATGGCAAAAAGGGGTCGTCTGCGGCGACTGCAGTGGATTTGGTACAGCAGCGGTACGCCACTGGTCCGTTAGGGTGTAGGGTGTACGGCGGGCGCTCACAGTTCAAATAACAAAAGGGGTGCTCTGGGTGCCCGCCGTACACCCTACACCCTAATGGACTGCCGGCGCACTACCGACGCACCAAATGTACAGTGGGTACCGCAGAGGATCCCTTTTTTGAACGAAATCTTGGAGAGGATCCCCTTGTGTCTTTTTCCCCGTTCAAAAGTAAATCCACGGGGACACGGCTTTGCACAACAGGGGCCACAGCACACCGTGCACAAAACCCCACAACGTCTGGGGAGCTGCTTTCTAACACATCTGCCCCATCCTTGTCGGGAATGAACATGGCATCAGGTCACACAGTGTCCGCCAATCGTTGGCTTCACCTCATTCCCTGCACCACCTCTTCTTACTCAGCTTCCGTTGACCAATATGCCAGCGCTGGCAACAAGTTGCACATGCTGTGTGTGCATATCCCGGATATGGCCACGGTGTGGGATATGGATGGCCATATCCTCGCCCATATGCATATCCAGGGTATGGACCATATATCTTATTCGAGATCCAGGATCAGGGACCACCATATCCTATGCCATATCCAGGGTATGTGACTTTCTGCTGGCGTCCGATGTTCCGTTTCGCATTTTCCCTCCTGTCACCGATTTTCCCACCCTCATGCCTATTTTCGTGGCACTGCCATGCTGTTTGCTGTCCTGGCTTTGGCAATGACTATCTGGAGTTCTGTTCACACTTTATGGAGGCTATTTTCTCGACAACAAAAAAGGAGGCCGGCATGATATTGATGCATTCCAACATGCCATCAACCAGCTAACGACAACAATAGCTGCGCATAATAAAACTCTGCAAGGGGGGGTCAAAACTACAATGGTGGTCCTGTTCTACATAGTCATTGGTCGCAGCTGCATTCATCTGCGCTGGTTCTTGCCAATGCCGCGCGTTCCCGTTAACAGGTGCTTGGGTCTCAGGCATGGTATGTGCCGATCGGCCTCGCCCCGCCGGGCCAACTTGTTCATCCTCCTCTGTGCGCGATCCGCCATTTTCAGAGCCTTGTTCTGCAGCGACCAGCAGCAGCTCTGTTGTCAGAAGTCACAACTGGCATCGACAAAGGAATGAAATGGAGGAATGAAGCAATGAAAGCAGTATCAGAACATGGGCCTGCAGGGGTACTTGGGCATATATCCCTCGTGCCTTTCAGCTGGTCAATCGGCAAAGGGAGCACTTCTTGAACGCTCAGATGGGACTACTTTGTCCACACGTACAACAGTGCCCATCCACATAGCCAAGGTGATGAGCAGCAATGTACCTACACCATGGTTTTTCCTCATTATCGCAATGCAACTATTCTCACAGTCCAGCTGCCGGAGGGTCAACAAAATAAATGGTGGCAAGCTGACAACCTCCAAGAAAATGAGCAAGGAAAAGACATCCACACTTGGGAGCCATGGGCACCCGAATGCATCGTCTGAACGCCAATTGATTTGTGCGACAACAGGTGCAGGCCTGAAAAGCAGAATTAGGAAAATCCTCAGCATCTTGAAATGCGGTGTGTGGATGAGAGGTGTCACCTTGATGGCGACATCCTTCAGCCCAGAACCCTTCTTCGGAGCCATCAGGGACAGCGAACGGCCACGCGACATGGACCTACACATCATTTACAGATTCAGCACTCCCGTCCCAACGCACCTGCACAAACAAATCTACAGCTCTCCAAGTTGCGCATACATTCCACGCGGAGCAGCATACGATCATGAACACGCATAAGCTCTTTCAGACGGACGTTCGCGCGGGTGCACAGTGCGCGCCATACCCTTGCAGATGCAAGGGCAGTGTGGGGAGTTGCGAGCAGAAAACCCCTGAGCAGCTGTGTCAGAGCACACTGCCACCAGTACTGTGGCTGCACTACGGATGTATCATTGTTCAAATGATGCAACGGGCGAAAGAGTCCATGCCACTATGATGAACAAAAGCAAATCCAGTGAGCCAAAGGAGCCGCATCAGCCACTACTGTTTAAAGCGGGACGGACAGGCACAGACCACATTTGCGATCTGCATGACAATCACAAGGAACTCACCTTGACTTGGTGCTGTGAACGCGTTTCATGGCCTCTGGCACGTCTTCCATCTCTTCATCCTCTGCACCAGCGGCACGACTGCTTGCATTTCTTGACCTGTCGGCTGACCTTCCCCGTGACTGGCGACGAGCGCGCTCTACTGCAAGTGAAGGGTCCATTCCCATTCTCTCAAGGGAGCGCTGCGCACAGGCCAGTAAAAGTAAGCATGACTGCACAGCAGGCATCTCTCCCGTTTAGCAAGAGGTTTGGAAATGACACACTTAGAGCAGATCCTGCACATTGCAATGATCACACATGCCACTTGCAAATGCTAGTGCTCTTCGCACTGTACAATTTTTGTGACTCATAGGAAGCACAAAATGCTACAAGCAGTCAATGTTGCGCCCCTGCGCCTGATCCAGGTTAGAAACTGTGCCAAGGTGCTGCTTGTGAATGTACGCCAGGTTGGACACCATGCCCCAACTTGATCGTACTCCCGATTGCTGCTAAAGATGCGTCAATGCCCATGGTTTTCCAGGTTGACATTTCATGTTCAAAATGTTCATGATGCAGGCAAGCAGGATCACATCGACGCATCTGAAGAACATGAAAATTACAGATTGTTCGACAGTATTCTTGCCAAGACGACAGTGATTGGAAATGACCACAGGAGTTGGCTTCCACAATGACTATGGAAGCAGCAGAATTGCAGCACAGCAAAGCACATCACAATTGAGCGAGGGCTGCCTTCATGTCCTTCAGCTCTCCACCCACCCTCATTCCAGAGGTGTTCAGTGAGCCATCAGTATTGTGTTTTTTGGGAATGACGCCACGGTTGTCTGCCACGGCCTTTGCACGGCGATGGTCCGCAATGATTTTTGCTTTCCTTGCACGGATGTCTTCAAGCAGGGAACGCTCCTCAGCTGTGAGCTCCGGGATGCCCCCAAACTGTGCTCGTTGGCGCTCAAACTTGGCCTGTCACAATCGCAGCATAGTGAAAATGGGCAGCTGAAGGAAATGCAACGTTAGCTATCTGCTATGCGACGTTTCACAAGGGGCTTACTGGGGCACAAATGCCACTGCAGGGTTCTGGTCCTGCTTTAATAAACAACAGGAGAGCTGCTGGCATGTCTCATTGCAGATAGCAGTTTGCTCTGAAAGGAATGATGTGCAAAAACAATCCTTGTGAGACAGCAATAGCAGTGTTGTTTAACAATTCATGCAGCCTTGCATCAGGCGGCCACCACCAAGGCATGAAAATTGCTCAACAGGTGCCCTGCATGCTGCCAGCAGGGCTGCAGCGATAAGATTCTAAGACCTGCTAAAACCTTGTGGCCAAGCTGCTGAACAGGTTGGTCAGGCTTTAGCACCTGTTTGTCTGTTCTGCTTGCAAACGCCTTGAGCAGCAGGGAGCATGACAACCACAAGTCATCCACCAGGTAGGTATGAAGAACTGTGAACAACAAATTGGATCAGCAGCGGCATACTATTGCCTTCAAGACACATGGTGCTGCACAAGCAAATGCAATGAGAAGGCACAAATCCAGCAGGTGGGGTCTGAATGTGTCCATTTACTCCGGTCAAGAAGTCAACAAGTCCAGTTTAACCACCCACCAGTAGTTCCTCTTCCTCCTGCTGGAGCTCCTCCAGTTTTGCATCAATGTCAGCATCAACAAAGTCGATAATGTTGTGCCCATCCCATATCTCTGGCATGATGTCGTACTTCCAGGAATCGTTCTCCAACAGGTAGTGCTTGTGAAAGTCAGCAGAGTAGACGCCAGCACCACCTCTCTCTTCTTGGAGGTCCTTTTCCGTCTTCTTCTGGTTGTCCTCATCCATCGCCTGCGCTTGCGTCACGCTCGATGGGATGACTGGTGGCCGATCAGGGTTTATGCCTGAGTTAGGCATGGCAACACGGATGCGGTTGAGCACATCGCCGAAGCGCTTTCCCTGCACACAGTCACAAAGTGACATGGTGTGAAAATTGCCTTTGATCGTTGCACCAGTCCTTGCCACATGGGCAAACAGCTAGGATGCAGCTCAAGAGAGCTGTCTCTGTACTGGAGACAGTGTGGTTCACAGGTGCCCTCAGCAGCATGCCAGGCACAGCATGGCAGTGGTTTGTAACATGCTGGCAGATGCAACACTAGGCCAGGTTTCATGAGCCCTGATGCTGGCCGGGTGTTCCGCAAACCACCACAACACTGCACATTCCAGCAAATCATAAGCTCCACATCCAGACCACCTTCACAGCTCAAATGCAGAACGACGTGCAAGCAAACCATGGGCCGAGATGCGACTGTGGACACCATGCAACACAGCTCTGGAAATAAAATTGCCTACACCATGGATAAGGAGTGGCAAGCCTTCTGAACTTCTCCCACAGCCTTTCTACTCCCTGTGACGGCCATTTGTGCCATCACTAAAACAGTGTGCATAAAGGTATGGACATCACCACCTTGAAAGTGCCAGGAGCAGTGTTCTGTCACATGTTAACAAATCTAGACCACCCAACACTAACATTTCTGTCGCGAGCTGACCTTCATTTTTGCCTCGACCCGATGCTCCAGAAGCTGATCGCAGGCAGTATTGCGCACAGCCATCACTCCATCCTCCTTCAAGGTTGTCATGGACAGGAGTGACCCCTTGTAGCCATCAGCACTATGCTCCAGGAATGCACCTACAATGCCATCAACATCATCAGTAAATTCTGCGCTGTACAGCTGTCACCATAGCTGACAAACAACGCGCCTGCACCTTGCAGGCGAATACAGGCAGAGACACAACCACACGCTGTGTGTTCACTGTCCCAAGCGCAATTGTGAAATGAATCAAGCGCCTCTGATGACAAAAAGAGACAGGTTTGCAGGCAGTGCGCAGCCTCAGCACATGATTGACATGCTTGCTGACCTGATAATCCTAATCTGCCAGCCTCCTTGGCCATCTCTGTCAAAATCTTTTGGTCCTTCTCTCCAAGGCTCTCCATGCTAGTCACATCGATTTTGTTGCATACAATGAGCACTGGCTTGTTAACGAACAGGGGCTTGATAGAATGGAACAGGGCAGCCTGCTGGGCAATGGAGTATCCACATTCCTCTGAGATGTCGACGATATACAAGATGGCAGCGCGCAGGTGCGCAAGTGCAGTAATGCTCTGCACACACACAAAAACAACAGATAGGTTACTGCTCAACACCTGCTGCATTCACTGAACAGCACAACAGCAGGACATCTTTAAGCATACCAACAGTCAATAGCACACCGTGCATTCAGCAAATGTCTTCCATTGGCACCAACGTGCTCCACAGTTTCAACATCGTCCTTGTGATCACCATCAATCCTAAGAACACAAATTTGGGAAGTGAAAATGGAAAAGCTGCAGAATCAAGCCTGACATTGTGCTTTGCATCTGGGGTCGAATGTCACCTCGTCTTGTCACACAAGTCTGGCTCACCTGCATCTCGATGGTATTCCTATCCTCCAGGGGCCTGTCCAGCAGGCCTGGCGTGTCGATCACCTGCCACCTGAGGTACCTATAGTCCATGTGGCCCACATACAGCGACTTGGTGGTAAAGGCATAGGGTTCCACCTCTACGTCTGCCCTTGTCACCAGGTTCATGAAGCTGCTCTTGCCCACATTAGGATAGCCACACATGAGGAGTGTGCGGACGTTGGGATCAACTGAAGGCAACCTGGACATGTGCTGTCGAACCTGCTCCAGGTACTTCAGTGATGCTGCCTGGCGTTTCATCAGAGTGACCATCCGTCCCTGCACAAGAAATAATAATGTGTTGTCAAAGTCGGCCCCAGTGATTCTGAGAACAACAGCACTGAGCAGTGCGACCTGTGATGGTCTGCGATCCCCAGGGTTTCCCCCTGTGCAAGTGCTCAGCTTCTCAGAATTCAAATTGAGCAGCTTCTGGGGCCTCCCCACTCAGGCTGCGCGTTGCGTTGATTTGCTCATCAGCTGGCAAAGGGCCAGCGTCTCTTCCATAAGGACGCTAGAGAGGGAAAGGGGGGACCTAATCTCTTGAATGTGATCATGTTGTTGGATCAAAGAACTTGTCCCAAAAGCCAATAGATATCACAGAGATCTAGAGTAGAGCTACTTTCTGCACATGTGTATACATACCACAGTTTTCCACACATCTCAAGCGAATAGTGAATGCTGTGAAGGGGATGGTGGCCCATCGTGGATGCAAGGAAACAGCCAGTAAGCTGACTAATGACCAACCCACGTGTATATTGGGTCACATGACGCCATGTGCGCGATCGCGCCTGGGATGGTGCTGTGCGTTTGTGGTTTAGGGGAATCTGGGTGATGAGGGGAGGCATCATGCGACCCAAGATACCCCACGATATCCCCTTGCAATCTTGAAACCAATGGAACGTGAGGCCAGCCAACGAGTGAAACTGGATGGGAATTGACCTGGAACCTAATGAAGCTGGTTTGGCTCCTTGGTTTTGTCCACTCCATTGTCTTTCACAATAACAAGCAGATACATGGTTGTGATTATTGCAAGCCAAATCTCATTTATACCCTGAATATTTGGGGCGTGCATCATCTCACACAGGTCAACACGTTATGAAAGTGTTGTAGAGAGTCTCACAAGTAACAATTTGCCACACATGCTGCATGACAGCTTCCTTTCTATCAGCAAGATACACAACAACAATTCTCAACCGCAGACCATTTATTCCCGGCAGATTCTGAGGCACAGATGCTACTAGGTGTTTTTTGGTCCTGAACTCAATTCTTCCGCAAAATGCAGACACATATATTTCTCTTCCAGAACTTCAGGTATCTGCAAATCTGGTGTTAAAAACTGCTGTATCGCAGGGTATTATGTCACTGTTATGGGTATTGAGCTTGCAGCTGAAGTACGCCAAGCACCCAATTACTTGAAACACTAATCGTACAACAGGGAATTGTGTGGCAGCCAGGCCCCACTTGGCTTGACCGCCACTTGGGACACTTTGATGCAAGGAGTGCACACTGGTTCCAGCCTGTTGGCAGTCCATGCACGCACCAGTGCAGCTCGCTTCAAGCATTTGCATCTATATAGGGAGTCCCCATATTTAAGCAGCCTGATGTAGTCTGCAGGAGCACAGAAACAGCCACAGTGGAGGCAAGGCCACAGCATCAAAACTGGCAACCGAAATGGAGCACAAGTCCTACCAACCTATTCGCCAATCAAGGCCTGCCAGCGAAGCCCGAACAGCAACAGGCACTCAATGCTAGCGAACAGGGTGCAAGCAAACCGCTCACCGAGTCTTTGTTCCCCCAATGGGAGCAGCATCCCCACAGTCATCAAACACCAGCACGCAAACCTCCGCTCATCCTCACCAATGCGCCCCAGTATGAGCTAACACGACCAGGAGCGCTCGAATTCACTGTCCACCTCAGCACCCCTTAAGACAAGCGGCAAAGTCGGGCAGCGCTGCGGCGATGGTGCCCATCGGGCACCAGGCAATTTGGCACTGCTGAATCCCCCAATTCCGCGCAGCAAAAGCAAAGCGCACACACAAAGACAAAGACGCAAAGCGGCAAGCGCCCGGTCCCCACCAGCCTCCCCCCGGCCGCGCACCTTGCGCCAGCTTGTCGATCAGGCTCCTGGCGACGTTCAGCTGCCCCAGCGCGAGCTTGTAGTGGTCCTTGTCGTACAGCACGTTCAACAGATCCCCGTAGAAGGGGTGGATGTCGTCCACGCGCGGGAAGTCCTCCAGGATCTGCGTCAGGGCCTCGTGCCAGGTCTGCTGCGTGTGCTTCACCTTGCGCATGTAGAACTGGCGCACGCGGCTGATCTTCCAGCCGCTGCGGCACACCGTGGGCGTCTGGCGCTGCGTGCGGGACAGGACGATGTCGATGAAGGCCGCGGCGCTGGGCACCACGTGCATCTGTTTGAAGTTGTAGAGCGGCATGGCTGCTGGCCGCTCGCGGGGAGCGCACTGGGCGAGGCGGGGCCCGGTCGCCCTTGGGAAACAGTGGCGGCGTGATGCGGCAGGGTACGCAGTACGTGTTTTCTTGTTCTGTTTCTTCCTTTTTTTTAATCGTTCATTTGCATGTACGGTGCGCCAAAGCGACGTATCGTTGTGCTACCGTACAGGCATCGCACCCGCACGCGCCGCTGCGCGTCATGGATGAAGAAAATCCTTGCATCCTTCCATCCATGCATTTGTGCAGAAGGGACAGACCACAGCCCTTGCGCCTGGCAGGCGACGTCCGGCGCAGGTCAGCGTGTTGTCCGATGAGAGATCGCCAGGACGCCATTTGTGTTTGTGCTGAAGTCAAAATGCATTGACAGGGGCGCCGCGAATGCACAGCTCTCTGCAGTGCACCGCACCAATCCAACGTTGCGCGCGACTGCGGAGTCCTGTGTTGACGGCATGATGACTCAAAACAGGCTGCGCTCCGCGCTTGAGTGCAGTATGGCTGAGAACGCATCGACAGAGCCCAAGCCATGGGAATGTTATCACTCAATGAAGCCGTGTTTTCCTCACTCGAGGCTGCGGCTCTGGTGCCTTGGCACTTTTTCTGGGGCCATCTTCGGGCTTGAGACCCACGTTCCGGACTGGCTTTTCCCACGCATCCCGCCATCCCGGGCCAGGTTCCCAACTCCAAGCCTGGCACGTGCTCACAACGTGGCAATCGACTCTCACCGCTGTACGCATTCACAGATGGAATCCTTCCAGCGCCGTGAGTGGCATGGTTTTGAGGCTTTGCCCTCTATTCAGGCAGAGGGGCTATGCTCGGCGGCCAATGGCACAACGGGCGTTGGTGGTTGCCGACCCGCCATAGACTGGTGTCCACAGTTCTGAAAGGTGGTGCAGATGTATGGTTATACGGCCAAGCATCCTCCACCAATGTTCGCATTTGTGGTGATCGCGAACGGTGATTTTGACCCTGGATAGGCATTCCGTCCTGCCGATGGAGCCTGCTGTCTGCGATGCCCGACAGCATCGCAATTTGTGGGTGCCACAATGCGCCGCACGTGAAGATGACGTTCGCACAGGATGAGGGCCCGCCAGATTCAACGCCCACCCCGAGCAATAATCGGTGAGATTGAGCGCCATCTCATGATCCTGGCCATTTCTTTAGCCCTCCAGCAAGCCTTTGTTAGTGAATGGCACATTATACTACTTCCGGGGGAACGCTCCATGTGTGCCATTCATGTTTCTGTGCTGCTGCGGCTTCGCGCTCCAGGGCGGCAAGGAACTTGGTGTCCCTTGCGTCAAGCCCAGTGCCTCATGTGCGATTGCCACATGTGTGTGGATACGTATCGAACAAGGAAAGCTGGTCGAGGGGGCGTGGGACAATCCCTCGTGACAAGAATGGTTCGGTTCCTCGTGCACTTCCCACCCTACTGGTGCACCGTCAGAATGTGTGCGCATGTACTAGCGCGTCATCTACCATCTGGGCTACAGGCGAGGGCTCACGCTGCTGGTAGCCGGCCGAATGGCGGTTTGCCGCCTTACAGCAAAGCTGCTTAACACTTCTGTTGTCGCACATGCACGATTGGGTGCTGCAAACTTGCGCTGGCGTGGTGGCAGTGTCTGGAGGGGGGACTTACTCACCACAGGGAGTGTCTACCACAAAGGAGCAAACTGTGCGCTCTGTACCAGCAGCATGGGCACATTCTCAGAAAGATACACCTCCAGTGCAACAATCCCACTGACAGCACAACTGTCCGAGCGGTGTTCGTGCCTGGCTGCAGCTCCTTCCTTGCACCGCGCAGCGGAGCGTGTGGCTCCTCAGGAGCCCAGACAAACACCCAGCTTAGGACTGTCACCTCGAATTTGTTATTTTCAATTGCTACAGTACATTCCAGCCGCCAACACTTATCTCACCCAGAAACTGTCAATGCGTATCTTATCACTATCGCTGCATCGTGTCTAAGGACGCAGCAAGCCATCTGTGTGCTGAAATCAACAATTCCCAAGCTATTATTGCGGTAGTGCGCCTGCAAGTCAGCGCCACAAGACAAACATAACGAAGCTATGACAATGCTGGTCTCGGGTGACTATTGCCACTCCATTGATCATTTATATTCTGGACGCGTCCACAATCAGCATCGTTTTCATGCCCATGGAATAACTCCCAACTGAGACTAGCAATCCTGGTACAGTGGCCTAACTGCAGGACCACACACATCCCACGAGCCGCTTGCAGCATCCAGTCTCTAATCACACTGCACCCACTGCTTGTGTTGCAGAGGTGTGGCTGCCCCACCTGTTCCTGGATTTTCCAGCCCGGCTAACGTTGCTCTTTCCACACGGGGCCCCCATTAAGGATCCCAGAGGACCTCGGCCACTGCCTGTTTCCGGATTCCCCCGCCCAAGTAGCTTCGCTCCCTGTTACTCACTGCAGACCAGGCGCCCACGCAGGATCCCTCAAGGCACCGTGGCGCCCACGCAGGATCCCTCAAGACACCGTGGCGTCCTGGAGCGCTCCCACAGGAACATGCGCCACCTATTGATCCCCCGTTTTAACCCCCTCTTCACAGGGGTCCAAACAATCAATTCCACAGCGGCCCTGTTACTCACTGCAGACCAGGCGCCCATGCAGGATCCTTCAAGACACCGTGGCGTCCTGGAGCGCTCCCACAGGAACATGCGCCACCTATTGACCCCTCCGTCCTAACCCCCTCTTCACAGGGGGTCCCAACAATCAATTCCACGGCGGCCTGCAAAATTGCAAGTCCCCGCAACCCGAATTGTCACCATCTTTGTTGTTTGAAGTCCCGTTGGGAACAGACACCGAACATTTCGAACACCAACAGACAGCATTCTCGGAAAGGCGTTTTTCGTCACAATCCTGTTCTTTCACGCAACTCACACTCGTTCCTGGCCTTCTGAGACCCTCTTTAGCCCTGCTCCCCTGTTGGCATCACAGCCACCTCGGTCTACGACCCACTTGCCCCCGCTCAAAGCCCAGCTGGCCGTTCCAAAATTTGCAGGATGCGGTCAAGTCTGCCAGCATCAGCCAATCCACAAATCCGTGCAGTGCAACAACATTTGTCACCACCCAGAGGGCACACTGAGATGAGCCCAAAAGCCTGGGTTCCTGCAGAGAACTCCATTCCCCCCGTGCCCACTACGAATGTCTTTGCTGCGCCAACTACCAAAAGCCAACCCTAAGTAACTGCCTTCGACCGCCGCATGTGGGCACCTGGAAAAACAGGCACCCCAAAGGCTATGAATGAGTGATTCCTTTCTTGCTTACTTCCAAGCGGTTCCTTCTCAACAACAACCCTGCAAAACAATCATCCCGGAGCGCCCTGCACCACACCGGGCCCCTTTCCCCCAGTCTTCAGCACGCCTCCCTGCAGCCCCTGTTGCGCGAGCGGCGCCGCGGCAGCCGCCACATCGCCGTTTCCCAAAGCCAGCCTGGAAGCACCAGGTGCCGGGACTGCCTCGGTGGGCCTGGACAGGCCATTCGCAACCTCCCAGTTCGTGGCGCCGCCCTTGTTGCCCCACTGGCCGCTGGCGGCATTCCACGCCCCCGATGTGGGCAAGCCATTGAGCCCCACGGCACTGTTCTGGTTGGGCAGGCACAGCGACCCTGGAGCGCTGGCCATCCGCGGGAGTGGTGACAGCCCCTGCTGGCCCATGCCAATACCGATGTTCTGCTGCCCGGACTGCAGGCCTGCGGCCAGGGGGCTCATCATCAGGCCCCCCATCTGCGGGCTGCCTGGCAGCATGCCCAGCGGCATAAAGGGGTTGACCCGCATCGGGTTACCTTGCCCCATCTCTGAGCATGGCGGCATGTTGATACCTGAGGGCAGGCTGGGAGCGGGAGGCACGCTCATGGACGGCATCCCGCCTGGGAGGTTCACCGGCATCCCCCCAGGCATCATGCACGAGATGAAGCCAGGAAAGAAGGGCATGGGGGGCATGGGCGAGGCCGGGGCGGGGCCCATGGGGAGGCCCATGGGGCCCATGCCCGGGAAGGCCGAGAACGGGCTGTTGGAGGGCGCCTTGGAGAGCACGGTGTCCGCCAGCTTGTTGTCCACCGACACGGACAGCTGGGGCATCTTCCCCATCACCCCCTTCATCCCCTCCATGTGGTCGATGATCGCCTGCAGGTTGTCCCTGAACTGCGACAGCAGCTCGTTGTTCTCGTGCACCCTGAAGGACCCCATGTTCACCTTTATCTGGTTGAGCACGGCGTAATTGGCGCCTAGCAGCTGCGATATGGCCGCCCCAAGCCCCTTGTTCGCGTCGCTGATTGGCCCCACCGGCGGCAACGACCCCCCCAGCGGCAGCTGCACGCCGCCCCGCCCGCCCCCCCCGCCGACCCCGCCCTCGCGGGACACGCCCGCGGACGCCCGCGACGCCGGCTCGCGGCACTGCCTTTTGGACGTGCTGTCCTCGTCGCCGCACTTCCGCCTCTTGCTCCCGTCCCTCCGCGCCAGCTGCACGGCCCGGAGGGCCGTCTGCCGGGTGGTCTTGCGCGGCAGCTTGGACGCCACCATGACGTACCGCTCGGTGGGGGGCACGTCCGGCGGGATCTTCTCCAGCTCCTCGACCAGGACCCGCTCCTCCTCGGGGCTCCACTCCTCCGTCAGGGCGCACGCCACGCCCGGCATCGGGTGATCCGCCCCGCCGGCCTGCTCCCCGCCGGCGCGCCCGTTGGGCTGCAGGCTCCTCGCCTCGCCGGCGGGCTGCGCAGCAGAACCCGGGCACGGCTGCGGGTCCATGGGGACGCTGGCCAGCGAACCCCGGTGGGGCGCTGTTGGGGCGCATTATGGCGTGTCAGATTCGCCGGCGCCCCCTCCCACCCCCCAGTGCGCCAATGTACTGGTGACGGCCCAGGTCTGGGCGTCAATGTACTGTTTGACGGCGTCGGGGTACGGCGGAATCAGGAGGCCCAGGAGCGCTCCCGTGGGCCGCGCCGCTGCTGCGGGCCCTTTGGCGTTGATTGACGGGGGGCCGGGCGGCTGGGCGGCGGGCCATGGCGGATCAGGGGGCGGGGGGCGAGGGGGGCCCAAGGGCGGGCCTGGACGTGGGGTGGATGGACAGGGTGGCCGACGCGCCCGTGTTCAGGCCGTCCATGGCGGACTTCGAGTCGCCCATCGAGTTCATCAGCGAAATCGAGGCCGAGGCGGCGCGCTACGGTGCGGATGGGGGGAAGGATGTCGGGCTCGGGTGGCCCAGCGTCGATTGGCGGGTGGATTGAACGGCGTCGGCGGTGTCTGGGGGGCGTTTGACCCGGCCGGTGGTTCCTGGTCAGGGATATGCAAGATCGTGCCCCCCCCGGAGCTGGCGTGCTCGGCGGCCCTGCTGGTGAGTGCGTTGGTGCCTCCGTGTGCTTTCTCGCCCTTGGGCAGTGATTGGTCTTGCTCGGTCGTCCCTGCTTCGGCGCGCGGCAGTGCGCCTGCCGCACGGTTCCTTGGGCATGACACGCATGTCTGTTGCATTTTCCGGTCGATTCTCCGTTTTTGGCGTCCATTCGGATTTGGAAGTGTTTGCGCGGCGGGCTAGAGCGATGGACGTTGCGGACCGGTGACGCTGTGGGTGATTGTGCGTTTCTATGTTCGAACAGTTTGCAGAGGACTCGCCACTCAGCAGCTTTTGCTTTGACGTTCGGCAACAGCGGGTCAAGGACTTTGTTTGGCTTGATTTTAACAGGAAGGAGGAGATATACAACACCAGCGAGTAGGGTACCCCGAGGTCAACACGTTGTTCCACAAATTCCGTTGTGCCGCCCCTGAATAGGTGCTTGGGGGGTGGGGTGCTGTGCCATTGGTTGCTGATTCTGTCTTGCAGAGGCGGGTCCAACAAGTTATGGAGTTGATCTCGCGCTTCTGAGTAGATGGCAGTCGCTGCTTGCAGGAGTACATTCTTCCCATTACTGTGCTGATTGCTACAAAGAGACACAAGTTGAACAATTTGCCCCTCCTTAGGTCCAGATTTGCAGCCCTAATGGTCAACACATGAAGGGGTGTTGCAGGAGTTGCTATTTAACGTCGTGAAATTCAGGCCAGGGTTCATGTTTTCTGTGCATGGTTTTCTGTGTCATTGTGTTGCCGCTCAATGTGGCCACCCACTGCTTGGTGTGCAACTGCAAGTGCTCCGTTGATTGTGCATAGCATGTTCAGTCTGCAGCCTCTGGCCATGCTCACCAATCCAGTCTGGATGCTTAGGAAGTACACTATCAAACAGTTCGAGGAGAAGGCCAACCAGCATGCGGTCAAGCTCTTGGGAACGTCGACACGTGTACACCCCAAAATAGTGGAGGTACATTGAGCTGCCACGCCTACTTGAATTGGAAGAGAGGTTTTGTGCGCAAGATGCTAGCTTCACCCACAAAGTAGCGTGTGCTTGTGGACACCCCATCTACCCAACACTCGTACTTGTTTGTTGTGGAGACGGGGAAGGTGTCATTAAACTGCAGTCCTGTTGAGTTACTGCGACACTGCTATGAGAACTTCAAACCGCAGCTTGCAGTGTTTCCTCCTTTGTTCAAGGCATGTTCTGTCAGCGATGGACCCTGTCACCATTCGTTGCAGGCAGAGTACTGGCGCGAGCGTTTGAGTGTGGGAGGAAGGGCCATATGGGTGGAGTATGGTGCGTTGAGATACTTTGCCCCCAGTCAACGATGTCTGCTGTCCATGCAATGATTGTCAAAAACTTGCCCCACGCCCCAGACCACACCATCCCACCTATCATTCTGTTAGCTGGATTGTTGACTGTATCCACAGTTATAGAGTAAACCAGCACCCTGCAAGAGATGCATAGGATACACCACCAGCAGTGGGTTTCAACAGAAAATGCACGGTCCCATTATCTCTGCACCATGTGTTGAGAAGGTGGGCCTCAAATATTGAAAGGGTTGGTAGGTTGGACTGTGCAGTCTACTGCATGGTTGGACACATGACCCTCAATGTGATGTGGCATGGCCTGCCAAGCTTTGCAAGCTGAGTTATTGCTCTTTCTAAATTTGTTGCGACACAGCTAACCGTAGTCTGCTTGTACAAAGGGGTGGGGTGGGGTGGGGGGTCAGGGCACTGTGGCTATTTTTTGGTCATGTGTTAAGAGGGACAAGCTGTGCCGGGCACAGCTCTGTCCGTACATGTGTGAATGTTCTTTGTGGCAGTATCTTGGAAGCCTGTTCCCTGCACCTGGCGAGTGAATCTACAAATGTCACTGCCACCAAAATGTGCGGTTGCAGACTTTATGGGAACAATTTATTTGGATGCATATTATGACTGATATTTCTTTGCAGATTGCAGCACAACGTTGAGGAATTATTAATTAAGCATGAGGAATTATTGATGCGACTGTACGAATGATGCTGCCTGTGTTTAGGCTGAAGAATGTGAATTGAGACCATCCTGCAGCAACAAGGTTGTCTTCTTATATTTGGCTGCACAGAGGTTGCACAGAGCTGTGCTGTTCTTGGTTAAAGGATATCACAAGGGGTGCACTTGGATGACACTGTGTGCACAAAGTTAACTGACACAGGGGTGCAGTTGAGTGTCCATGGAGCATCATTACTTGCGACAAGGCAGCCTTGTTCAATTTGTGAGTGGTTGGCTTGATGTGCGCAGGTAATGATGTTGAGGGCACTGGCTTCCTGCCTCCAGGTGATGGTAGTCACACACTATCAAATACAAGATGGAACCTCAAGGTGAAATGCTTCTCTAATTACCTTTGCAGTTTGTTATAGACATGTCCTTCACCCGGCGCTAGCAATCGATTCTGGCATGTTCGATGTTTTGCCCTGATGTTCATGCACATCGCAACTCACACCACAAGATGTCCAAATTTAAACTCGGAGCTCCAAGCTGTGGCGCTGTTTGGTTGCCCGAGTAGCACGAGCGCAGCAGCGCATCTCCTGTTGGGATATCCCTAGCTGCACGTCAACATCTTTTGCCAAGGCCCCAGAGAGCGGCACTTCTGAACATGTTGCTGGTGATTCTCCTAAGCTGTGCATTCCATTGGTGTCCTGTGCCATGACCTGACAAAGCACTGCCCTGCACCAGCTTGCATTGTTGGCCGCTGTTTGCGTACCCAAGCTTTAGCCGGGAACGAATTTAACCCACGTGTCCCTGGCAAGACCCCAATCGGATGTCTCAATTGTTGGCTTCGGTGCTGGCAGTCGGTGGTGCCACCCATGTTGTTTGCTGGCTGACTTGCCTCTGGTAAACAGGAGAAAAGAAAGCATGACATGCAGCAGGCATTCCCCACCTGAGCAAGACTGCAAAGACTGTCCGCAGCGAACACATGACCGCGAAATCTTGAAGTGCGGCAGAAGGCAACTCATAACAAAGCATGGAAATGTGTATCACCTCGAACCGGCACCACACCAGCATCCAGCACTCGAGCGACTGTGTGAAATGCATATACTCAGCCAAAGTTGAATACTATCTAGATGGTCGTTGGTTGCACTCCGCAACTCGTGCATCGTCTTTGTAGTTGTGAGAAAGAGTCTCACAACTCCTACCTAGAAGAGGAATAGCAATAGTAGGACATGGCTAACCTTGTGGCACTCCCAGCTCCCAAGTTTGCGACGACAAACAAGTCCATGAATTTCCAGATGGGATCTACCATCCTGCTCTTCCCTCTGCCAGTTTCTGGTGCCTTGTGTCCTCTGGGATCAAGCTGTGGTCACCTTCTTCTCTCCAGCACTTGTTGTTTGGCTTTGTTGACACCTTTGGCAGTGTCTGCAAGAGCATAGAAGAGTCTGAATGTTTTGTTTGATAAGGAATGCCCAGCAATTTGTGGCCTCCTGTTGTTTCAGAAACAGATTGAGAGATGCTTTGTCGCACCATTATCCCCTGTGAGTGTTATGCACCTGACATTTGTCTTGTCCTTTGTGAGTGTCATTTTCGCCAACCACTGTCAGGTCCTTGCAGGCTGCCAGCAATGCTGATGTGTTCCAAAGAGTGGGGCTCAGCAGAGACACGTGGCATGATCAATGTTGTAGTTCACATTGCTGTGGTGGATACTTCCATACTTGCAAGAGCCAGTTGTCCTTTTTGAGTATTGGGGTTGGGTTGATGCAGGAACTGGCTAAGGACAAGGGGTCTGTGCTGCGCCACATCAAGGGGGAGTACCCCGGCATTTCGCAGCCCATGTTGTATGTAGGCTCTCTCTTTGCCACATTCTACTGGCATGTCGAGGACCACTTCATGCACAGTATCAACTTCATGCACTGTGGGGCGCCGAAGACGTGGTACGGTGTGCCAGGCAGCTATGCCGAGGCCTTTGATGGCGTGGCACTGAAGAAGGTGTACGCACAAGCTGTGGACAGACTCATGAAAGAGGAGAATGTACCACTGGAGAGTGCCCTGGCCCACGCGCTGCGTACGCTGTGCAGCAAATCGACCCTGTTCTCTCCTGAGTTCCTCATCGATGCAGGTGGGGGACTGCATGGGATGCAGGGAAAGAATCACACTGTGCTGCAGAAACCAAGGGAGCACAGCAGCATCAAATGTACACAGGCAATGCTTTGAGGACACTTCTGGTTGTGAATGACACCTGACGTCAGTTGATCGGTGCAAGGATGGTATCTTTGTCGCACGTGATACGTGGCATTCATGAGTCCATGAAGGATGCCCAATAGCAAGGCACCGATGCCGAATGCAGTTATCCCACAAATTATATTGGTTTTTCATCTGGTGATGTGCTGAATTTGTTTGCTTGTGCTGGTTTGCTGTTTCTGCTTGCCACCTGCTGCATTGTGTACAAGTGGTGGTCAGAGAGAGACAATGTAGTTGAATTCGAAGATTGTCCTGTGCCCACAGCAGAAGCGGTGTTCCACCTGGTGAAATAAGGCGCTATTAATGGAACTGCAACCCATGATTCCACCATTCCGATGGGTTTCCCTTGTCTGTGTGCCCCACTCTCATTTACTCAAGGCACGCGTTTTGGTTGGGCCTTCGGTCCCTCAGGGATCAGGGTTGTGACCTGATGTGGTATAGTGACTTGCAACACGTTACCAAAGAGGAAGCTGTCATGGTCCACTTCAAATGGTTGACAATCGCCAAAAAAAGTGTGCGCGACTTTTGCTGTAGACCAAGCAGTACCAATGCCCCTTCTAGCACAGCACATGTCATCCTGAGTGCACACCACCCCCAAAGAAATCTGAAGATGGCAGCAGACGTGAAGTGACATTGTATGTGTGTGCTGCCATTTTGAAGGAATCCCAGTGTATCGGGTGGAGCAGTGTCCGGGTGAGTTTGTCGTCACATTTCCACGGAGCTATCATGCGGGCTTCAGCCATGGCTTCAACATTGGTGAGGCTGTCAATTTTGTGCTGCCTGAATGGTTTCCGATGGGCAGCGAAGCCGTCAAGCGGTATTGGTACCTGCGACTTGGCCACATTCTGCCCCATGAGGAGATGTTGTGCAAGGAGGCTGCATCCATAGGTGGGTGGGCGATCATCGAGCTGTGGTACAGTTCATGGGCTCGGGACGGAATGCAATCCAGAGGGTCTGCAGTTGCCTTGGTTGCCATGTTGCAGTGTCCGCGGTCCTGCAGGGCATTGCATTTCAATCAAACCGTCTCTTCCAAGAGGGAAGGGTGATGGGTGGGTCTTTCAGCTCCAGCCTGATGGGCAGGGATTTTAATTGTGTGTGCATTGTATGTTGTGGTGAGGGTTCGCCTTGGTTGAAACTATGCAAGGGCATGGGAAGCAGAGGATTACCTTTGTGCCTGCTTAAAACGATGCTTGCGAGAAGTCATTCTGATGGGAAGCCCAAAATGCACCTATCTGCCGCGAATTGCAGCTTCCTGTGGCCGCATCAACCCTTTGGCGGTTCACTGTTGTGGAATGAAAGTATTGGATGCAGCTGTAGCCGGTGGTTCTGTCGTGTGCTTTCAGTCATAGTCTTCGCCTGCATAGCCAGATAAGCCACTTAGCGTCTCGTTGTCCTCTCTCAAGCCTACTACTCCTTGAGCACATTGATCGGGGGGCCAACGCCCCTTTGTTTGCTGCCAGGCTATCGACTTTCCTGTGGAGGGGAGACAAGCCGGCCAGACCACGTCGTGATGCGGGAGTTCGTGAAGTACGTGCTGGAAGTGGAGTCCCTAAAACAGGCTCTTAAAGACGCCGGCCTCCCTGTGGTCGTGGTGCCCGCCCAGCGCGGAAACTCCAGCTGCATGAGGTGCGGTCGGAAGTGCTTCCTGAGCCACGTGCACGTGCCCGGGGACGGAGAGAAGTACCTTTGCCTGCACTGTGCCCTCTGCGCCCGAACGCAGTGCCTGCCCTCGGACGACGACTGGTGCGGGTACAAGCTGTGCGGCTGGCAGGTGGAGACTAAGAGGTACGCGCTGGAGTTCCAGAAGGTTGCGAGGCTCTTTCGGAAGTGTGGGGATTTTGAGGGGTCTCCCCTGGCCGCGGCGGGGCAGGACAGCCCCGATTAGGCGACGGGTTTTGGTGTAATGGTCAATAGGGCCGCCAGGGGGGAGTTGGCAATGCTTTCCGATTTGCGGGGGAGTCCCTTCGTTCGAATTATCGTGTAATACATTGGAATGAAAAAAGGAAAAAACCAGAAAAAAGGGGGGAATTGGCGAAGCGAGTGTCGATGGTGCATGCTCATGCACGTGCTGCGGAGAAGAGGGGGGTGAATGAAGACGAGAGGATCGGGATTTGGTAGTTGGTCAGCGTGCGTAGATTAGGTGTCCTTGCAGTGAGACCCAGCGGGCGTTTTGGGCGATGCTCTTGTAGAAGGCACGGGGTTGTTGGCGAGAAAGTGAGTGGAATCTGTTGGGTGTGTGGGCTACCCTCGTGACCCGCCTGCGCTCGATGTGCTGGCGAGGACTTGCAGGGTTGGCTCTGGCAGCCAGCCAGATGAATAAATGGAGGGGTGGCATTGAGGGAAGCGTAGCAATATAGATGCAGGAGTCTGTAGATATGGTTGTAATAATATGCGACGTTCCAGCAGTGGCATTTTGTGAGGCGGTTGTGGTGTGTTACGGAATTATCGAGGCACATCCAACTCTCCTCCTCAGCTTCGTCCTGGGCGCAAGGCCAACGACAGCGGCGGCGGATGATTTGTGTCACCAACAGAGGGCGGTTAAAAAATTCGCATTAAAAGCCTGGCAGCTCGCTGAAATCCAAAATTCCGTCAGGGAGGGATGCGACTGATCGCATCAATGCCAGCCTGTTTTGCTGCAATGACGCGTCATCCGCCATGACGAAGACTTTGTCAAAAAATGCGTTGATGGGGTCCACGAGCTCCTCGGCCCGCTCCAGGAACAAAGGTATGGGCATGCCCTCATCGACCTGTGCCACCCCAAGGGAATGCATTCAGCGACATGTGCGCAATTCCCACAGTTGTGAAACCGTCCCGCTGTTCTTGAGACAGCGAAATTCTGCACCCGCTGCACAGCAAAGAGGCGGGCCGTGAGGCTCCTGGACTCGAGATCGAGATTCTCGATTCGCCGGGCGGTGGCGGTGACGTCTGGCGAGAGGCTGGGAATTGTGCTGCGCCTGGCAGAAAGCCTTGCAGTGATGCAACCCCGCAATGGATTGCAGAGAGGTAAGAAGGCTGATGCTGAAAATGAGGGCAGGGTCACGATGCACTTGGGTTACAGCATTGTGGGATGGCCCACGTGGGCATCCGTGGGAGGGCCGTTGAAATGCACTAACGTTGGACATACCACGCGTAAGTGCACTTCAACGGCCCTCCCGCGGATGCCCACATGGGCCGCCGCATGTGGGAAGGCGTGGAGGATGCTGTGTGAAGCCGTGGGCCCACGCATTACAGATTCTGTAAAATCGTATGAGAGAGGGGCGCCAATAGCTCCTGGTCGCATTCAATACTGCCATGGTGCCTTCGCAGCCGACAATGGTGTAGCCGAAGTGCGTGTGTGCAGACAATCCTACAAATCAGCGGTCGTATTCAGAGGCCGGAGCAACGCACCTTGCTGTTGATAGCCTCGCACGCTTGCCACAGTTCCTCCTCCTCTGGCAGCAGGAACAGCGACACGTCCACTGGCAGGGGCTCCACATTTTTGCCCTTCATGATGCGAATGGGCCTAGAGAGGGCTGTCATCACGCGGGACAGCCGGGAGTCGCTGCCAACCCGCAGCTCGGCCGCCAGCTCTTCCGCGCTCGTGGCTGCCAAGTAAGGGTCCAAGCCCCTCTCAGAGAGGACAGATCGAACTGCAACGCACACAGCGTGAACAGAGCTCAACACTGACACACCAAGGGTGCTGAGGGTGCCGTAGTATATTCAACCCTCCCACATCATACAATTTTACCGCTACGCTTTTTGCTCTGCACTCTTTTTCAGAGCATCGTTTTTGTTATTTTCACACTGCTCGGCAAAAGTTGCACTAAAAGAGCATTATCTATTTTAATTTTTTTCCTGCAAAAAATGGGCAAGTGTCACGTTACTGTGCGGAAGGGTTGAATATACTACGGTGGGCGGAGGCCAACATCCTCGTGTGCACATTCGTGAACCAAGTGGGCAGCTTGGAATAGTGCGCCCGAGATACCTGCATTGGCCCTTCATCACCACGCTGGCGCCTGCACGTGGTTTGCCGAAGTTGGAATATGAAATCAAAGGAAGTGGAACATTCAATAACCGCATGGCATACCGGCCAGCAAACATGGCGTGGTGTCATACACCCGTCGTAGACGAGCGTTGGAACTGCATTGCGCAGTCCACCGCAATAGTCACATCCGTCCAGTGCTGTGCTGACAATGATGGTCTACTGCGCTCAATGTTGCAAGATTACCTGGTACACTTGCAGAACTGTCTATCACCTCCACCTGAGAGGAAAAAACCTGAAAATGCCGAGCGAGGGCGTGCCCAACCCCCACCCCACCCCCCCTGCCCGCTTTTGCCATGGACTTTTCGCTTGACCACAAGAGCCACGGAAGAGTGCAGGACACATGGGTCGAGCATGCAAGCCACAGACAGAACGGTCACAACATCCTTGTACCCCAGGGTGGAGCAAGCCCTACCTGCCTCAATTTGTACGCCCTTATCTGCCAACAACTGCTCCAAACGTCGTTGAACGAATTCTAAAGTCTCTGCCCTGGACGCCTCAGCAACGTCAACAGGTTGAATGCCCGCTGCAAGGTCCACACACTCGCGCAGGTTGAGCCTCACTCGGTTGCTGATAACCGTCTGCAGCATCCCATAGGCAGTTCGCCTCAGGGCATATGGATCGGCAGTCGCGCTTGGCGCACAGCCGGCAGCTATCAGACCCACCAAGCTGTCCAATTTGTCACAAAGAGACACAAGGATGCCAGCCGGCGATGTGGGAAGGATGTCGCTGGCGTTCCGGGGCAGCACAGACTCGAAGATCGCCTGGGACACATCTGGCGATTCACCAGACATCAGTGCATAATGCCTCCCCATGGTCCCAGCCAGAGACGTCATCTCTGTCACCATCGCAGTGGCGAGATCTGCCCGGGCTATCTTTGCAGCCCGCTTGGCGACAGGAACAGCAGCCTCCAGGCACGCCGCCCTGGCCACGGGCTCCACCAGCGACTCCACACGTTCAGACTTGTCCAACAAGCTGCCTAACTTCTTTTGAAACACAGTGCCGGCCAGCTTTGGGCAGAAAGCGTCCAGGGGCTGGCCCACGTCCTCATTGTAGAAGAACTGCGCATCCTCAAAACGGGCCTGCAGCACAGCCTCGTTGCCCCCCCTCACAGTCGGCTCATCCAACGGCCCGTTCGCCACAGCCAGGAAGGAAGGCAGCAGGGTGTCCGGATCGCTCTTGCGCATCAGCGGGAAGTACCTCTGGTGCTTTCGCATGACCGTCACCAGCACGTCCTGGGGCAGACGCAGGAATGCGTCATCAAAAGACCCCACAACAACAGTGGGGCTCTCCACGAGGCCAGTCACCTCCTCAAGCAAATCCTGCTCGATGGCAGAAGGAATGAAAGCACCCAAGCTGCCAATCTCCTCATGGATTGCAGACAACACGAGCTGTCTCCTGCCAGAGATACTAACTGTTATGCCATTCCCTTTCAGTGTGTCCAAGTACTGCTCGGCTGATTCTATGTTGACCTCTGCAGGGGATGAATTGCGAAGCACACGAGTTCTGGCTCCAGCTGTCAGCCCTGCAAACTGCACAGGCACGATGCAGTCTCCGTGGAGAGCCAGGAGCCACCTGACTGGCCGACTCCACGCCACGTCGCCATTCCATCTCATCGATTTTTTGAATGATATCTCCCGAAGCACACTGGGCAGCTCCGCCTGCAGCACTTCCGATGTGTGCTGACCCTCATCGCGAACATTGGCAAAAACATACTCCACGCCCTTCCCATCAGTCTCCTTGATTATCACATCCAGAGAAGCCCCTGTCTTGCGCATAAAGCCTTCCAAGGCTTTGGTCGGAGTGCCATCTTCGCAGTAGGCCACTTTTGCAGGTGGACCTTTCATCTTCTCCTCACTCACAGCTTGGTGCGCAGCCAACGCCTTCACCAACACTGCCAACCTCCTGGGCGTCCCCTCAACCTCGACGCCCTCGTGCCTCAGTCGGACCCTTTTCAGCATATTCTGCACCTTTACCTTCAACTGGGCAGCCGCCGATGCCACATCCTCAGGTGGCACTTCCTCACAACCCACTTCCAATACAAACGACCTGCAATCTTCAGGACTCAATTTTCTCTCGTTTCTGACCATGTCCACGCGTGCATCATCGCCAGCTGATGCACTTTTCCCATTGCCAATTGCAGGTGAACCAGCAAGGCCCAAGGGGTGTCCAAGCTCCTCCCGCTTGGCAATCCACGACTTGGCTATGTCCCTTGCCAAGCCCCTCATAGCTGCAAAGCAGTTCGACCTTTCTGTGACGCCCACAGCCCCTCTGGCGTCCAGAACGTTGAAAGTGTGTGAGCACTTGAGCATGCAATCGTAAGCTGGTATCGGCAGACCCTTTTCCAACAGCATCATGGCCTCCTTTTGGTATAACTCGAACCTAGTCCAGTGGTCCTCTACATTAGCTTCCTCCATGTTGTAACAGCTCATTTCATACTCATTCTGCAGGAAAAGTTCCCCATATGTTATCTGGCGGTTGTACATGATGTCTTTAAAATGCCTGGCATTTTGAAGGGTCATCAAGATGCGCTCCAAACCATATGTAATCTCAACAGCGGGCACAGAAAGGGCACTGCCTCCAGCATTCTGAAAGTACGTGAACTGAGTTATCTCCATCCCATCCATCCACACCTGCACGGCAAAATGCATATTGAAGAACGTTCAGAATAAAAAAAAACAGAGACACCAGTTCACTGCTGCAAGTGAGACTCCACAGTCATCTTCTTGGCTGTAACCGACTTGTGGTGCCAAAAGTCTGCAAACAGGAAAGTGGCTATCCAGCTGCGCATGCAATACTCATGGACGCACAGAACAGTGTCCAGGCAGCGATTGAATATGCTTCCATTCTGTATGGCAATCCTCCTTGAGGCAAAGAACCTTTTGCCCGCGGAGCGGGCAACAGCAACTGCCTCTCTTCAAAATCAAAATTCACAGAGAATCCCAACAGCATGGGGAGCTTGCCAGGCACCAAATTGTCAACTTCTTCATTGCATCTTCCACAGTGGACAAACCAACCAGGTGTTTGATCGATTTTGCCAGCAGAGCATACAAAGTTAGGGCCAGGATTTGACACCACAGTATCTCACAAGATGTTTTTCTCAGGCCAGCACAGAAGCAGTTCCATGCCATACCTCCCATCCAAGGCCCCATGCCCCAAGAACAGGTGACTCCCAGTTGTCTTCAACAAAGCGTATGTCATGAGCTTCAGAATTGATTCCTAAAGCTGCCAACGACCCCAAGTAAAGTTCTTGTGGATTGCCAGGATCAGGCTTCAAAACAACCTGCAGAGCAGAGAGAATAATAAGGCAAGCGGACATTGTTAGAAGAGCTGACAAGCATCTGGTGCTTTCAGATGCAACGTCGCCAGCCACTATTTTGTCTCGCTGCACAGCATTGGGCAGCCAGCATGCTTGCATAATCTGCTCACATCATATCATTCATTTAAGAGTTTCTGCAACCGCTTGCTCATTCATCCCACGTTTTGGTCAGTGTTAATATACAAACAAGGCCAACAGCCCAAGCCAAGATTGTCCACAAACGAAAGGTTGACAAATGGAAATATTGCAGAACAAGTTTTATTTGTTCAAAGCACCATAGCCAGGCCATACCTGAAACTGGGTGTGTTTTTGAACCCTGTTTGGATTCTTGCCATATCTGCTGTCGTCTGGCCGAACACTTGGTTCTGGATAGCATGCATTCCACGACTCTGGACCAAGGACACGAAGGAAGGTGGCAGGGTTCATAGTTCCAGCACCCACCTAAGCACATGGGCGAGAATCGTAAGCCAACACATATCACAAAATGTGCAAAGCAGCCCCCGAGTTAAGTAACGTTGCAATCACTCAGCATAGAGTTGATTGAATTGGCCGCAATTCACGTACTTTGCTTTGGACGCAACAGCTGAGCACTGCCAGAAAAATTCGAATCAAGCAGGCATGGCCCAGGGATGGTGTGATGAGCCTTAAACAATGCATTATTCACAGATTAGCATGTTAAGGACGCACTTGCTGCACAGCAAAAACGTCCTGAAATCGCGCTGCGCACTGAAGCGTCAAACTCAGCGTTCAATGGACACGCCATCGACAGGGCATGTCCACCATCAACAAAACACACAAGTCCAAACAAGTCCATAAATGGCAACCGCCCCACCCCCCCCAGTGCCCCACCATGTCCCACCCACACCGCCCTCATTGGAACTCCAACTCGCCTCGGTGTTGTGCGGCAGCCACACCGTGCACCCCAGCGATGCCCAGTACCCCTGCAGCCTGGCAATCGCCTCCTGAAACGTGGGCGCATCCCCAATGGCCCCCCCGCCCAGCATCCCAATGGCTGCCGGCCTGTCCGCCGGCCGAGTCTCAGAGGCGGCCGACGCCTGCACCGCCGCGTGACGCCGATCGGCGATCGGCTGGCCGCTCCCGGAGGACCCGGGGCGACATCCCAGGCAGAGCAGCGACGTCCATGGCTTCGGGGCGATGGGCGGCGTCGGGCCGCACAGGCAGAGACGGACTCTGGACAGGCCGGCCGACATGGGGCTGCCAGCAGCGAGCAGGCCCGCCCGCGACGGTGGAGACGCGGACGGGCGCCGTGGAGCGACGGGCGGGGTGGGTTGGGTGGCGGGTCGCCCCAGGCCCTGGGTGTGCGCCACCAGAAGTGGCACAGAAGACCAATGTACTGTGGTCTGGCTGTCGTTGTCGTGCCGTGCAGTGCATTGTGTGGACGTCGCGCCGATACGTGTACCCGTATTTCGGTACCATAGGTTTTAAGCCCTTCCGCATAGTGACGTAACGCTTGGCCTGTTTTGGGGGAGGCAACAACAAAATAAACAACGCTCTTTAGATAGAAATTTTGCGGAGCAACGCAAGAATGATAAAATAACACTCTGAAGAACACATTTTGCGGAGCAAAAAGGGTAACGGTCAAAGTTTCCGATCCTGAAGGGCTTAAAAAACTGCGGTAATGGAAGCGGTTGGCGTGGCATAGATTTGCGCAGATGGCTCAGACGCGGCCACGTCGCCGACCAGAACATAGAGTTTGCCACCAAATTACAAGACGAACTCCAAGCCCCCACGCCCCACACGCCATGGCTACGGCAGCACAGTCCATGCAACCACTTCAAGTTGTCGATGTTTTCGGCGTGTTCCTTGTCTCGAGGAGGGCGCAAAGCGGATGAGAACTACTTGCAGACCGTGGGCAGAAAGTGCAGCCCTCACTCAACAGGCAAGAACTTCCAGCACTTGTCCCTCGTCAACTGGGGCACAGATTTGTACCTTGTTCTGAGATTTGTGCTGGAATTTGGCGTTGAGTGTGACCAAATCAACACAGTATCACTGCGGCACGTCTTAATGGATTATGCACATAATACTGATGGTGCCACGCAGGCTGGTGGCGCACCCAGAATTACGCCAAAATATAATTTCCTCCCATGCACCCCGCCAGCGGCCCACTCAACCAGCAACACCACGCTTGAAACGAAAACATCCTTTGATCATTACACTGGCACAAAACTACAGCCAAAAGGGCACCCTACACACCCAGTCAATAGCGTCACACTCATTTGTACCCTTCCCCTCACCCTGGCGACAACCTCCGGCAAACACCACGCCCTGATCAACAGCCTGGTGCGGAGACCTTCAGGCTAGTGTACCGCTAGGCTGGTACATCACCGAGCTCAGCATCGGCACATCCCCCCAGTGCCATACTCAGCATTTCGCCACAGCAAGGTGCACAGGCTTGAGGAACGCATGGGATCCCGGACACTCAAGATTCATCTCCACTCGTGGCTCAAGTTCCCAGCCGTGTTGTGGCAACAGGTGGGATGCGCTGCAGGTCCATGGTAATGTCCTGGAAGCGCGCAATGTGGCGCACCAGCGTCTGCACATGGCTGCGCTCCGCCTGGCTCTCCGCTATCATCAAGAACTCCTTGCCAGTCGCCTCGTCCACGTCGATGAAGAAGTCAACATCGCTGGTGGATGTGAACTGGCCTGCTAGGCAGTCTGCACCGCCGGACACCCACTGCCGCTCGAAGTTCTTGTTCTTCATACACATCAGCTGCATCCGCAGCGCCGACTCCGTGATGTCCACCATTCCTGCCAGCTTTTCGAGCGAGATGCTGGAGTACAGCTTAAGGTACTGGGGGAGGTCAGTCACGCCCTGGTGTTGCCGCACCTCCTCCATGAACAGCCTCAGCTGGTTGTGATAGGCCTCCTGTGCAGAATGAGGAATCGATGGATTAGCCGTATTCACCTGGGAGGCGCAAGGGCAGTGCCTGGTCGCCTCTGTGACGAATGCATTTGGCAGTTTTGGCAACTTCAAGACAAGCTGATGCCAATAGTTTGATTGCTGTCCAGGACAGATAACGCCGATCCAAGTGTTGCTCCTTACTCAATGCACTGACGTTCACGGACGTTCACAGGTATTCAGGTATTCAGGAATCAGCTCTTGCAGAGTGGATACAAGTACCTGAGAATCTGGTTATGGAGGGTGCTGTACATATGCATGTTTGACTTGACTGTCTGCTGTCTTGGAATCACTCACTGCTCACAGCGAATCGCGCTTGTTGCGCTGTCCTTGGCCACAGAACGGACTACAAACATGCCATTCGAACTGGGCATTCTGCATACAGCAAGTGATCGTCCAACTCAGCTTCTCCAATGCTGATGGATCACTGGTTCACGTACTAATATGCATTTATTTCACCAACGGCATCTGTGACTGATACCCTCCCTCGGTGGAATAAATATCTCTACAGCATAGTTCAATGGTTTCCTCAAAAACAGGTACCAAGCTATCTGAGGTCAAGAGATAGGCAAGTACATCACAAATGCATTCACGTGTACAGCGGCAGTGTGTGCAGCACAGCCTCAAAATCCGCCAATGGGATGTGCCGTCTGTGCTTATCAGGCAAGGCAAACGCATCCTGTGCTTATGCATGTGTCACATCGATCGCAGTCAAGGATCCATATAAACTTTTCCATTTTGTAGCAAACGCCATATGAAGGGCAAGCCAACCAACACTCTTGCCAAACCCATCGATATGAGCCTGACATTTCTTAACATAGCACAATGGATGCAGGTGCAACAGTCCCAACGTTATCCCAAACTTCTTCAATACTCAATACCCACAGTACGGCCCGTTGTGTTGTAAATGTTTAGATATAGTGAAACATCACTTGATGTGTTACACAAAACAGTGACGTGCCTCAACGCAGTGCATTGGATTGGGATACTTTGAATGCACCCCAGGCTGTTCATCGCCACAGACCAAAGGAAATCGCCCCACCTGGTTGGTGTCCCCACTCTTGTTGTAATCAGGCGCCTGGGTGGTGATGAACCTGGGGCAGCCCGCGGAGAACAGCTCGTCGAAGACAGCCATGTTGCCACGCCTCATGGCCTGCACCTTCTCTCGTAGGTGCTCCATCAGCCTCTCGGTGACGCGCTCATCCACGTGGTGCTTCTGCACCCACGGGCACAGTGCCACGGTGATGGCCAGCAGCTGGTACATCTGCTCCTCCTTGCGCTCGATCTGTGTTAGCTGGGTGCGGTCCTGCCGGAATTCCTTGGCCGCAGGGATATACAGCAGAGCATTGTTGAAGCACTGGGCAGCATCAGCGTACCTGCAGGGCAACAGGGCACAATACATGCAGTGACTACCCTTTGCCCTGTTGTTGGTAATTCGTCCTGGCACTGCTGTTGAGGCATTTTATGCCTGTCATATTTATCTAGTCTAGATGTTGTCATATGTCCATGCGGAGCATCCACCTAACCGTAGCAGACTACTACCCTGGCCCCTTGCAAGTCATGTTTGGGACAAACAGAAGGTCATTGGCTGACAGCAGCCAAGAGAGGGATGTCTCAGATGGTGACAATACAAGACAAGGCCTGGACATCCAATGGCATGCTCTATAATTGGCCCTTGCCGGCCTCACACCTGAAGATTGCCAGCAGATCGTGTATACTGCAGCTGCTGAGGTGGCACTAATTTCCACATGGCGTCGCACAATGTGATAATTCGGGACAAAATACCCATTGGAAACGAAACAACAGTGCATTCGACTACAAGAGGATTCAAGGTGGCAGGTCCTGCCGCTGCAGCATTCCAGATCTCCACCCTGAGTCTGAGGACCTTGGGGAGGCCGACAAGGCACCCTGTCGATAACAATTACCCACCTTCTCATCATGAGGTAGGAAAAGCCTGCATAGTAATACAATGTGATGAAGGCGCCGGGAATCTTGCGTGCAAACAGACCCCTGGGCTCGTGCACCTTGAGGGGACCCAGTGCCTTCAGTGCCCCTGCATAGTCCCCAATGAGCGAGTGAACCCTAAGCAACCCGATCAGGCTGAAATAGCCAAGTACTCTCAGCACGTTGCTTCCATTGGGCTGGAAGCCGTCAGATTCCAAAAGCTTCGCTCCGCCATCTCGCTGCAGCTCGGGAATGATGTGTGACTGGTCCACCATGGCCTGAAGGAAATTGAACACGTCCAGTATGTTCCACACCTGATGAAACATCGGTGGGGCAAAATCAGTCTGTGGGGGTGCAATTGATGGTAGTATCTGGCAATCAAGTCCATCACTGCTGCTGGACAAAAATGGTCCAATCGACTACAGGCATGAGTTTCATATGCAAGGCAAAATATAGTTCATGCACGAGCAAAGCAATGATGAGCTGCAAACTGAGAGCTTGCCTTCCAAAGCCAAATGGACGAACATTGTGAATAGAGGATCGGAATTCCACAAGTCTGCACTTTGCAGGCGCAGTGTTGATTGCAACATCAGATACATATTCAACAGACAGCAGCAAGATAGTCAGACTATGGTGCAAGGAATTATCAGGAGAAACAATCAATTCCATTGACTGATGAGCTGACTGACCGAGCGGCCAGGATGCACTTTCTTGAGCCAGTGAGGCATAGAATAAATGCCAATTCGACGTGGCAATCCTCTGATCTGGTGCCTGGAGGTCTCAGCAAACTTGTGGGTTCCTTGCATCCTGTACGGAGAGCATGGCAGGAGGGAGAATAGAACGCACAATCAGTTTTCATCTGCATATATTGATCATGCACCCTTCCTGGGTTTCAGCACATGGGTTCTTGTCAGCACTGCATGTACTGGGTCCCAATTGCAGCTTGCACTGTGGGGAGCTATGGTGTGTTCAAGGAGTTCCAATGCAGATTGGCATTACTAGACAATGGGTTGAGACATGAGATTGCTTTCTTTTGGGAGATGGGAGGGTTTTTGGGACTCCGAGGGAGGGGATTCTGTGTGACAGTGAACAAACCATGTGATAAGATCAGCAACACTGATCTGGAATTCATGCCGAACATCGCCTTTAAAGGTGCAAGAGCAGTGTTTTGTCATGCTTATGTGACAAAATGTAGTCAAAGGATTTGAGAAAGATGAGCTGATGCTGACACAGATGCTGACTGGCTTGCTGATCGATCAGTTCCACGAGACCAACAGCCTCACAGCATTATGCGCATAGTTGCATCTTCTGTTCAGCAGCAGTCTCCCCTCATGTGAGCATAGATCCATGTTTGCATCTTCCATTTGCCAGCCACATGCAGGGGACGAAATGAAGAGGGACAGCAAACCAAGTGGCCGGACAAGAAACTGTGTGCAGTATGATACCTTCTCCTTGCTAGTTTCGAAGTCAAGAAGCACTTGCTTGTCTTCTGGAGTGTGCTGGGAGATCTTTCCTCTGAACTGGTGGTAGGCCTGGAACTGGTACATGAACTCGTCCAGCATGTCCCACAGCCACTCGTTGGGCAGCTGCATGGTCACCTTGCCCCTCAACATGATGTCAAAGAGTTGGCAGTATGTCAGCCACGACTGCTTGCGGTCATGCACCTTTGGGAAGAGACGTGCATACACGTGGCGGTAGTACAGCTCCTGACAGAGGCCACATGCATGCGTTAGGTTACAGGTGATCGAAACAGTGCAATTCATTGCCCTTGCAACTGGGAATTGCTCCCATCCACAACGATTTGTTCACAAACTGTTTGTGTTCTTGTCCATTACCACAGGTAAAGCAGGGACTCATAATGTGTGGCATGCATCTTCCGCCAAAGACACCCTCTTGCTGGTTTCTGCAGCTACCATCGCCTGTTGCAAGGACTACGTCTGTCATAGTTTTATTTGGCAAATACAATCCATGCGATTGCAAGCATCAAGCTGTTGCAACAGTGGAATGGGGAGAATTCGTGCATCTCTCTGTTGCGTCCTTGACTTGCTGCAGCAAAAGATATCTTCAAAATGTCCAACAGCAACAGAAAAGACTCCTGCACAAATTCTGTTCAGTGGGGGACGACCATCATGCCTGGCATGCATCCATCTTGTTGTGAAGGAAACCATAGACTGGCTTGGGGCTGGCCAAGCAGGAATGGCAGTCACAAAAGAGGGCAAGGACATAAAGGGACTGGGCAAGTGGACAAGAAGATTTTGGAACAGCAACATTCAGAATCTGCTGTGTGTGGTGGATGCTCCAACTGTGGCACTCGCCTACTTGTTTGTGGAAATTTTCACAGCCAGCTGGAAGCAAATGGCTGGGCATTCAAGCGCAACCCAAAGAATGCTGATGCCAACAACTGCAGAACATCAGCCGATCCACGACAGCTGATCACCTTTTGAGGGAGAGCATGCCATCGAACTCCTGAGTAAAATGTAGAGCATGGTTTAGATTGTGTGCTAGATTCGTAATTTTTGTAGCGCTGCACATGACATGTCCAGTCAGGCATTCCATTGTTGCACCCAGACAACGCTGACAGATCCGATGCCGAAATCTATCATGGACAGGGCCGAGAGCCATCAATAGGAGCAAGCTTTGCGGACACGATTATTGGTCTCAGAGACAAACCTACGTTGGATCAGGTGCTACCAGAGGGTCAGGGTCCTTGAATATAATGTCGCTGGAGATATTGGGTCAAAAGTGGGAAACACAGGACACAGTGGGTGCTCAGGGGAGACCAGGCAGCACCAACACACAGAAAGACTTGCAATTCAGGAGAATCTCTCCTGAAGTTGTCATCGTGCTCAATACAAGGATGCCGCTTCCGCACCTGGTACAGCAGGCAGAAGACCTGGTCCTTGTCCACAAACTCGGCTATGTCCTCCACCGGTGGCCACGCCGTGTCCTTGAAGTACATGTCGCTCAGCCGAAAGAACGTATGGCTGTACATGGATCTTATCTCAGAGATGTTTTTCTCCCTGCAAGCCAACGGCCATCCGTCACCTCCAAATCTTTGTGCGGCGCCATCACCTGGTCACCGTCGGTGACAAAACTTATCCCAGTGAATAAGAACAATAGGGATCACAATCACAACGAGGCGAGTCAGCCGAACCCGCCGGCACCGCCATCTTCAGGCACACGGATGAGGGTCTGCCGCATTTCCCCGGTGCCCTGAATTTGCCATGCATCCAGCGGGAGCGTCCCGTCAATGCGCGCAATAGCGGACAGTCGAGATCGCTGTTCGACGCGCGGGAGAGCGGCGGCGCCTCCCGGCCGATAGGCGCCCGAGGCCCGGCCCGTGCCCCCCACACCACCCAGCCCCACAAACTTGGTGTTCTCTCCATCTCCGGCTCGCTTTGTCTCGGGATCGCCGCTTAATCTCCCAACAGGTGGAGGAAAAGTGGCATTACGCCTCGTTATTCTGTCTTGCGACAACCTTAGCCCCACCCCCATCCACCCCATCCACCCCACCCCACCCCACCCCACCGCGGCTACGGGTCGGCGGATCTTGCCCAGCCTTGCCTGATATGTTCGTAGAGGTAGATCACGAACTGCTGGACCTTCTCCAGCACCGAGGCGTAGCCCCGGACGCCCGCCGGCGGAACGCCGCTGTAGCGCCTCTCCATCGCGGCGGGGGGCTCGCTCCTGGCGCAGGGGCCTCGATCTGGGTGGCCGCGAGCTGGCGGCTGCCTTGCAGTGTGCCTTCGTTGCGAGCCGGGCGACTGGGTTGCGCTGGTGCCGTACTTTGGTGTTGGCGGGGGACAACAACGCACTACCCTAATCTGTTCTGTTCAACGGTGTCGGGGGTAGTAATAGGGCAGTGACGGGGGTTTGTCAGCAGTCGCCAGACGCGTCACACCGTGAAGGCGAGTGTGAGAATACGGCGCTCTGGGCTGCGCCGTGTTTTTGTTAAACCTTCCGCATACCAACCCAACGCTTGCCCTCTTTTTGTGGAGCAACATCAAGTAAATTTTTGGCGGAGCGACTTCAAAAAAAGGCAGCAACGCTCTGACAAAAATTGCGGATCAAGAAGCGTACGGCAAATTTTTTGTTGCGGAAGGGCTTAACAAAATACGGTATCCGCAAAGTACGCGCCAAGCGGGTTGCAAGGCAGGGTCCCGAGGCACGGGGGCAGAGGTCGTCCAGGGAGAACGCCCCGGCGCGCCAGCGCACCTGCCCCACCAACGGAGGCGGTGTGAAAGGTCGTTCGGGTGTTGAGCGGTGCGCAGCTGGCCACTGGTGCGCAACCTGACGGCGTCGGCCGAGCGACACAGATGGCGCCAGTGGCGTCCAGTGGCGCAACTCCGCCCGTCGGCGGTGTCAATACATTAGCAGTTAACTTTTGATCCATCCCGAGCGTCTCTGAGGAGAACACCACTGGATTCATATCGTCCGGCGTGGCCATCGTCACAGAGCGCGGCGCGTCGCACCCGCGCACGTGTTTGCCGGGATTCATCACGCTCGGCGAGGCCGCGGCGTGCCCGCCAACTTGTGGTAGGAGTTCCAAATCTCTCCTTTACCCCACCCAGCCTGTGGGGTACCGTGAGGTCGAACTTTGCTAGTTCCACGGTAAGATCCTGGAAACGCCGGGGCCCCCGGCGGTCAACCACCGCGAAGAAGCCCGCCGCGGGCAACGGCCAACAATGCAGCCACCGATGCTAGTCCAGCGACGCCGGAAGGATGGCCCATGGCCTGCATGGTCAAGCCCAATTTCTCCTTCCATCATGCTGTGGCTGACTGACAGAGTCTTGAAAGGCAATGTTTCTTCAATCAATAAACATTGCGCACCGAGGCAAGAAAATAGCGGCCAAATAACTTGTCGCATTTATTCACAGCGATGGCTGCTAAATCCCATTACAAAAAAAAGGAGTAAACAGAGTAAAAAAACAGAGTAACAGTCTATATCAGGGCAAGGAGGTGGACGCCCTCTCCCCATATGCTCTATTCGCCGTTTCCATACAGGATGTGCGTTTTGGTTTCTACTCTTCCAAATTGCGCCCATTTCGGGCATAACATCCCCAGTGGCGCCCGGCGCAAGAATGTTTATCTCACACACGCACTAGCCAGACCTGGGAAGTATTACCCGTCCAGGTCAACACAGCATCGAAAACAAGCTGACTGGCCGACACGAGGTGCTTGTTTCAAGCAATACAAGCCGGAACAAAAAGGTCGGCGCTTTGGCCGGGGAAGGCTTGGCAGTGCGGTGGAAGGGAGCAACTTTGGGGACGGAGGGAAGGAGAATCAGCACGACAGCAGAGGCAAGCCTTCGGGATCACCGCGGCGCAGGGGGGCAATGACAGACAACCCGCGCCTCGAGACGGAGCACTACATGAAAAGGCACAGAATCCAAGAGCTGATGGAGGTAGTGGCGGTGTTTGGCGTGGCGGTGCGGGAGAGCTGGTTTTTGAAGGATTAGAGACCACTCCTGCATGATTCCCCGTTCTTGCATCATCTCCCATCGGTCACCCACCCGCCTTCTTTGATGGTCGCACCGCTGAGATTTCGAAGTGGGAGCGCCTGCGCCACCTGGAGCTGTGTCCTTCAACTGGTTAAGTCAGAAACAGTATGCACAATGTGTCATCTACGCGTCGCGTTGTTCGCCGAACAACTCGCGCGAATCACATCTCAGCAGCCTGACGGCGCAGCCTATTGAACCATCCTGCACTCCAAAATTCTGTTTGTGCGCTTGTGCTCCCGATATTGTAAAACCCAGTAACTATGATTACTGCCCTGTGCGCTGGTCGGTCGGGGCACGCACTAGCCCCCACCCAATTCAGTTGATCACCGTAACGCGGGCATTGATCGCTGTGCCTGGCATGTTGGCATGCGTGGGGCCCTCACTTGGCACTCCCTATCCGTTGGTGCTGTCGACATTGGGGCTTGCAAGGCCATTGTTGCGAGGCGTCAGCCCCTTTGAGCGGCGCAACGGAGATTGGGCCCCCAACAACCGTTACGTCATTCCAAAGGGCCGCCGTTTTCCGACCAGCGCGCGCGATGTGACACACGCTTTGTGACGCAATCGATGTGACACAATCGCTTCATGGCATTAGAAATCGATAGATTCATAGACTTTGTTTATGTTTTTAGCATTAGATTTCAATGAATTGGTCATAGACACTGCTTTGCTCGAGGCAAATAGGAAGCTGACGGCCGCCTCATTGCCTTGTTCTGTAAAAAATGGTGATGACAGATGTTTCACTCGGCCACTCCTCCATCCCCCACAGGCTTTGACCTCGGCGGTTCTGTTCCACAAGCCTGCCGACCCCAGGGCGTTCATGATCAAGCGCCTCAACGAGGTGAAGACCGTCGGGCTGGAGCCGCTGCTCACTGAGGGCGACCTGGGCACCATGTTCGGCATGTTCGACGTCACCCACAAGAACTACGTCACCACCAGACAGGCGGAAAGGGCGCTGACGACGGTCGCGGGGCCGCAGGCGGAGCTGCTGCTGAAGGGGACCTCCGGGGACAGGCTCACCAAGGAGCTGTTCGTCCACCATATGAGCAGGGCGATAGAAAACTCTACCCCGAAATTCCGGTGACCGTGCTGTTTCTGGAATCGCCTTTTGGGCAAGGAATGTAAGCGCTCGTCGTCTCCGCTAGCCAGGCCATCCATTCGTGCACCAGCGACGAGTAGCAACACACAAACAATGGGGCAGTCGCTGTCAAGGATGCCGACGAAGAGCAAGCCAATTTATCAGGAGAGGCTGGCAAACCCGGGAGGGCGGCAGTTTCGCTCGATCTCGCTCCGCCTGCTTCGCAAGAGCAGCGGAGTTTTGCGTCCAAGGACATGGCCATGTCCGGGAGGCATCCGACTGGTCGCTCAACCTTTTTCTGCTGACTACCCCACGCCCTTTAGCAGCGTAGCCCAATAATAAACTGCAGAACGGGCAGTTTCTCAGCGCAAGTGAACAATCAAATTACGTATTCTCTGGCCTGAACATGGGGGCCACAACCTGCAGACGGGCGAGCGCCCTGTCGTGGATGCGGCGCTGCATCCAGAATATGCACGTGCCTTGTTCGACGTCCAGGATACAACACTCTTTCCGGCGTGAAGCCAAGGGCACAGGAAATCATGATTGTTAATGTGAAGTGGAATGCTCATTGAGACGCACATGGTTCAACCCAAGACCGTGACCGAAACGGCAATTTTGTTTCCACGGAAGGCATGCGTTCTGCGGAAGTGGGACGCCTGGGACGGATTTCGTGGGAGGACGGTGTGTTCCTGTCTGGGCTCGTCACCCCATCACGCCATCCCCCCATGCCTCGCAATCTGAGCCCCCGACATGTTGGCACCACCAGCACGCCCCCACACCGTGATGAAACGGGCACCTCAGCGCGACTCACGGAAAGATATTCTATTTATAGGGCTAACCAGGCCGGGCCTGCACTCATCGGCCAAACAACGTTTATTCGACTGTTCCCAGTGGGACCGAACACACTTGCCCGCGACCCATGCTGCACTACCCACCCCCACCAATTCGGCGGCCTCAAGACCCCAAGTGCAACTCGATCACTCCCAGCAGCCTGCCCCCATGGTGCAGCGCCACCTGATTGGCGTCCTGCCAGGAGAGCCTGTACGCCAAGTCCGTCTGCGCTCCAGGGCCGGGGCGGGGGACGTCCACCTCAGGTGGCAGCTGCACCACCTTCACCGGGTCGATCACCGTGGGTCCCCTGGACAGCTTCTTTCCCCACGAGACCCGCAAGTCCCACACGCACAGCATCGTGGCTTCGGGACAATACGCTGCACACACGTCGCCATCCTGCCTGAAGCACACCGCCGCGATGCCCAGCCCGGGGGTGCCATCTTCGGTGACTTCTTCCCCAGAAGCGGCGGCCTTCAGGTGCTGGGCGGCCTGCTGCAGCGCGGTTCCCATGGAGAGGCATTTCTTCTTGTGGCCCGTGTTGAGGTCGTAGATCGCGATGGCCTCAAGGCCCCTGGTGGCGTCGGACTTGTGCTTGCCGCGCGAGGGCGTCAGGGGCGTGGAGACAACGTTGCCTAGGGCCAGCCTGTTTGCCGCACGGTTGGTGGCCAGCATGGGGAACAGGCTGCACAGCTCGGCCAGGAGGCTGGTGACTCCCTGGACAAACGCACACACTCTTTTGGTCTTTCCGAAACCAGAGGCTCTGTGGTTGTTAAGAGCTTTACTCTCTTCGCTGCAATCTGTATCTGGATGGATGCAGGATAGATCAAGATATTGTTTAACTGATGAATCCCAATCGCCAAAATTCATGAATCTCACATTCAAATCAGCAAAATATAAATGGTCCTGCAAAGAAAACACCCCACCCATGAATAAGCCTTGAGAACCTTTTCCTCGATAATATTAAAGCAGCAGATGCAGCTGTAGCGGATACTACTGGTGCAGCTGCACTATAGTTTGAAAGTAGACGGCAGAGAGTAGAACAAGCTATGGCAATAGTATTGTACATGCGTGCGAGGTCTCCCACCCCCTGCGGAAGAGCACACGCCTCGGAATTTCAGAGCGGTAGTGAAGTGCACGTGATGCTATGTTATGTATTGTTTGGACGAAAACAAGGTGAACAACTCTGTGATCGCTTGCGTTGCAAGTGTGCAGTGCATCTGGCGACTTCGTGTTCAGCTGTAGCCATAATCAGCAACTGGGCTGAAGAAGCCTAGAAGCTGAACACAGCTAGACAGAAAAGGGAGGATCAAATTAATTTCACTGATCCGAATATACTGTTTTAGACATACATTAAGAGAAAAAGTTGAAATCAAGAGACTGTAACCACGGCAGGAAGCTGTAGGAGACCCATGCTGAACACCTTTCCAGGCAAATGTTCTGCTGTCCCAGTGCTGTAGCCATTCAGGCACCGCTTTTGCCCCGTACGCATCTCTGCTTCTCTTTCCTTGCCAATGTTAGAACATGAGCTGCCCAGCTGCCATACACAGAATGAACACCAATGGCAAAACGCCACCACACGATGAGTGGTCAATTCAGCCACCTATCATGTCCAAATTTGTGCCACACACACACACACACACACGGCATGCAGGCACACATTGTGTGAGGTGTACGTGAACACATCCAGCAGCAAGGAGGAGATTCAGCAACAGCTCCAAATGCTGCTCCACATTCGTGTAAAGGGGTAGTGCAGGTTGTTTAATGAAACGTGAACGCACCCGGTAGCAAGACTTCCTCAGACTGTGCTGCCCGGGCTCCAACGCTTTCATCAACACGGACGTTAGCAACTGCAGGTGCGGCGCTGCCTTCTTTGGACCGCCCCGATGTCGCAGCACAGAAGATATTGCCCCCGTGGCAGTCAGCAGTGACTGTGGCCCAGCCATGCTGTCAATAACAAGCCTGGGGAAGAGCACACAACGAATGAATGAATGAATGAACATCCTAACAGGCAACATAAAAAAATCGACGCACTGGTCATGTCACGTGTCTCTGCTGAACTCAAGTAGTCCAACAGCCTCCCCTTACCAGCAGTCTACGCTTCACCTCACAATGATTGGCAAATCCCCAACCCCCACAAAGAGCACACAACAGCTAGCGGAAATCCACACAGGCTACATCTGCCCTTCAGGGGAAACCTCATAACCTTGCGCCAGGAAATATTTGGCACTGGCCAGGGTTCTATCGCCATTTGTGGGATCACTCTGTGACACACATGCCCGCCAGCAACCAACAGCAAGGAAAGATTTCGCACCATTCGACAGTGTGCCCCAAGGGGGCTGCCGATACATGGCTCAAACACTCCAATAACACAGCCCAACCCAAAAACAACAGCAACATCTTTTCTTTCTGCAGTGTGATGCGGTGCATTGGAATCAGCGACAGAAATACAGTCTGCAGTGTCAATGGCACAGGCCACAGCTGCACTTCAATTGCTGTGCAATGGGTGTCAGGCTGGCCAACGCCAGCTTCATCGGCAAGTAATCAATGTGTGACTGTGCGATGAGTATGCATCCTCTTCATTCTAGCTCATGTTCAACATTCAACAAGAGTGAATCCCAGACTGCATCCATCTTCAAAATAGCAACATGGCACGTATTGCAGCCAGGGAGAGGGGGAACATCCTTTTGCAATTTTCTGATTGCCGAAGGAGAGCAGGCCAGGGGAGCAGGATGAATTCAACGATGGGAAGTTCATTTGGACTCGGCTTCAAACAGAATGTTCAAACACCCTTAAGCCACCTGTGTGTTCAGTAAGCAACCACATTCTCCAAGCAAATGCTATGCTCCATTGAGTTGCCCAGAAATGAATATGCCATGGGCATTGGCCTCATTGGGTGGCCATGAAATAGTAATGATCGTGACATGACAAGCAACGCACATTTGCATCAGAACGATGCTGCTGGAGCACTGCTATACTTTGCGCAACATGCACCCCCAAGATGATAGGTTAATCAGCATAAACGCAAACCAAGGTGACTGGCGCTGCCAGGTGATCATTTCACTCCTAAGGGGGCCAATTTAGTCAGTACTCAAGTGCATGCACCATGGGTTGGCCAAAACAATTGCCTTATGGGAGACTACAGCATCATCTCTCATGCTATGCAGCTCAGTCGATCACCATGCATGGTGGCAGCAATACTGCAACTCCACACACAGATGCAGTGTGAGAGCCAGCCTGGTCAACATGTCAATGAAGTGCCGGTTGGGATACCTGTTCCCCAAGCAATGGAGGAAGAGGGGGAGGTCCAAGTCTGCCAAAGCCGTTATGACACTTGCCACAGCCTCCTTGTATGCGGGCAGCAGGCCTTCCTCAACTGGAACGTCATACAGCAGTTCTTCGGGAGACCAGGGCTCCATTGCCAGCCCATCGAAATCGAACGGCGACAGAGAAGCCTTCTGGAAATGCAACCTCAACTTGCGATTGGGAGTTTCTCCCGAAAAGGGACTCCTTGAGAGCGGGCTCCTTGAGCGCGGGCTCCTTGAGCGGGGGCTCCTTGAGACTGGGCTCCTTGGTTGGCTCCGAGCTGAACCGTCGATTTGCTTGGCAGTAATTTTCAAAGAGTGGGAAGGCTTCGAAGCCCATTCTATCTTGGAGGAGTGTGAACTGGAAGCTGCAAAGAGCACAGTTCGCCAGGGTGAGAGCTCCAACGGGGCAGTGGAACACAAAAAAATGCAACTGCATAGTGCTTAACATTCCTACGCTGTGCTTTTGTCAGGGACGCGGGCAGTGAAACTCCAGTGTTCACAGTGCTGAAAAGGAAAGCTGGGCAATCTGAGCCAACTCTAGGAAGGCAATGCAGGACCTTCACCAGTGTCACACAACAAATATTCAACGTCATAGATGCCTGCTTCTTTGGTGCATCGACACCAGCCACGACACCACAGAAGAAGCTACAGAGGGTGCATGCCCACAAAAAAGAAAAAAACCAGCGAAGGCACTCATCGCTGCTCACCATCGTCATCAGGGATTGTCTCATTCGTTCTCCCAGTTTCACTGTGGAACTCCTGTAAAGTGACGAAAGGGGACGGTGGGACTGTGGTCGCCGGCATGGAGGACAGTTGTGGTGTTGGCGTTGTAGGATGTGGCGTTGCCGCCCCTTCCTCATCGGGGGCCAGTTGAGATTCGGACTTGGCACGCCGCATGCGACCGACTTCCTGAGGCTGATCGCCTCGCACACTCCTTGGCCTCTCACTCTGGCCAAGCTTCTCCAAGCGATGGGATGAGGGCTTGGGTTTCTTGTGGCTCTCGTCGCACACATCAAGAAGACTGCAGCAGAGGGCAGTACAGCTTTCTGGGCAGCGTATCATCGCCTTGGTCGAACGCTACACTGTGTAATTTCATGCGAGCATCGTGGTGGTGGCCTGGGCTGCTTTCTGGCACACCCTGGGCAACCAATACTAGCCAGTAGTTTACTGAAATTCGGTTCTATTTTATTGTTTATTTATTTTTTTCTGTGGCATTCTTTCCTGAAATCAACTGCAAGCTTTGGACAATCGCTTTGGCAAAAGTCGGTGTGAATAAGGCATGCAACCAAAACCAGCCAACGCAACACCAAATAGCACTGCCAACTAAAGGGGACGTTCGTAGCCAAGCGTCTGCCTGTGCTCCACTGCAGTTTGGGAACCAGTTCGAAGGACTCGAAGTTGCATTGTCTTCTTCACATGATTGGCAACTAACCGCATACAGCCAATAGACTTGTCACTCCGGCAGCCGCAGATGCACGACAAATGCACTGATCGGCAGCCCAGATGCAACAATTCAGCTTGAAATTTGACAGTTGCTCTTTCTTCCATATTTTCCACAATGCATGGGAGAATGTGCACAAATTCCACTGATGCAAATTGCAAAATGTTGCCACCAAAACCACCATCCTGAGAGAGCATGCAGCTGCTCCAGACAAGAGGCAGAATCGCCTCACACAAATGTGCCCTGAAACACCGACTGTTGTGAACAGCGCAAGAAACACGACTCACAATCCATCCACATGAGTTGGGGACAACACACACTCAGTAATTCCATTTGTTCCGTATTGGGCCAGCACTAACTGGGTGCTGTGGCTGATGTCTGGGCTGCCATGGCCGCAACTGACAAATGAACTTGGGGACAAGGTTCCGCACCTCTGAATCAATGGCAGGGTATACCCGAGAGCATTCATCCACTTGGGGCCTTCGATGCCTGTCAGCGCATCTGCCAGCATGCTGGCTGCCATCAGTGCATAGTGGTGCCCTGGTTCGCAGACCAGGACGGCAAGCAGGGGCGCCGTGGCCTGCAGGATTGGCCATGGTACAAGCCGGGAATGCACGCAGCAGAGTGCGCCACAAATGACAACCTGCAAGTAAGGAAACACCCTGGATGGATGCATGACTGTACAGGAAACGAACAAAATGCGATGTGGACGCTAACGTGGCAATCGTCGCCTTTGCATTGCAAAAAATGATTGGGAACTGGAGTCAATTGAATTAACACAAACACGCACACCACATTGCCAACAGCACAGGCACAGGACATGCCACAAAACATCAACCCTTTGCATTCGATTGAAGACCGATTGCTGTTGCAGTCTGACACATTCTTCACCATCCTGCATTTGAGATCGTGATGGGACTCCCATCAGCAGATCTGAATTCTGCTTCCACCTCAACACAGATTCTGCGGCCTTAGGGACAAAATCTTTCAACATCAGTAGCAATCCTGCTTCCCATCGCTTCCAAAGCATGCCAACGCTTTTGCTCATCGCGCACATATGACCAGCAGGCGAGCGCAAACAATTAATGACACAGAGAAGAAACGAATAGCACAGGGAGCCGCACACCTCTTGTGCATACGCAAGTGCATCCTTCCACTCTCCGCTGCTCTTGCAGCTCTCCCACAGTGTCATGACCCTGTCCACCTCCGCCCTGCCCGTCAGCTGAGCGGGTGCCCCATCCTCACCGCTGTTCATCAGCCTGTTTGGGTCCGTCGTGGAGGCCAGCAGCACTCGCGCAGTGTCCTTGAGGATCTCGTTCTTGGTGTCCCACAGGCCCACAAGCACGCCCAGAGATGGCACAGATGCGGCTGGCGCCAGGTCAAGAAACTGGATGGCGTACAGCTTGACGATGGCACTGCAGGCCGTGGCCACCACTTGATTCAGGCCCTCGTGCATGAGCTTCTTTGCTAGGGCGACGGCATACAGGAGCTGAAGCCCCACAAACTCGGCAGCATTGCACCAAAGATGGCCAAGGTCAGCGGCTCTGACAGGAATGCCGGCAGCACTCAAGTCCTGGCCCCTGTTGACAGCCGTTTCTTTAGTTCGCCTCACAGCACAGGCAAGGGTGGGTGGCATCTGGATCGTCATTGCACCAGTGTCCGAAACCATCACCCCTTGGGTCAGGCTCATGCCCAAGATGGTTGCAAGGGGGTCAGTGGACAGATCCCCATTTTTCAAGCCCTCTTGGTTGAGCCCCATCTCCCCCAGCAAGGCACACAAGCTGTCATCCACATGCCGGTCTACACCCCAAGCGTGCATGCACAGCAGGGCTGTTGCCAGCAGCTCCACAGTCACCGTCCTCCGCCAGCTCTCCACAGTGCCAGAGGCCCATGCTGCTGGGGACACACCACTGGGAGACTCCAGGATGCCTGTCACGTCAATGTCCAGGATCCCGATATCGCGCTTTGGCCCAGGCAACAGTTTGATGAGCTGGTCCTGTGGGGCATGCTCAGCGAGAGCCACGCGTGCACAACCACCCTCCTGGAATTGCAGCCAGTCGTGTTCTTGCCGGGTCATGGCCATGTCCTCCACATTTGCCGCAAAGCACTCCAACATTTTCTTGGCCTGAGACCCGACAAACACCCGATCGCGCTGGCCGGAGTACAGGTCCCAAATGACCAGGACTTGTTGGCCCTCGGAATTTGTCCCCAGGCATGCAATGAAGCCTCTGCATCACATGCAGGGAGGGTTTGCTAAGGAAGTACTGTCTGGGTGTGGACAAATTGCAGCAAATTACGGGCATGCTATGAGATTGTTGCAATGCAGACAACGCAGCATTAATGAAAGCGGCACCCCAAAGAGCCCGCACAGCGATCCCTGCCAGTAGCATCAAGCACAGTTAGTCTGCATACCAGTACTGCTTGAGTCTGCTCAGGGATGCAGTCGTCACTGGTCTACCTCAGCGGTACCCACTCAACATTGAAACGTTCCAATATTTATCATCGAACAGGCATCCAGTCTGATGGGAACAGGCCATGCGTCACTCACCTGATACCATCCCACATAAGTTGGTTTGGCAGCTGGAACGGATGGCCCGACAGCAAACGCACCACTTGTCTTGTCAGCAGAGAAATCAGAGCAACAGTGCCATCGTCCCCCACGGTGGCCAAACACTGACACCAAGGGGCATTCGCCCCTGCAGCTGCCCCGACAACCTGTCTGACAGCCCCTGCAAGCGGCAACATGATCTGCGTTGTCACTTCCATGCAAGTTCTGCCACTTCTGCGCTCTTGACACATCAGTGCCCTATACACATTTGCTGGCACTGTATTCCTCACCACATGCTGGATGCCAAGCACCACAGGCTGCAGCCTGAGTATCTCTTGTTGGTCTAAACTGTCTACGCAATATCACCTTTCATCTCCTGGGTGAGTCATTCACACCCATTGTGGACAATACATTACTGATGCAGCCATCTTTGCTGCAACTTAGGGTATTCAGTAGCAGGGATTGGGATTTGAGTGAAGTCCCTACTCCAAAGACCACAATATTAGCAAAATGGCAGCAGTATCAATTGGATGCACTCATTCTGGGAAACACCACATATGTGTTCAACTGGGAGTAAGCAATGTGAACGCAAGGTGCACACATTATTCACTAGCAGTTACCAGGGCAGCACTGTCTAGAAAGTACAAGGACATCATTTTGCCGACAAGACAAACACAATCAGATCTGTATACATCAAACAATAGACATACCTGGCAGAATCTTACAAACGTTCACATGCACATCAAAACCTGTACCAGATGAGCAACAGCAGCCACACAGGGGGGAGCAGGCACACACACTCCAAACACAGCCCTCGCTTCCACAGCAAGGTTTTCAACCAACAGCAGCCAGGTTGCACATCACACACCTGAGTGCGCATGCACTGCAAACACCTTGCTCCCAAGGGAGGTCTTGTCCAAGCTCCAGAACCTCACGGATCCGTCCGCCCCACCAGACACCAACAGAGGCAAACCCCCCTTGCCCTCGACAATCCCATTCTCCAACGTCATGTCTGCTGCATTGTGGGGGCCAAAGTACACCACCTCGAATAGACAAGTCACCGGTCCAAAGTGGCCAGCAGCCGTCGCCAAAACGGGCATTCCCAGCCTTGGCAGTCCAACAGATCCAGCATGACAAAGTGGCTTCGGGATGCCATAGGCTGCCAGGGAGCAAAATGAGACTTCGCCACCGGAGAGACCCTGGACAAGCAAGTATGGAAGTCCACATATGCCCCCAACCAGGGCCATACATGTCACGGATTTCCGCTGTCCTCTTGCTGATGCGCACGCTCCAGCCAAAGCGGACAGTGCATGAACAGGGGGCGTCCCAGATTGGGCTGCAGTGTTGTGAGTCTGTCCCCCTTCAGTTCCCACAAGTTGCCCTCCATGGTCAGCAGATTCGCAATCATCCTGCCTTGTTGATGGCTGGTGTGTAGAATCCAATCTGGCCCACAGGTCAGAGAGCCTTGACCCCGCCACAGGCAACAGTGGTGTCATTTGCTCCTCCTGGCTCTGACTGCACGATGCCATTGAAAACATTCGCATATCCACATCGTACACACACTCTTCTGCTGTGTCTTCTGGGCTATCACTTTGAACGTCCTGAATGCAGGAGTCACGCTCACAGCAGCTCACAGCACGCACAAAGCTGCTGTGGCACCCAGATGAGAATTGGGGCGTTTGGTGGCAAGTACTGGCACCCGAGGGGCAGACGCTGGCAGGAACCTGCCTGGTATAGTGCCAGCCGCCCAGGTCATCTGCAGCCAACACAGCCGCCGCTCCATCCTGGTCCCACAGGAGAACCTTGGGCTGCTGCAGCAGATGGTTGTTGGTGTCCTCTTCAACATGGCCGGTAGAGCAGGGGTAGTTGTCACCACCCAAGCGGGTTTCAGGCTCTCCCACAGCCATGCCACCACACAGTGGTCCCAAAGGCAAGGGCAGGGTGGGGACAATGGGGCAGGCAGGGCGCTGCTTGGTTGGGCGGTTTGAAAGCTGATCATTTGGCATGATGGGGGCAAGTGTTGACCTCTCATCGGAGGGTTCAATGAACGATACGTGTTTTGTGGATCTCAATCTTGGCCGTGCGGCCGGAGACAATGGGACACCAAGTGCGTTGACTGTTTCTGCCCCAGACAGAACAAATAACACTCGTGACGAGTTGTGTGGCCAGGTCGTCATTGTGAGCAGAGCCCAGCCGCTGACGGACACAAGCAACAGGTGGTTGCCATCTTTTGAATAGGTGGCAGACAAAACGCCACCCAAGATGCTGTTTGGGGTATCTGCATCGCATGCGCAAGGCAATTTCGCCTGTGCACACACACACCTCGATGTCAGCACACAGTTGCGCCGCCAGCCTCCCCACCCCCCAGTGCTCTCAAGAATGAGCCTTAGTTGATTTCTGCTTTGGCTGCGTGCAGTAGACCCACAGAGACAGCTGCAGGTTACCAAGGAACTTGCCCAGAAGCCACCAGAGGGCAGGAGCAGCGAAGACTACAATGTGCAAGAAAGGATGCTGCGCACCACTGTCACAGCCTTTGGGATGTGAACCTGTGGCCATCCTTGATGATACAGGATTCTACAGTAGGCATTGGCACCCACCGTTCACAGGCAAAAACTGGATTGACAAAAGTACCTTCAACTATTGGCTGTCTGCACATTTTTCTGCACTGCTGGTCAGGGAATGATGGCTACTCGTGCAACCTCCACTACTGTGGCCAGCCCTCTCCCACAACAGGTTTGTGGCACCTCGATTCTACAGACAGGCTGGTTTCCCTGCCCCACCCTCACCTGCGTGATGCCTTCCTTATCCTTGGGTGTGAAAAGCAGGACTTCCAAATCAGAGGATATACCCACAACGTTGCACACTGGGTTGATTCCATCAAAGGAGCAACCATCAGCAGTGTAGCCCTTCAAAGCCAGAATGTGCCTGCTGCCTTTCCGGAACCCCGAATCTGCAAGCAGTTGAAACCGTACAGTACATTGGTCAAAGGGGAGTGGAACGATGCCATACTCTGAGATATGGAATCAGCAGTTGTGTGGGAGTGCAGTGTTGCCTAACACGGACTTCTGCATCGCCTTTGCTTGACACCGCGGCACTTGCCAGGACATTGCTGAGGTCCTTGGCTGGGCACAAGAGTGAAAGGCTATCCACTCACCAGCCGGCAACGAGCCCTTGAACAGTGGCACCCTCAAGCTAGGCTTCCAGGAATCGACGACCTCAAGGGACACCAAAGTCAGCACGGCCAATGTGTGGCCTCTATGGGGAGACAGAATGCCATCCACCACCTGCTTTGAGGTATCCAATGCAACAAGGACTTTGCCATCCCCCTGCTGACACACTGCCTGTCAGCCCTTTGGTAACATTCGGAGTTGGTTGTGTCCAAATCTGCCCTGCAAAGGGGATTGCCAGGAAATGACAACCAAAGCGATTGAGACATGCACCACATTCAGCGTCCTGATCCTGAACAACAGGCCCAAACCAAAGCGACTACAAGGGGGAAGCAGTGAACTTGGGACAAACTTGTGTGCTGCAAGTAACAATCAATGAGCCATCCGCAGCCATTCCTGCCCGCAAGATTCAGATTATGGCAGAGCACATTGGACAGTAGACTGACATCTGTTGTGTTGCTAGCAGTTTTGAAGGATGACAGCTCTTACAGGCTCTACCAAGCCATCACAACAACAACAGATGCCTCAACGAAGTGGATATTATCAAGGCTGCCAGCATACTTGTGAAAAATTGTTCACAAGTATTTACACATTTTGGATCTTGGCCATGATAAATGTTGCCAAGCAAGGGGATAAGTCACCTTGGAACAACAGCTATTGGCACTATACTAGCAGATAACTGCAAAAACATGCCGTTATTGGCCTGGCAACAAGTTGACACAATAATGCTATCATTGGAAATTCTGTCACTTGCTTTTGCCTATCTGCCTCTGCACCAGTGCATGGCGAAAAGATGGGGCACGGGCAACGGAAAGGGCAAGGGTCAACCCACCATGGGATGCACGTGCCGCACAGCACCTCCAGCAAACTCGGGAACAGAACGCTGGACCAAGCAGACGCACGTCATGCAGTCCCAAACACAACAGACGCCATCGTTATCCACACTCAGGACAACGTCCACATCTTCCAAACCTGCACATCCAGCCCCACCTCAAACCATAAGAGGCTGAAGCCAGTTGAAAGCATCCAGAAAGAAAAGGCTAGGTCCAGTAGCAAGCAATCGATGTTGTCCCTTACTTTTGCAAAGTGAATCCACATTGAACGGCATTGAAATACGCCAAGCCACCATGCATTGCCCTTGGCATTTGTCAAGAATTGCAGGACACTGGATAAGCACTAAAGTGTTCGTTTCCAAACTGCGTTTGTTTGCAGTCTTGTTTTTCTTCCAGTACTCAGTATCTGATATCAGATGTGGAAATCCGTTGCAAATACATTTGCCAAGAACATGGCAAAGCAAGCCCTGTCACCAAGCTGGTGATATCTGATGAGGCTTCTTTGGTGAACGGCGGAACACCCACAGCAGAGTTCAAATCTGCCTGTTTGCATCCATGGCGTGAGAAAAGCTGAAGCCATCTTCACAAGGCAGCATTGCAGCAGCACACACCTTGTGACGAGGGCTAACTTGCAACATGGTTGAAAGACATTCGCTATGAACATGCTGATGCAAGATCGTGCCGTTCATGCCCTGCACAAGCCCACTGACGGGCCTTCAGAAAATGGTCCTGTATTGGAACTTGCCAAAGACTCAACACGGTGCTGACACTACCAGGTACTTCACAATGAGGAATTGATTGTGAGAACCGAACGGCCAAGCCCACAATGAAGCACCCCTTCTGTGTGCCCGTGTTTCCAACTGCAGCGTACCACTCAACTGAAGTCTGCCTACTTTGCAGCAAACCATTCTCCCGCATGTACTTTGTGCTGCCCTCCTTTGCGGCCAGGAAGGTTCCCAACAGCAAGGGGCCTCTCCCGCGTTAAAGGAAGCCTGGCCCGCACCGCTTTCTGCGCGACATTCTCTCAAGAGATGTCGCCATCCAACGCCGACTGATCGAGATCAGATGTTGGGCGGGTCGGTGGCGCCAGCGGCCACCTCGCCGTCGGCAATACGGTTGCGTTTCTCACTGCAAGAACCGCATTCGAGTTTCGGTTTGCTCTGGGAACCTTCCAGAGAATGCCCCTCAAGCACTGAGCGACCGGCGGGGCTCCGCAACACGTTGCGCGTGAGCGCCAGCGCGACCGCCAGTGGCGCCGCGCAGCCGCAGCGCGCCCCCCCCCAAGAATCAGGTGCCATTTCTGGCCATCAAAGCACGCGAACCTGGAGCGTCCGCCCTTCGCGGCAGCTGCTACACACCATCTGAGCAGTGCTGCAACGTCCGGACGCCCGCGCGGTGGCCGCACATGAGCACAGCCCCGGAAGCCCTGCCACCCGCCTCCTCCACACTCCACCTGCGGCAAGCCGGCCCTGATCATCAGCGTCGGGCGCCGAGATTCCGACGCGGCCGCGCGACCCAGTGGCGCTGCGACGGCTGATGCGGGCCCACGACAAAAGGGCAGCAGAGCGGCTGTCGGCACCGAAACCCGACACATGCAGTCGAAATCAGCCAAACCAGATCCTAGAAAGATCCCAAATCCTGGCTGTAGGGGCCATGGCGAGCCCGGAGCGTCCCCCTCACTTGATTATGGCGCCGTCCGCCGCGCCGGTCCACGCCGCCGCCTCGCCCACCGCCTCCAACGCGGTGAGCCGGTGGCCGATCGGCGTGCTGGGCCACACGGCCTGCAGGCACCGCATCTCGGCTCCCGATCAGCGGGCGCGACGCCTTGGCGAGGGCCGCCGTCGGGGGGCGCGCCCGGCGGGCGCCGCGGCAGGACCGGGAGGGCTCTGGGGGGCCTTCGCGACGGGCGCAGCCGTGGCTCTGGCGTGGGTTGGGGACCTTGTCCCGTGGGGCCACACCGCAGCGTCATCACTGCCGCGTCCATCTTTGGGGTGGGCGGCACACCTGACGCGCTCATTCTTCTGGTTGACGTGGGGCTTGATGCGCCAGCACACTGACACTGACAATGGGGGGGCGGAGTCAGCGCTGATGCAGAAGCCCCTCCGGCGCCGGCATGAAATTAGTCGTTCTGTCTCTTCCGCGAAGGTCGCTTCTGGTCTCGACGACCTAAACCGCAACAACTGACCCACCGACCCACGTTGGCCTTGTCAGCGGAAGACGAAGGGATCCTCGCGGAAAAGGCGGAGGGACTAATGTGTTCTCTCCGAGGTCCCCCTCCGGCACGAAATCAGTCCCTCCGTCTTTTTAGTGATTGTCGATTGTCGTCTTGCTGACAAGGCTGATGTGGATCAGCAGGGTTCCGTGGGTTCGGGAATGGTTTGAGTTGGCGGTTTGGCCGCACGTCAGAGGAATTTCGGCAAAGCGGCGGGCGGGGACTTGGGTGGGAGAATTGGCAGTCACCAGCTTGAATGTCCAAGGGCGGCGCTCCGTCGTTTCTTCGCTAATGGCGACGTGAGGTGATTGCGGAGGAAGCACCGGCGTCCCAGGAGAGCGGAAGGGAAATAAGAAGCCAGGCTCTGACCGCCGCGCAGTCCCAGTTCCTCCCGCCCTGCCTCTGAAGCACGCCAGGGGACGCCGGAACATCCACTTGTCCCAGCTGCTGGGCATTTCTCGCACAAAGGCTGCTGTCGACTCTGCTGGAAGCGGAATCATTGCATGCGCATGTCCAAAAACCTTGCTGATGGGTCCAAAACGCTTTCCACCAACCAGAGCATCAGGCGCGGTGTTGGTGCTGCAGCAATGGCGTTGTTGATCAGAGCAGTAACACTGGGGGTAAATGGGCTGCAGCATACTATGAAAATCTCCAAAGCGATTTGTTTGATGTCCAAGGATGACATCAACATATGTGCAGAAAGCCTCTATTCCCACTGGACAACACAGATATGTGGTGCACTGAGCTGTGATCCAGGCCGACCCTACCATGGGCAACGAGCTCTTGGTTTCACGCACAGTGCCAAACCACCTTATGCTTCCTACAACACTCGTTCGTGCGTGGCAATCTTCTCCTCATCCATTGCTCCACTGCAGTCCGTAGCTGCTCTGAAGTTTACAAGAAAGCAGCCCCAAGTATGGAAAACAGGAATTGTGCGCAGTGAATGTGAGTCAACTGCTGCTCAACAGCCACACGCCCTCATCCATTGCTCCACTGCAGTCCGTAGCTGCTCTGATGTTTACAAGTAAGCAGCCCCAAGTATGGAAAATGGGAATTGTGCACAGTGAACGTGAGTCAACTGCTGCTCAACAGCCACACGCCCTCATCCATTGCTCCACTGCAGTCCGTAGCTGCTCTGAAGTTTACAAAGTAAGCAGCCCCAAATATGGAAAATGGGAATTGTGCACAGTGAACGTGAGTCAACTGCTGCTCAACAGCCACACGCCACCCCAAGCGGAGGTGGCATTCTGAACAATACACTGGCACATTCGTTCTTAATTCGGCTTGCACCCTTGCCAAGTATTGGTCATCGCAACATTCCATCAATACTACTGTGACCTATCAAAGTTCACAAAAGCTCACTCCTTTCTGTGCATTTGCAGCTGCCACTGAGATGCTCTTACGACGAGTAAGCAAACACAACAGGTCCTGCACCACGAACCAGCTATGTCAGTGCTGACCTGAAGATGGGAGGCCCTATCATCTTATCCCCATGTGGCACGAGAAGCATGTCAATAGCTTCCATCAAGCCCAAGCCTTGCTCCTACTTCACAAGCAGTAACCAGGGAGACAGCACCGGCCAGGTCCCCACAGTCCTTGTCCAGCTACGAGGTGCAATGCACTGCAAAGGCAAAGGCCAACGCCCGGCCCAACAAGAAGTAGGGGGGCTACACAAACCATGATTGCCCGCAGCAGTGGGAGGGCTTTCAAGCGCACCCATATGATTGCAAACTCTCGCACACGCCACCGCACACCGTCCTTCCGATACCCTGTTCAGCGACCCCGGGTGCACCTGCTCAATAGTGCATCTCCTCGCGCACAAAAAGGGGCTTCAGAGCGTACGCCGACAGCAGGAACACGAACGTGGCCAGCGCGAGGAAGACCAGGTAGCAGTAGAAGAACACAGCCCCACCGAAGAACCCCCCGGCGGTCATGATCAGCAGGAAAGGCAGCCACGACTTCGCCGCCCCCGCCACCCCGACGTGCCTCGCCCCTACGAAGACCCACGCGGCCAGCCTCACCATGTCCCACCTCATCGACCCTGCGTACACCAGCGAGTTGAGCGCGTGCGCCACGAACTGGTGGCAGTTGTCGCAGCAGAAGTTGTACATCCTCTCCCTGTAAACGCGCGCGCTGGCCTCAATCACGCCATCCCACCACTCCCCCAGCTGCGAGTCGTCCCTGTCCGGCGCCTCGCAGCGCCGGGGGTCCAGGGCCAGGTAGCGCGTGGGGTGGCCGAAGGCCATCACGCCGTCGTCGCCCACGTAGTACGGCCCCGCGAAGTCGAGCACTTTGCCGCCGGACAGGCAGATCCCCATGTGGCCCACGAAGGGCAGGAGCCACGTGACGACCGGGATGGGCGTCCACACGACGCAGTACGGAAAGCAGCGCGGGGGCTGTATACGCGCAGAGGCCATTCCTCCCGCGGAACCCCTTTCACTGCCCCCCTTGTCTCCCTCCTTTCTCCGCCGCCCGGTGCCTGGTCTCAAAATTGGATGCCCGGTGACCTGGGAGCAGGCAGCCGAATTTGTGTGTTCCCAGTGGGGGAGCCGCTGACTACGCCGATGTACATTGGCGCACGCCAGCCGGTGTGTAGCAAGCACGGTTTGTTCGGCCGACGCGGCAGCGGCGTGGCGCCTCGGCGGGGCATTCTGGGAGCCGTCGACTGGAGCCCGGCGGTTCGCCCAAGGCCAGGGGGGCGGAAGGCGGTGGACCGGAAATTTGAGCGCCCTGCGCCAGGGTGGTGTTTGGGGGTGGGGGCGAGGGGACCGTCCGCCATGGAGCCCAAGCGCCCCGCGCGCAAGTCGCAGCTGCAGGCCTACATCGCCGTCCTGCGCGCCCTGTCGTCTGTGAAGCTGGACTGGGTGAGCGGGGCGGGCTGGCCGGTGCGGCGCAATGCTTGCCGTCCCTGGAAACCGTCGGTCGGAGCCGGCCCGCAGGAAACAGCCACAGGCCTGGCATTGGAGCTCATGGGGTGGCAGCGGAGAGCCGACGCTAGAGTCTGCCTCGCTTTAGAATGACGACCGGGCGGTCCTTGAACTTTACGAGGTTGGGAAGGAGCGGCATGTCCGTGGGACTGCTGCCGGCAACGGGAGGCGGAGTGCGCCTCTCTCCTGGGTGTGGGTTGGGCGTCGTCGCGGCTGCAGTGCGGACTCCGGTTCTCTGCCTGTGTGTGAGTCTGAATTGGCGTCCACCCCGGCCTGACGGCGGTTCTTGCCCGCGTGCAGTCGCAGCAGAAGCTGATGGTGGACCTGCGAAAGCAGCTGAAAATCTCTCTGGAGCAGCACATGGTGAGCCCCTCCCGCCTCCGGGAAAGCCTCGGTTGGAGAATGCTGTTTGCTGACAGACAGGCTTATGCGGCTCGCAGAAGTCCCTGGACAAAGTTTTGAAGGACCCAGAGGTCAGCGCCATAAGGTGCGGTCCGCACCATTGGCGCCCCTGGTCGGCCCTGGCATGCCACACGTTGTTGGAGGAAGGGCGGGAAGGGCGCCTGCCGCGCTAACCCGCTGCGCTGCCTCGTGTTGCGTAGGGAGGGGCTACCCCTTCCAGCGCGTGGAGACGGTGCACCTGCAACCGGGGCGAAGCGCGAGAGGTGAGCAGTGGTCCCAGTTGAAACAACCATCCACACGGTTCGTGAGTGGTACTGTGGGCCAGAATAAAGTGGAATGGCGCGAAGTAGGGGTGCTGTTCCCAGCATGACACAAGTTTCTAGAGCACAAATAGGGGCGAAATGTCTACTGTCCATCGGTGTCAAAGCCAATGGCTGTGGCGATCCTGCCAGCACACCCAAGTGGCAGCTGGCAAGGCTCCTTGTGCCTTGTGTGCTGCAGGTCAGCCTCCCCCCAGCACCGTGGCCAGCAAGCTGCCCTGCCGCGCGCCAGTGCACCACAAGAGGACCGCAGGTGAGCCAAAAGTGGTATTGCAGCAACGTCCCATGGGTCCCAAAGCTCCCTTAGTCGGGTACACCACCCCCACGGTGGGGCAGCAATGGGCCTTTGGGACATATCAATGTGCACCAAGGCAGGCGTGGTAGGCACACATGTTGCCCATCCCCCAACCGACTGGTGCTGCTGTTGTTCCAGAAGCGCAAAAGCTGCCCGGAGATCGACACAGCATGCTGGGGGGCGTGGCTCGGGGCTCAAGGGTGGGAGGGGTGGGCGGGGCGGCAGGCCAGGAAAGGAGTCCTCCAGTCGTGGCGGCCGCATAGCCCGCGTCGCGCCCCGCGACCCAAAGCCCCCTGCCTCGATGCCCAGACAGTCGCCACCACAGGCCAGTGAGGACGTGCACAAGTATGTGGGAAGGAAGGTGCTTGTGTACGCGAAGGACAGCACCCCACAGTGGCTGGAGGCCGTGGTGACTGACTACAACAAGGACACACTGAAGAACTGCATCACATACGACTTCAACACTGGGCATGAGTCGTGGCACTGGCTCAACGTAGACAAGGAGGTCAAGCGAGGTGTGCTGCGCTGGGCGGCCGGGCCGCCAATCGACCTGCAGGCTGTTGTGGCCATGGCAACTGAGGACGGACAGGTTGAGGTATAACGCAGTGTGGTAGGGTACTTACATGGGTGAAGTTGCTGCTGCTGGCCTGGGCGCAATGGATCTGAGGCAACATATGCATGGCACTGTCGCCACTAGTGTGTGAGAATTGCATGCCCAATGCTGAATTGGTTACACAGGCACCACGATAGTATTGTCAAGATGTGATAGTACAAGTGCTTTGACAAGTTAGCCTGCAGCATGTCCTGCAGACAGTGTCCCATTGTTTGACAGCCCTCACAGCACCAGGAACAGCTTTGCTGGATCAAGCATTGTTGGAGTGGCATAGCAGTGTTTGCTCAATGTTATACACCAGCCAATAACAATTGTCGGTTTGGAATACACTGTTGCAACTTGACAAAGCGATGTCCATGCATCAGGATGCATGGCTGGAATTCATGGATCCACAGTGTTCGCGCCAAAAGACCTCTAACAGTAGCTGATGTGCTTTGTGCCATGTGTTGTGCAAGGATGGAAAGGCAACGGCCCCTTCCACAGGTTCTGCAGGGTGTGGGTACAGTGTGGCTGAATTAAGTGCACCCTTTGAGAGTGCGGTACTTGAGGAATGCCTGCAGTCTGCAACCATTGAGGAGCTTGAACGGATGAGAGAAGCAGCAGTGAAGAGGCAAAAGGAGGCCATCGGGGAGCTAATCGCGATGGGGGATGCACTGGAAGGCGCTGGTACGACCCACTGTACCGAAGTGCAGGAAAGTTGCCAGTGCACAATCCTCTGCGCGTGTCGAATCGTGGAAAAGAGATCTATTACCTTTGCCAGAGTATATGCCATAACTATGAGGACCAGTGACTAGTCACTTGGAGAACAGGTAGACTGTTGATTGGGGAAGTGGCAGGGTCTGACTCGTGGTGCATTGCGCACACACGTTCGTCGTTCGTTTCACAAAAGCATATTTGGTTGCCTTTTCCAAGTGTCTAGGAAATGTGTTGAACTTATGGGATGGACACATGCGAGCGTGACATTACAACAGTTGCCCACACATGCGAAAACATGCCAGGGCAACCACAAGGCGATGAAGTTTTTGTGGAGTTTGGTAACAAAGTGGTTGTCTTGCTACAAGACTCTCCAGGAAGGTGTTCAGGGTGCAGTCTTGCAGACAGTGCGACCCAGTTATGTAGACAATCAGCATGGCAGGGGCTTCAGCTCAGGTCCATCGTGCAATGCTGTGTGTTCTGCAACCCCAGAGGCTGCATACGTCCTTCTCTAGCCCCAGGGACTAGCATTGTGGGAAAATTGGCTTATGATACAGGTGGCTTGAAAGTATTCACCAATTCTGTGGTTTACTGGTAAATGGCTACTGACTACCTGATTGACTCTCACCGCATTGCAGACCATCTGGTAAAGGTGCTGGTCAAGTGCGAAAAGCTTGTGAGGAGTGAGAACGCCTTGAAGGAGCAGGTGAGGAAGATGGAGAGCGAGAGACAGGAAATGAGGCAAAACAATGACGTCCTTGGGTCAAGACAAGCTGACGCTCGCAGATAATAACACGTGGGGAATTTTGGGTGGCACAAACAGGTCCTCTCACTGGAGAACCTTAGGTGGTTTGGGCAATGTAGGTGCTGCTCTACCTGCCCCGCTTAGCACTTGATTTTGTACAGCAGACACAATATTTTTGACATAAAGAACAGCATGGCATGGCAAGGGTTCTGTTGTCTGTGCGTGCTGCAAGGTCTGGGAACACACAACTCAAGGGCTAAAACGGGCAAAGGTTCGGAACCACAGCCTGCTTTGTGGGGTCCACATGCTTCCTACCAGAACAAGCACCCATCAGTCCAAGGCAGTCCAGGGTGACAAATGGGCAAGCTTGAACTGAATCCATACCCTCCCCTCTGTTGAGGAACGCAACCGCACAGCTGTCTTCACCCCGCGGCGCTGCAGGGGATCACACCTGCTCTCATCCAAGCCACACCTCGGTTCTGTGATCCCCGCTGCCACCGACTTTGGTCCTGGTTGAGATAGCCTGCTTGGACCACTCATGCCGGGCAAGCTCGAACATGGTCATATCCTGCTCCTTTTCTGCCTGGGCAGACAGGCCCTGGCAAGAGCAACAGGACAGTTTTAACCTGAGTCGCATTCTATCACGGGCATACCCTAATACTGTGGGCAAATCAGTGCCCAGGCCGCATATAGCAGTGACCACTCCCACTGCAACGGATTTGACAGCATCCTGGCTGTTACTGAAACAGAGTCCCATGCTCAGCAACAAGAGATGAACTGGAAAGAGAGCACACGACATGACATGAAGGTCAATGTTGAATATCACAGTTTGACTTGTTGACTGGAAATCAACTACTGCAATGTTGGAGGAATCGATTTATTCCATTTTTGATGACATCGAATCTGCTTTCTGTGGTAGACATTCGTACTGCAAACGGTATAGAGTGCCGCTCCATAGGCGAACCCCTTCTCAGGGTCTCTGTGGGGGCTGGTGCAATGTTGATATGTTGAGAACACACCATGGCTTAGGAGAAAAGGTCGTTGTGGCACGCTCGTCTGCATAAAGGCCCCTTCTGGTTCTTCCACGAGGTTGCATGCAGCATGCATTCCACACAATCAAAGTCATGCTCTCCCGCAGTCACTGCCTACCTGTCGTCTCGCCATCTTCTGCTCTTTTGTGAATCTCCAAAACTCCTGGATCCTTTGATGCTGGGCACAGCAGAATTTCGCCTTGCTTTTGTTCACCATCTGGACAACATAGCCAGCAAGTCAAACTCATAGCAAGAAGAGTACCCTCCATTCCCTTTGCATGGATAAAGCTGTAGCAGCAGTTCAAAACCAAAGTCGGATTTTGTAGGAGGCAAACATGCCAAGAACGGCATTGCATCCTGATATGTATGCAAGGCTGAACGGCACTGCATTATCCTAAAATAGCATTGTGACTAAAGTGGTTGTACATGGCTCCCTTGCACAAGGAATATCCAACCAGATGCGACAGAGTGTCGTAGACTCAAAATCTCCAAAGCTAGAAAACAAAAATACAAGACACAACGCACCTCAACAAGGATGTCAACAAAGGTCCGAACCCATGGCACGCTGTACCGTTTCACAGCTGACTCTACACAGTCCAGCAGAGCCTCTCTGCGTGCACACATGCAACAATCCGGACTCCACACACATGACTGCCTGGGATCACCACAGTCACAAAGCTGTCATGGCTGTGCATCTGTTGGCTGCAAGATCATACCCATGCACAGCTGTTGCAAGAGAAGCAATGCCCAGCCCTGCCAGACGAGGTTCAACAGCAACAGGAGGCTGCACAGAAGTTTGAGAGCCATGTTGACAGGCACTGCACATACAAATACTGAGCACCACCCAAAAACACACCTTGCGCCTTTGTCAAGTACTGTGCTCCCCCGCTGTTCTTGACCATGCTTGCAGCCCCCCGCTTGGGGATCTAACGAATCAGGTTTGCCTGTTGGTGTATTTCCAGATCTGGTGCTTGCCTCCACCACTGTTTCTGTCTGCCGCTTTTGGTGTGCACAAAACACAGAACTGATGTGAGATTCTGTCTTATTTGTAAAGAGCATGCTGTGAGAACTGTCAAGGCGTCGATGAGGATGCACACAAACTCACAGTGTGGGAGTGTGAACAAAAGAGCAGAAGAAGGCATGAACTGTTTGGACACTCGCTCTCTCACGGCAATTTTCAGATGTACAGTCATCTTCAAATACACATCCAAGGTCATTTCGAGGGCACTGTGGGTTGCCTCACCATGGCCTTCCAGCTGGTGTATGCCGCATCATCTTCCACACCAGCAACTGGCAGCTCCTCCACAAGTTCCTGGTGAGCACAACATGCAAACCACTTCTTGCCTTTGCAAACTGCTGCACCTTCCAAAAAACACAGCAGGTGCAGTTCTGCTACATTCCTGATGAACAAAGTGACAAACAAGAACACATGATCGGTTATCACACTTTCATCTAAACTACAGAAGAGAAAATAAATGAAACAGCCAGATGTCGCTTGGTGGACACTTGCAGGCTACTAGTTACAGATGGGTGCTATCAAATAGGCAGAATGTACAGTGCAGCCCATTGGGGAATTCAATCCTGGCAATTGCTCTGGGAACAAGGGAATTGTAGGAGCTGGGCGGTGCTGGGGGTTCACCTTCAATTTCCTCAACACTTTGTTGAAAACAAAGCTATCATCGGTGTACAGCTCGTTCCGCAGCACGGCCCAGAGTTGAAGCACCTCCAGATGGGCTCTCTGGGGTGGGCTGAACATGTCACAGTGGTCGCACGCCGCCTTGATGAGTTTCCAATACTCCCGCCGTAGCTCTGGAACTTCGCACCGCGCTGTGTCTGCCATTGACACCACAATCGCCTGCAGAGAAGCACAGCCAGTGGGCTGAGATAAGAGCGGCAACTCGTGGAAAGCGTACGCAGCACAAAACCGCAACCACAGCGTGCATGAGCTGCCGCCAATAACGAGCCTGAAGTCATCAAGAAGATACCCCCTTCACAAGATTCAGCCGCACTTGTTTCAAAGGGCAAAGCAAGGTCTGGCAGGGACCCCCAAGGACTTCAAATTGCATCCCCTACCTCAAATGGTCGGAGCAACACTTGCTGAGGCTGCCCACTGCTGTGCGACGGGGCATGGGGGATTGGAGAAGGGGTCTCAGCGGTTTACAGACTTTCGACCATCGGGCAGAGATTCGGTGTGGAGTGGGATACCTTGCTTCACCTTGAAACAATCGTCAGCGTGGTCGCTCCGAAGATGTCCACCCTCAAAGAGCTGCCGCAGAAGGCCGGATGCCTTCACAAACTTCGACATAACGCCAATGTGCGAGCCGATTTTCTGCAGTGCCGCGGACACCTGATCTTGCGCTGGACCTGCGGGTTGCTGGGAAGCACCAGCAGCTTTCCCATAATCTGGTGCTGCGCCGCGTTGGCGGCCATCATCGGCTGCATCATGCGCCCCTTCTTCCACCGCTGTGGATGCACAGCACTGTCACCAGAAACGGTAGGGGACGAAAAGGACTGGGGCATCATATTTCTCGCCAACAAGGTTTCTCCCACGAGGCGAAGATCACCGCTCGTTCTCGACAGTGCGCGCGCTCCGCCAGTCGCCGACAACTGCGCCAGTGGCTTCGTCGGAAGCGCCCACACGGAACGGTCAAGTGCCCCAAAGACGCAAAGTGAAATCCATCGGACAGAGCTCCGAGACGGAATGTTCGCGAAAGGGGGCTTGGCAGCGTGCAGCCGCACCTTCCGCGTTCTTCTGCCTTTTCACGGGTCGCGCATCCTCCTCGCGCTCGCTCTTCCGGCGGGATGCGGAGTGCATACCACCACGGGCGTCTTCCGACGGGCAGCAGAACTGAAGAGGCGGAAACAGGGAAAGATTGCTCACTTTTTGATGCCAGTACGATGTAGGCAACGAACCCATCAATCACCGACGTCCGTACGTTCCCGTACGATGGCCATCACCGCCCGATTTAGTCTGATGCAAGCCGCCCTGCCTTGGGCGGGGTTAGTCGGCGCTCACCCGTTTCAGTGCACTGCACTCCAAGGAGTCGGTGAGCAGCCGCAGCACGTAAAGGCACCGAACAGTTTCTTGGGGCCCACCTCAACAACTGAACCCCCAACTGACAACTCGGGTGGCTTTCGCACCAGGGCCGCGTCGACCGTAAGCAATGAGTATGAGAATGACAGTGGGACAGCCTATCGCTGCGCCCTGCCGTTCCAGTCAGCAGTCACTGTCCTTTTTTCTATTTTGGACCTATGCATGCAATTTTAAGGCCTATCTCCAAATTACAGCAATCGCGCACAAGTTTTGGGGGCTCCATGCCAGGCGAGACACTAAGATAGCTTGAATTTTTTTTGTGCATCGGGCGATTCTCATAATACACGCCAAGTGCAACGCCCCTTGAGCGCGGTGCATCCTGCGGGGTAGACAAACACAACACCCTTTGTTTGCTTGCGCAGCCACCTTGCTTGTGTTTCTTCAAGTGCCAGCGAGCTAATCTTGTGCTGCCATTGCGCAGCTGTTCCCAATTTGCTGATCGTCTTGCAATTTTTGACCCAAAAGGGCCGCCTGTAGCCTGCAGCCTGCAGGCGCTGGTTCGCTCCTTCTGCCCCACTACGCTGCAACATCTTGCACCACAAGCCTTGAGGTGCAGCGCGGGCAAGCAGATCAACGCTGTTGTTCTTCCAGCAGTGTGCATCCCCATGGCACCAGGCGAGGGCGCAGCTTCTCCGTTGGTGCTTCTGGTGCGCAAATGGGCCTCTGCCTCTGCCCTTCAATCGCGCCCATCGATGGCTTGCCCCGTTCAGCCGCAGCAAAACACACGAACCTCCCTTCGCCAATTTCCCCCCCCCCCCAGTGTCCGTCCCGACGGCCAGCCAACGCCTTCGGGACCGTGCGCTCGTACACGATGAACTGTGCACCGCACCACGCCCAGTCCGCCGCCACGCCCTCGTTGCCAGAGATCCTCAACCCGGCGCCACGCCCTCGCCTCGCCGCGGCGCCGCCCAAACAACCCCATCAGAACACCGCTCAATCAAACAGCCACGACCCTGAACGCAGCCCACCCGCGACCGGCAACTTGCGGACCCCCCTTCCGCCGAAGCGAGGCACTCGGAGGCCCACCGGGGCTGATTCGCTTCCGCGCCGCCGGCCACCCTCGACCCCGCTGAATTCTCCCCGATCGCGGGCTGCCCCGGCGCCGCCCCTTGGCACACCTGTCCAGCCCTCCCCCCACACACTCCTCCGCAGTTTACCGGCCCCCCGGCAGGTACAGCGGTACTGAGCGCCAGCCCGTGCATCACGTCCATCACCCCCGACGTTTACGCGAACATCCCCTGGCCGATCCCCATGAGCGCCGGATCGCGACCCCTGATTGGGCCCGGGATCCGCCAAGCGCCCGCCCCTGAAAATATCTCCGCGAGGCGATTCGTCCACCCTCGCCGAGGGCCACGCCCCCCCAGCCCCTCCCCCCCTCCCCCGCCGCCGCCTGCCCGCCTTGCCGCCGGGCCGGCCCTGCCGGTCCTTCCAGCGGCCCCCCGCGCGCCGCCGGTTGTCGGCCCCCGCGGTCGTCGCACCATCCACATCAGCATCCGCGGTGCCCGCCGCGGCCGAGCGCAAGGATTTCTCCCCTTCTTCACAACCTTGCGGCCTGGGCCGGGCGGAGGCGCGGGCGGGAGGTGCGGCGGGGATCCGCCACCGCGCGCGACCGTCCGGCGAGGATGCCGGATGGGGATGCGAGGGGTGGTGGTTGGGGTTAGAGCCGCCCAACGAGCCCCGTGCCGCCAGCCCAACCGGGGCGGCCGCTGCCCGCCTCGGCAGTACCCGGCCCGACGGCGTTGGCGGATCGCCGTCGCGCCCCCGTGGACCCCGAAGCCCGCGCCCCGGGGCCCCCCTCGCGCTTTCGCTGGCCCGGAAGGGTTCGCCGGGCGCACATGTTTTGCGGATTCCGTCGAGGTTCTCCCCTGCTTGTTCGCGGGAGGGAGGCCACGGCCCGCGTCTGCGGCGGCCGATGGATCGCCCGGCCTCCCATCTGGGAGCGCTGGCGGGGCGCATGCGGTGCCTGGGCGCGCATGGCCCTCAGATGCGGTAGACCATCCCATCCTCGTAGCCCCCACCACTGCGCGGCGCCCCCGTGCGACGGAGTGACCGCAAGTCCGCCATGCGGCCCGGAGGACCGCGGCGGTGATCGCCGGCATGCCCCCCTGGCCCCGCGGCGAGGCCCGCTTGTTTCCTGACGCTTCGGTCCCGCAGGCCCAGCCCAAACACACGGGGACGCCGGGCGGCGCCGCGCCCGCCAAGATGATGCTCTTCTGGCTGCGCTTCTTCGGCTACAGGCGCAGCGCGCGGCTGGGCAGGGGCTACCATGAGGACGTTGGCGCCGCGAGCTACAAGCCGCGGAAGAGCATCATGTACGACCCTGAGACCCTGTACTGCGACGATGGCCTGGCTCCTCTGTAAGTGCCCCCTCTCAACGGCTCAGGCGTCCAATGGCTCGCTCCCTTCCCGTCCCTGACGTCCTGACAGCTGCTGACGCGCGCATGTCCCCGTTACCGCATCTTCGGCCCGCGCCTGCGCCCACGTCCCGGGCGCTCTGGCGCCGCCCGGTTTCAGCTTGACGTCTGTGACGACCGCATTGGGATAATCTGCGCGGGAACCTCTGCATCGCGTCGCCCTCCGCGTGCGGGACCATGTTCTGTTTGCGAAATTCGCAGACGCTATCCGACAGAGCGAATCGAGTGAAATCGAACGGTTTTTTGCAGCACCGCTAATGCTGGAGGCTGTCTTTGGTTCGTCTTGGCGCGTGTGCTCGTTAACGGCCTGTCAACTGCCTGGGTAAAAGGTTGGGAATGGCAATCCACTTAACCAAGGGGCTTTCTCTCACGCCCTTTGCCGCTCGTTGTCGCTTTGGCTGGGCGACTCACCTGCCGTGTGAACCCTGCCGTGCCCGCAGGGAAGACGGCATCGCCGCTGCGCGGAGGCAGTCGCATCGGCGGCCGGCGATCGACCTGGAGCGCGGCACGCGCTCCCTGGACTTGGGCCCAGGGCCGGGTGTGAGGATGTCCGTGGACTCTCTGTCCAGTCGCCAGAGCTATATGGCCACCCCGATGAGCTCGTATATGAATTTCTACACCATCCACAGGGGCAGGTGGGGGAGCCTTTGATGAATGGAGGAATGCATCCTTGTTGCTTTCGCCTTGTGCTGTCCTTTTGTTGTGGGTGCCCTTTTGTTGTGGGTGCCCTTTTGTTGTGGGTGCATTTGTGCGCTGGAATCGCATTTTGCCGATCTTTCTTGATGGTGCATTGTGTGATGGAGCCGCATTGTGCTGCTTGGGCAGTGCCTGAGTCGCTGCTCCAGTCGTTGCCCTGCATCAAAGTATTGGAGTTCGGACTGCAGGCATGCCAAAATCGTGAGGGCGACGCAGAAGTACACAGGGGCTCGTGTGGCGCTCAAGGTGTTTGACAAGAGCAACCTGACAGCAGGCCAGCGTGAGGACATTGTCAAGGAGGTCCAAATACTGCGGCTGCTGAAGGGGTATGTGGATTTTAAATTGAAGCACAAGAGCTGGGCTGCTGGGCTGCTGCTCTGATTGCTGTGTTTGGGTTTGGACTGGACTAGCAATACCACTATGAACCCACACATATGAGCACGATGTTTGTTCTGTTTTCAGTTTCACAGTGGATCACATCGCCATCACACTGCATACACTGAACCACTGGAACGCCTGGACCTCCTGTTCATCACTGTACTCAAGGGGCGAGGGGCAACGTGCCCTGCAAATGCCCATGCTGCCAGAATAGTTGCCCTCCTAACCATGAAGATTGTCTCCACACTTGTGTGCGCTCAGGAGTGACGGCATCGTGGACTTTGACAAGAAGTTGGAAGACGATTGCACCGTGACCGTTGCCCTGAAAGAGTGCACTGGTGGAACACTTATGAACCGCCTGGCGATGTCCGGTGGGAGGATGGTTGAAGAGGCATGTGTTCGCCATGTTGTGAAGCCGCTTGTTGCAGCATTGGCAATGCTCCACAGCAAGAAGATAGTTCACAGGTGACAGCACAGGCTCGGTCAAAACCCTCGCTGTACTTGTTGAGTACCTATTCAGATATCTGTAAGGTTATTATCACATGCCCAAATGGTGAATCTTGAAAGTCGGAAAGAGCTGGCAGGCACAAGCCCAAGTGGCAATTTCCTGGCTTCCCTGCCCAGTCAGCGATGATGTATGGAAGCCCCTCTGCACAGTCTGCAACATTTGTATCTCAGTGCTCACTGTTGTTTTCAGCGACTTTCGAAGCATCTTGTATAGCATGTCCAAGTTCTGCAAGTCCGTGCTGAGGTGTATGGCCCACTGTGCCATGCTGTTGTCAGCATCGGTAATGGGTTTGCACCTGCTGTTTCCACAGGGACCTGAAACCAGAACACCTCCTGTACGACGAGCACAGCAGGCTGCATCTGGTGGACTTCCACTCGGCAGCTATCATCGGCAAGATACCACTCACCGGCCGGGAGGGCACAATGGCCTACATGGCCCCAGAGGTCCTCACGAAGCCAACCCCGGACGAGATATTCCATGATGTCCTCAGCAACGGGATCTCGGATTCTGACCTGCCGTCGTACGACGAGAAGGTGGACATCTGGTCTATGGGTGTTATCATTGTGGAGGCTCTGACTGGCCGGCAGCCCTTCGTGGCCGACACTGCTGAGGCAATGCTCCGTGCCCAGCAGCAGGAGCTCCAAGGCAGCCGGTTTGGTGGCGTGCTGGACCTTGTGCGCGATCAGGAGTTTCTGTCCCTCGAGGGCCAGGACTTCCTGTCCTCTATCTTCAGGCTCAACCCGGGGGAGAGGCCGTCTGCTGCGTCATTACTGTCGCACCCCTGGCTGGAACTGCTTGGCAGCGATGATGGGGACTACCAGATGGCATAGACATGTCACACGGCCAATGGGCCGGAATGCCGTCGCCGTCAACTTGGATCCTGTGGGCTACCGTGGGAGCTCCTTGTACAACACGTTTCAACACCTTATGGGCTGGGGCAGGGTATCAGGCATTCTGGTGCCCACGTTTCATTGTTTCTAGTGCTCTCCACTGTTTCTGCTTATGCTGTGCGCGTTATCTCTTCAGCACCATTCACTGGGGCTGCAAGCAGGCCCCCAGGTCAAGTGGTGCTGGATTGCTGGGGCTTTTCGTTTTCTGAGGCGCTGGGACGCCTCGTTTCCATGGGCAGCCTCCTGCTGGGGGATTGGGGCACAGCACTGCTGTCTGTGTGGTGGGGATGCGGCTGCGCGAGGGCCTTGGCAGATTTTGGGACTGATCTGGCAGCGTGGTGTATTCATGTTTGCATTCTTGATTTCTACAGAAGCATTCTTTATATCACATTCTTTATGCTGCACAGCTTGGCCACGGTGTGCTTGGCACCCCCTGTTTGGACGAGCACTGCGGCCAGGGAGGCTGCAGCCGGGGGATGCCTGCCGTCTGTCTTCGGGACAAGGCCAGTGCAGCTCAAGCACCGCAATGCCATTCAGTCGTCATGGTGCCTGTCGACCAGGAGGTGACGAGGTTGGCAGGTGTCGGTTAGCCATCGATTCCAACGACGTGGCCAGGGCAGGCCGCAGGCACCAACATCGTTGGTGGAGCGTCCCCAAAGGGCAGGGAGCAAGGCTTGTTGGGATATGTGTGATTGGTCATTTGGTGTTCAGTGAATGGGTGACTGGACACGATTCAAATAATTGCAGGGGGCTTGGGGACGTGAGTAGTTGGGCAGTCCCCACCCTTGTTGGCTGGGATTTCTTTTTAAGAAGCTCGGGAGGGCAGGCAGGGTGGATGTCGATCGCCGCAGCCTGCAGAGCTGAGAGATGATCCCTGGAGGAGCTACAGGCTGGACATAATGCAAAGCAATGAGCGTCAAGGAATGGTGATGGTGCCGCATGGGCACCTTCAACGATATCGATGTGACTGTTGTCAGTTGAGTTTGGGCGGCAGAGGAGCTGCGTCTGCCCGGGCTCGGTTCGACGAGACCAGGAGGATGGGGGCCGAGAAGTGATAACGCACCCGAGCTAGTGGCGGGCCGTGGGGGCACCTTCAAACGATGTGTGAGATTTGTTCATGGAACGGGGCGCATGAGGGGGAAAAGTGCACACATAATTACGCTTCAATTGCCTCTGAGACAGTGCCGACGGCTCTTGAGGCAAGTGGAGTGTACCATTCTTCAACCTGAGTGTGATGAGGGACTTCAGAAATGCAAAGAGGAACTTAATCTGGATGTGCACATTGCCATCAGGTTGGGGAACCGTGTTGATGCCTTGGTCGTTTGCGCGACGCGCTGGGGCGCGTGCGACTCATGAATTCCGTGTGGTTGCTGCTTTTAATCTGCTGTGGCGTGCACTAATACTGCCGACCGCATGTGTGTGACTGCTGGCCTTGCTTCCTGCTGTGCTTGCTCAGTCTGGAGAAAGCATTGGATGCCCTCTGTCTGTGGTCGCTCAAGGCGCACATACGCCCTGCCCCTGTTGGACATCAACGGTCGGCGGCAGGCACACGAGTCGCAACGGTGAAACGAACCGGGATGCACACGCCATCGCCGCACCACATGCCAAGGTCCCGAAGGCGGGCGGCTCCCTTGGGTTCCAGGTACTGGAATTCGGGACCGTCACTTTCCGCTGAATGTGCCGTTAGTGCGCATTCAGTAGCCAGCGGCCAAACGATCCAGCCAGATTGGGGGGTCCAGGCAAGTGCCGCTGGCACGTTCCCAATCGTCCGCGGTGCCAAGCGGGCGTGCTCAATCAGTGCGACGTTAATTCAGTGGTGGCGCTTAAGATGCTCTCAGATAAAGGCGACTGCCGAGGTTGGCTCAATTTGCATCGCAGGCGGTACCATGCCACGGTCACCGGCAGTCCAGCAGTCTTGCTCTGGAGCTCCGAGACGAACCCTCTGAACCCTCTGCGAATCGTCCTTATATCTGATAGGCACCATGCTCGCAATCCGGAAGGACTCGTGCACAACTCGTGCCGCCGTGGCCAACTCTTGCGCCATGGCCCCTGCTCGTCAACTCGGGCATCCAGCCAAGCAACCCTACTCTGGCTCACCTGCATCGGGGCCGGTGGGTGTGAAGTCTGGGGGCGTTTTGAATTCCCTGCGCGCCTGGTATGCTCGCCACCGCGCCCAGCCACTCCTGTCCCAGGTGTCTTTCGGATCAGTCGTGTGCAACACGGCCCAGGCAACCATCCAACCATGTCGCCAGACGTCAATGGAAGGCATTTGCCACACGCGTCACTGCGCATTGTAGCCGTCATTCGCGGAGGCGCCGTGGCACATCTGAACGGACTCTTCCGAACAGCCCCCCTATGCGTCGTCAAGGTGCAAGGATTGGCCCCGTCCGGCAGCCCGTTTCGCCCCCATACGTCGATCCCAGCCAGCCGGGCCCCAAGGACCGGGCGGCGATCCCAGCGCAGAAGCAGGCCGCTTGCACTTACTCACGATTTGCACCACCCTCAGCAAAGGCGACCTGGCCCACATGGCCCCAACGCGACGCCATCAGTCCCAACACAGGCCAGAGGGGGTACAGCACGGCGTCCAGCGGTCGAAACGCACATTGGCAGTGAAGGTCCTCCTTGCCGCGGCCCCTGCCCAATCCCGGTCCGTTTACGCACCCCACCCCCAGTCTGTCTTTTGCCCGCATCATCCCCTCGGCGCCTGCCCCTGCGCGAACGGCTGGGGCCGCCGTTTGATGTCCCCAGTAGCGCCGTAGGGCCCCACGCCAACGTCCACCTGCACCCTGATGCCCTCCGCCTGGTGCACGGGCCGCGGGCTGCCCGCCCAGGCGTCGTTCCTGCGCCCCAGCTGGCTCAGCAGCCTGTCCACGACGGCCAGGCCCTCCGAGCTCTGGTTCACTTTAATGAGGGACTCCCCCTCCTCAGAGGGCCGCTTGGCGCCCAGCCGCAGCCACCAGCGGACCCGCCCCACCGGGCACCACCTGCATGCGGCAGCTGCCAGCGCAGACGCCAAAATGCACAGCAGCAGCAGGGCCGTCCATTTCCAAGCGGAGGAGGCGGGCGGGGGGGGAGGGGTGACGAGGGGGTGGCTGGAGGCGGTGGTCGGGGGACGCTCGTTCTGGAGGTCGTACGCATGAACGAGGGCGGCGCCCAGCGGCCACGCCACCTCGTCGGACTCCACCCGCATCTGCCCGGGCTGAATGCCCAGGATGTCCCGCAGGAGGACCAGCAGGTAGGAGGCCCTGGGGTCCAAACAACGCGGGGCACAGTCAAGCATCCATTCGTTCACGAAATCGATGTATCGAGGCGCGAAATCCAGTGCACCACACAAACAAGTCCACGGCAATTCCTAATTTGCCAGAAATGTTTGCCGATGATTACGCATTGACAAAGTGTGTTCGCCAGTTGGCTTGCGGGGACAGAAACAACAAGTGGCACCGCTGCGTTAAGAAGACTTGATTGTGGAGCACAGTCAGCGGCGTTCAAAGCACTCTCATGCTGACAACGTCCTGAAAGGCGCATCCGCATTAATGGGAAACGACAAATCTGGATACTTATTGGTGCCAAATGACAATTTCGGGTACCGCCAGGATGCAGCCAGTGTTTGAGGTCCATGCTAGCTCAGACAAATTTTGCTGAGGGTCAGCAACACATCAGTTGCGACTGAAATTCGCGTTTGGATGTGCAGTGGCGCCAGCTGCGCCGACTACCCCGAGCGATGAACTGCAAAGCAGCCAATGTCAGATTTTCCCTTCGTTTTTGACAGCTAATTGGTTTTGTCCGGTCATCTGCAAGTCTTCTGTCATCACCAGTTGGAGGCCTCAAGAGCACTTACACTCTGTGGCTTGACACCGACACGTCGCGCCCACACCAGCAGTGCCGCAAAATGACGACCACAAACATTGGCCAAAAGGTGCAAAATGCCACCGCGGCACGCCATCGTGCGTCCAGCGATTGAGCGTCACTGGCGACGAAGGGCGGCGCCGCCTTACCGACTCGTGCCTCTTCCAATCTCTACATGTGCCAAAAGACATGGCACAACACTGCTCCATGTTTCCGACTAGCGTGTTGAACTAAGCTCTGACGCAAATGCACAGAAGGCGCCCCCAGAACATCTTCACTGATGTTCATAAAGGAACGTTCGCCGTTTTCGTGCAGTGCTCTCTGTTTGGCTCCTGCCTTTGTCGACACTGGGTTTCTGCGGCGCTGCGAAACGGGCAAGGGGCCCAGATCTAGTCTTGTTGGGATGGAGTGTCCATATGCGGCCTGATTTCCTGCTCTAAGGTGCACCTCGGCCAACGCGCCCAGCGTACGCAGTTTGGCAAGACACAGAAAACGCAGTTGACCACTTCTTTGGTGGCACGCCAATACCAGGCAACAACGAACCGCAAAGCACACAGCATTTAGTATGCTGACTAATGTAGATTCTCGCACAAGCATTGCCCCCGAGCGTGCACCGCCCCAATGGTAATCGGTCGGGGCACGTGTGCTCCCGCTGCAGCCACACACCAACTCCGCCAGCACCAGTAAAAAACAGGCCAAAATACACGGTTCTGAAAATAGTGTACAAGCCAACACGATCGCCAATCGTGTAAAAATCGTGTTGAATGTGTCTATTGTATAAACATGGGACTAGACCCTGTAGTAACGGCTGAGCGAGTGTACATAACTTTACACGTTTTCACACGGTTTTAAACGATTTTTACACGGTTCGAAACCGTGCAATTTGGCCAAGTTTTTACTTGTGCACGGTGCCCACGTCCCGATTTTGTTGCTGTCGGTTCAGCGCCAACAGCAGTTGTGGGGCCAACCCACCTGAAGCAGTATCTGCTCAACTCGACGACATCCCCCAGGTCCTGCGCTCGCAGAAAACGAAATCCTTGGAAATCCACGGGTGAAAAATGGCATCCACAGCACGGCCAAAGCCTCACGGCGCAGTTCATTTTTTGACGCTGAACATTCACACTCCGATACACCAATTCATGGCACCGGTGCATCCATGGAACCGAACGCTCACGATTTTCAGCAGTTTAACGCGGCTTGAATACGAGCTGAAAGTGAATGTGGCCGCCAATAGTTCGCCGCCGAGCGCTAGAGACCATGCGGCTGCATTGCGCAAAGGTCTCAGTAAGCCCAGACACCCACAAGATGACTGCGAGGTGGTACATAGCGGCAGGGCTTGTTGCGGAACTGGACATGGCGCTCTCGCACCGCCCACCAGCACAGAATACAGGAGGTTAGCCTCGTGCCTCCAGGAATTGCAAAACGAAGCGAGTGAACATGTCTTCACTGTTTGAAATGAGCAAGGAGAGGGAAGAGAGCCTCCATGCACAAGCCAAAGATGCCAGTGTACCGGCGGATAAAAGACTGCAGGGGAACCGAAAGCTGGAGACCACAACGTTGAGGCGATGGCCTCCTAACAACCTGCTGATCTGAGGCGCCGAGGCACACATTGTGTGCAATGGGCGTAGTCCCGCAGGCGTTTGAATACTGAAAATGATGTGCACATCGTGCTCAGTATTCAAACGTCTATGGGACTGCCCACACTATTGTGCCTGAGCTCATGCAAGCTTGCCAGATTTTCTTGGTGTGTATGGAAGGTGGTAAGACAACAGCACGTATTTTCTCAGAGAGGTTAGCACGAGGTTAGCGGCATTGAGGATGTGACCCACTGTAAATACATTCACATCTATACTGCAACTCACCATAGCACCAATCGCCCCCACTAATCATTACGAACACCACAGCGCCAGTCGCTTCACAGCCAAGGACGCCACTTCGGCCGTGTGAGTACATTGTTTTCACCAAATCGAACAAAACAACCGCCCTTCCATTCGCACCGCCGAAATTGCATTTGCGCATTAGAAATTGCACGTGCAGACGAAGCTCTTGCTCACCTGCTCCACTTCCTGCCACGGCCTTGCGCAGAAACTCTGCCCTGCCTTCTCCAGTTCCAGAAAACTGTCTGTAGCAGTCAGGTTATAGAATTTCCAAACCACGTGGAAGCCGTTCAGCGCAGCCACGTGGCCCGCAAGGTGATTGGTTCCTCTTTTGGTGCACTCTTCACCAGAGCAGCCATCTGCAGGATTGAACATCTGTAGCGCATGTGAACATCTGTCATTAGAGGGCAGGGACATCTGTGGTTGCACAGAAAAGCAAGTCGACAAGATTGAAGGCTGTTACTGTCACCATATTTAAGGTAGCAGACAAGCAACCCAGGATAGGTGGGGTGGGGTTGGGGTGGGGGGGTAGGGGTGTTTAATTTCAGGTCGTTGGGGCAAGGACGCGGTCAAGCCTTAGCATGTACTAATGTTGCCATTGACTTGTGCATTTTCAGTTCGCAATTGTTCGTGGATGGCATGTCAGGTTTCCTAAGAAGCTCACCACACTCCCTTCGAGGCAGCGCAATTAGTCATTGCTTAGAGGGCCTGGAAGCATTGATGCTTGCAAAATTTTGCAACTCATCACACCCCGCCGCCCTCGCCACGGGCAATTTTACCTCCTGCACAACGTGTTTGCACTCTTCCCAGTCCGGGAAGCCCCACAATACGACGTTTTCTGGGACCAGGTCTGACTCCTTCGGGTTGCTCCTTGGGTAGGTGTGTATGCTGTTCCTCTGCATGCAAGGGTGCCTCACTTGTGGCACAAATTTCTTCTTGGCCTTCAGCTCTTCGCGGTGATGGGATCTCCTCAGAAGCCAGGTGACGGAGGCGTCAAAGGCGTCGTTGAGGCCGTAATGGTGGTACACCTCAGTTTTCAGGAAATACGAGTTTCCTGCAAGGAAATGCCACGTCCACCACAAAACTGCAAAATGGCGCTCCGAGCAGCTCAACCAGTTTGGTGCCAAGCACAGACACGCGCACTAACAAGAATTTATCTTGTGCGAAGAGCAAAAGCCCTGCGCTCATATCAAAATTTCCCAGCGGGCATTGCAATTCAGTTCTTCATACTTGTTTGGTCGAGTTCCACAATAGCACTGCAGTTGCAGCGAAGGGGTGATCCACAGCTTCTTGTGACGTCCTAATTGTCTGAGAGTTGTTTTAGCCATGGTGCACAAACAACAAACAATTTTCAATATGGCAAATGTCGCAGTGGTCGTGTCTGCCCCTCTGAATGGGTGGTCTAGGCAGGCGCCCGTATGCTTGCCACGCAAAAGAACTGTGACAGGCTTTCGATCCAGAGCATCGGTGTATCGAACTGCCCAACTGAAACTGGCTGTGCACTGCATGGGTGACACCCAACACCGACTCCATGGGAAAGGGGGTATCAGTCCAGAGCTGTGATGCTAAGAGGCAACAAGAATTCCACAACGCCGCTGCAAACCAAGAACGAGCCCAAACTACGACTGATCTATCTGGGAAACTCCGTTGCACATTCAACCTGCAGCTGGGCTTCAAAGTTGGAAGACAAAGATGGCATCCAGCTAGAGAGTGCAATGGCTGCTACACACACTCAGCCCACGTGGAAGGCTGGTGTCGCTGTTGAGTACCAGGGAAAGCAATCGGTGATGCGGCACATGGTCAGGGCTCCGATCTATTCCACTCCCGGCAGAGATTACGACATGGCATCGTGCCAGGCCTGATGCTGGGGCGGGGACAGAAAGGTGGGAGGAGGGGCTTGTGCCAATCTGATGGTGGGAGTGACAAAATAGCCCGAGAGTAGACCCCCAGCTGCTTCCAAGAAAACAAGATCCATAAGATCCTAGTATCTCATACTGCGTGCTCAACATTTTTCTGCTTGGAGGGCAGGGTACATTACGTGTACGATCCAAAGTTGCTTTTGCCAATACAAGTGTGTTCCATTACCAGCGAGTACCATGGGAGGCACCACGCCTTCTGGCCCAGCAGAAGAAGGCACCTCGAAAGTGACTTCCAGTGACGAGCCTCCAAGGTCCAGGGCAGCCAAAGTGGGCAAGGGCTCAGGATGACTTAAAGCTGAAGATGGAGCCGCCTGGGGCGCTGGCCTCAAAGGAGGTCTCAGATAATGATTTAAATAATTCAATGCAACCCAGCCGTATGTCCCTTCCTCACTCCCGCTGATGATCTTAACCCACTCTGGCTTGAACCTGTGAGACACAAGCACATCACTTTTGACTGAGAACTAGCTCAAGCCTATGCCATAAGCAAGGGCAACTCGCTGAATTGAGTGGGAATATGGTCTGAGAGGCAGGGGAGCAATCCAGTATGTATTGCTCAACAAATTCGTGTTGGACAAAACTACTGCTGCTTGTCATCATGAAGTGCCTGCTTGTGTTGCAGCAGAGGCAACAGAGCAGGAAAAGTACCTGTTCAAGCGCCTGCGCAAGTCGCAGGTTTCAAACAGTCAGTAAATGAGAAAAAACGGTTTGCATGGCACTTGCTGCACACTTGCAAGGACAGGTGGTCAGCATCAGTCAGCCCAAAAAGCATTATCCTGAACCTGCTGGCAAGTCACTCTCCCTCAGATGTACAGCATCTGTCCTACAGTTCAGCAGATCTGGCAGACTGGGCTCCACAGCAACACGTTTTTTAGGTTGCTAAGAAGTCTGCTACACTGCCCGTTTCATTGAAGGGCACACTCTCTGGCAAATACAAGATGCACTTGAGGACACTTGCTGCGTTGATACTCCCATTCATATGTACAAGCACCCCAAGCACTTGCTAAAGCGCTGCCAAGTGCCAAGACTGCCATTTAAGTGATGGACACAAATTCTCCCAGATGAGATTTCACATGTGCGTGCCAGCAACCCATCCAAGCGCCCAGCTTCTTCTTTGACAACGTGAGGCTGCTGCCTGCATTGAGCAGGGATGCGCAGCCCAGGATTGTACTCTGCGCAAGTTCGTGCTGATTCAATTCCAAGCCACTGGTGTATCTCTGAATAATTTATGCCATGAAGTCTGCCAGGCACATGTCACAATGCCTTGTCCCCTTTCCTGTCCAAGCTCTCTTCCCAACCAGCCAACAAGACAGATGTCTGCCCAGGAAGACGGCCTGGGACACGGTGGCGACACGTAATTGCCCCAGGCTGATCACCTGCTCCTTGAAGATTCACTCCAACCCCAGGCCAGACCAAGGAATTTGACTACATATGGACTCTGCAGACCTTAGCTAACAAGTGATTCAGAACACTACCAAAAAGTTTGGGAAAGCAATGAGGCTCAGAAGTTTGTCTAGCTCTGGCAGTTACGCCCTCCAGCACCCTAGGCAAAGGTGACTGGGTACCCAAACTTCTCTTACAAAATGCAAGCAAAAGAATGCCCAGCAGCCCAACCAGTCAGTCCACCCAAACCCACCAGAAGGCCGAACTGCCAAGGATCGCCTGCACCTCCCTCAGAAGCTCCAGCCGCCCCTCCATGGAAAGCCCCCTTGAGCCTGCCGTTCCAAACAGGAACAAGGGACTTGAGCTCCGCTGGGCCGACGGGACGACTGCCTCCGCCCAGGAGAGCAGGGGAGCGAGGGCATGTTGCCTCAGGCCATCGAAATCCCCCACATAGTGGTCCATCCCTGGCAGAGTCTCCACCCTTTTGTAGGCCCGTTTGCCTGCTCTGAAAGGGATCTTGTCAGGTGCAGCCGATGGCGGGATTTGCTCAATGCTGGGCAGATTAGGACCGCTGGGCGATGTGGTCCATTTGTACACATACCTGGAACATGAACACTGCTGTCATTAGGACACATTAATAGAATTGTCGATCCTTGCAACAATGGTGAAACAGCACACGGAGCATGTCAAACAATGCATTTTGGGTCGTCAAAGCATCATCGCCATAGTAAGTCCACGATCCATAAAACATTGATGGCCCAGCGCTTGTCAGTTCTGACTGTGCATAACTGCAGCATGGCAATGGCAGCAGTTGATACAAGACATCCTGGGCCGCCAAGAATCAACACACAGTGCCAAATAAAACTTTTGATCAACTACGGCACTGAGCCTTGTCATCAACATTGACAAGTGCTTTGATGCTTCCACTTGTCCACAAATTTGTGCCTTGATAAAAGTGTATCTGCCACCATCGTTCTGTCAGAAGATCTATGGAGCCATTCCAACAGACATGTGAAGTGGGCACAGGATGTGCAGGTGGCGATGCATGTAATTTCATGTCACTGGGGTGGCCATTTACTGGCAAATGAGCTGAAGAAGAATTGTCAATGAATGTCAATGGTAGTGACTCATCACAAGGCGAATTCCACTCCTATCAGAATCAGCTGTGTTGTTAGAATCAGAGTGCCGTGATGGCAAGGAAGAGAGGTGCACATGTGCACTGCTCTTTGCTCTCAGAGCATGTTGCATCGATCAGTAAATGCCAGCACAAAGAACAGAAGGCCACTTAGCATCGCTTTTTACAGTGAATGAGATGTACAACATGAAGCAACCACAGTCATGGAAGCAAAAAATTTGAACAGTTTGCAGTTATGCGTATGATTCCAACAACGTTGATGCATCTGGGGCTGTCAATGGGTGCACCTCCTCCTTTTGCCTTTAAATTGCAAGCGCACATTCGAGTTCCCGTGCTGCCAGCGTCCACCACCAGCACATAGGATGTATTATGTGCCACACTCTGCCCAGCCGTCTCATAGAAAGCCACGATGAAGATGATCAAGGCTAGTGCTTCTGCCGCCAGGCATGCACTCGTGGCTCCACAAGAGCACAATGGCCACCACTGCATAACAAAGAATTTCTCTTTCTTTGCATTTGCCATAAGCATGCCAAGGCACTGCCCTTTCACCCTTTTTGCAGTGTCAAGTGCATATCCACAATAAAGGAATCAACATCACCACAGGCAGAGTCATACTGTACATTCTGAGTGGAACAATGCAGAAATTGAGTCGCCTGGCATATATTAAATTCTTCACCACCACAAGTAATGCAGGGGCTGATATGCACTGCACACAGAGACGCAGGAGTCATTCTGTGCACAGTGCCCAATGGCATCTCCCACACCAGAAAGGGCCACCTGCCATGGGAGGCTACTTTTGCTTTGTGGTTCAATACATTCAAGCCCATGGAGCATGAAGGTTGTTTCGAGGGATTTGGCTGGTGTCTCTGCAGCCTGAACAGTGTTGTCCACAGCAGAAATGGTTGGCAGAAATGCCCAAAGAAAACTGCATTGTTTGCATGCGCAGCAACATATTTATGGGAAATGGGTAAGAGGCAGCATGATAAGCGAATGGGAATCTCATAGATGCACACTCTGCGATGTGGCACTATCCTGCACTCTTGCACCCTTCACTTGAATCCAAACCCCTTGGCAGTTCGCATACACTGATGCACAGTGGCGATCAGGGGCGACAGACGGCTAAAAGTCGAACACAGTGCCCCTTCAGCGCAAGGGGCACTACTTACAGGCATCCACTGTCTGCAAAATGCAGTGAGCTGCAGACATCCAGGTGGATTCTTCCTGGATCCCACCATGCCATTGGCCAATATGCCAGCATTGCTCCACAGTTCTTGATATTGGCTCAAAACCGCTCCATCTTCACTCAAACTGAGCGAACCGATGTTTATTTTAGGCTCACGATGCCAGCCATGATCAGTGCATGGCTGGTGGCAGTCATTGCAGCTTCCAACAAAGTGCCCAGGACGGACACCCAGGCCCAAGCACATACCACCCCAGACACGACGTCAGGTGCAACATCCGCCGCCAAAATAGGCCGTTTCGACTGCCCATAGCCGTTTCAGCCAAAAATCAACAAGATCGTTCCCGTCTTGGGGCATGCTGGACGCAGATCACAAGTGGACAGCAGGCGCCCACTGACCAATTCAACAAGATTCCAACCACTCGCCCGCGACAAGGCGGGGACGGCAAGGCTCGATCACCCCCTGCTGCGCCGCGTCCTTGATGCAGAATTCATGGAAGAAATTCGGCTCTGGACAGGCCGATGAACCAACCTCACAGTCGCGCGTCAACGCGACGACACAGTCACTCGTGCATTCGGCACGGACACCACCCGCCGCGGCGCGTTCCAGCGGATCGCAACAATTCCCAGGCGTAGCCCCGGTGATCCCGCAACCGTGCGCGATCTTCAAGCCGTTCGAAACAACGCCACGCCCCCGCGCGAGGCCGCCCGCATGGGGCGTCAAAACACGCCCCCCAAGAGCAAAAACGGCCTCCGACGCACTTCATGGGCCCATGCCGGGCGCGTCTCCTGGTCGCGGGCCGCCGAGCTCCGGGCGGGGCCCCTCGGCATGTCGCTTCGAGGCCAGCGCGCCAGGCGCGGCGGCCAGGCACGGATGCTGGCACGCTGCGGCAGGGGTTGGCCTTTCCATGGCCGCCCGGCATGAAAACGGTGGAACTTCACAGCCCCGTACCTTGGCCCTCGGTCGCCACTGACTGTACCATTGCTGGCATTCCCTGCAGCCAGCCCTCTATCCGCCTTCAGTCTTCTACTTTCGAGGGTTGCGCACGACGAGCCATGGAACTTTCCCAGAATCGAGGTCGATTAAGTCATGATGCCGTGAATGGAGTGTGACCCAGGGGGGCTCTTGCGCCGCAGAATTGGGAGGCCACACGTTGGAGGGGCTGGAGGCGCCGAGGTGCGGCTGGCGCTATTACGTGCGCCGGCGTCGGACGCACCCGGCGGTTTTCAAACAGCTGCCTAACGTTGCGGCCCTTGCGTTGCAAGGCTCGCAGATGGAGCTTGCCGCTATGTTTCAGATTGCCGCGCCATTCAAGGAGTCCAGGCGCAACGCGGGCTTGGCATCAGCCCCCCCGAGGGTGGCATTGCAATTGCCAGGGACCGTGGGGGAAGTAGAATATTCAACGCGCCTTGCTGGACACCCTTGCGCGTGAATGGCTGCTTGAAGAGAGCGGTTTGTGCGCGGGGAGGCACGGGGGGCTGCGCGCCGCAGCAACGTTGGTTGCCCCTGCAACGTTGAGAGCGACGCTACAGCCTAACGTCTTTCTGTGCGTGGCAACAGGCACCCTTGGCATGAAGTTAGTCCCTCTGTCTTCTCCGTGAAGATCCCTTCTTGTTTCGACACCCTAAACTTGAAAACACTGACCCACTGACCCACGCTGACCTTGTCAGCGGAAGAAGGGATCCTCACAGGGAGACAGAGGGACTAATATATTCTCGGCAACCTTTGGCATCAAAAGCCGATGCCGTGTGCACATTTCATCACCAAAATCCAAACCTGGCCCACGCCCATTGGGCCAAAAGACTGACGTGCTCCTGAGCTTTGGCGTCTGGGGATCAGATGCTTGGGGATTCAGGGTCTGGTTTATGGCCAAGGCAGGGCAACCACACACCGCTGCCGTGGCGGTGCGGTTCTCACACCGAGTGGTGAGGGTGCATGGTTCTCCCGATGCTCAACACTGGCAATAATTTGGGGATGCTGCAGCACCACTGACTGCAACTGCAGTTCAGATTCAAGGGAGTGCAGACTTCCAAGATGGAGACTCTCTCCGCTGCAACCGTGCTCACCCACATGGCACAATCCAACAGGCAACTGGGCAGTGCCCACCAGCTCCTGCTTCATCACCAGGGTCTATTAAAGGATGCACTGCCAGCAAAGCCACAAACGATCTCCCCAGTATCACCCACAGCTCTGAGCCGCTTGGCTAGCAAGAAGTTCCGAAAGCATTGGGGGCACACCTTTCACGAAGGCCAGCAGCCCCATTGACCCACGCTGTCTGCTGGAACATGCTGTTCAACAGCTCATCCACCCAGAGCATCAAGCATCTGTCCACGCAAGGGCCCCAGCAGCTGCGGAGGACCTCGCCCTGACATCTGCCCGATTAACGCATCTCCAGTCACTTCACACAATTCAATAACGAAACACAACCCGCATCTATGGGCATGATTCATGCCTTGCCCCTGTATTGTCCTCTGCCACGCCCCTATCCTGTCATGCTGTTGTCTTGTCAAGTTCCCACAGCACTGTCTTGTCCCTGTCTTGGTGCCTACATGGCCGGCGGCTCCAGTTCTATGCACAGCCACCCAACGCAGTCCCTATTTGAAGGCGCAATCGCTTGCACCAGCTGAAATCAGGGCAACTCCCCTGGGACCACTGAGCGATCAGGCCACCGCCTCCAATCCACTTCAACTTGCACCAAGACACATGCCTTGTCTCGCTCTTTCAGATTTGTCCCGTCGTGAGGCCCCATCACAAGACAACAGGGGCCAACCTGCCAACTCACTACTCTGTGCCGACCATGCCACCCATCGACGCATGCCCCACCAGTTGAATATAGAATAGAGCCACAGCACTTGCTTTGTGCAATAGAAAAATAACCACAGCAAAAAGATCGCACATCCATCGCTGGCCACACGTCCTGGCCAGCCAAGCAACAATATACCTCGGAGTTTCAAATACGTTTACCTTTCTGGCCACCCAGCTTGTTACAATTAAATGGGGGAGTGAAAATGGGGCTATTAATCTTGAGCAGGGGTCTCGGTCCTTATGTACATCCGAGTGGTCCTAACTCGGGAAGCGAGACCCGCTCGACCCAGGGGTTCAGTATCACTGGGTGTGCTTTTATGCCCGGACGCTGCAGTCCCTCCGGCCTCGGTCGGCGCCCGCGCCCCAAACCCCAGCAGCCCAAATCGGCAGCGCCATCCCCCGCCCCAGCCCGCGCCGAACCGCTTATTTCGGCCCCGAGACGCGTCCCAAACATATCCCCGCCCACCCGCCTGCCCACCAATCCCTCAGCCGCGCCCGCCCGAACTGGGCCACGCCAGGCACCACCCATGAAGCAACCACCCCTCATGGCCACATTCTGGCTCCCAATTTGGGCCATGCCAGGTGCCACCCATGGAGCAACAACCACCCATGGCCACATTCGGGCGCCCACACGCGGCCCCCAAGCCCCCAGCCCCCACCCATCGCCCCCCCGCCTGCCCCGCTGGCATCAATGCTCCGCGCTGTCCCCACTCTCCTTGTCTGCGTCGCCGACCCTGGGGCTCTCCATCTCGGGGATCATGTATTCCAGGCGCGACGGCCGCCGCTCCAGCGGCCCGCCCTCCGGGCCCAGCTTGGGCGACAGCTGCTCGACGGGCACGTCGGCGGGCACGGTCTCCGTGCACGACAGCCCCGCCCGCTCCATCGCCCACTCGCCGGAGTCGAAGCGCTTTTTGGTGCTCGACTGCGGTGCAAGAGCGCAACGTACAGGCCAGTCAAGATGTCGCAGCCGCCCGCTAAGTGTTCTCAGCCAAGGAAGACACAGCCCAGCCAAGATGTCGGAGCCGTGCGCCAAATGCGCTCAGTCGATGAAGCCACGGCCATCCCAAGAGGCTGTGGCCGTGCGCCTAGGTCACTCTGGCCGGCCCACTTTCCAGGAACGACCTCGCCGCTTCCTCGACCTCTCGGGTGGTAGAGCCACGGGCCGGCATGTGTGCGCGTGAGCAGGGGCGGCTTGTGCACGACTTGATCGCGCTGTCGAGGGACACGTCGGACACGAGTGCTTGCGCGTGGGTGGGGTGGGGTGGGGTGAGTGGGGTGGGTGGGGGCAAAAGGCCCAATGGCAGATTCTGGGAGGCACCTTAGTCGGAAAACCGAAACTGGCACCCGTGGGCGCGAGCGCCCACGCAGTTTTCAGGGGCTCCGCGACGAGAGGCGCTCCAGGCGACGCTCAAAGGCCGGCAGGGAGACCACGAGAGGGGAGGAAAGGGGGGGATTGCGCGCGCGTTGAGCGGCCGTGCCGCGCACGTGGGGCGCACCTTGGTCAAGAGGTTCCGGCGCAGCGACAGGTGGCCGTGTCTCATCACGAACGCCCGCTCCTGGTGCTGCTCCACCGCCATGCCGTCCGCCACCTGCGCGGGGCGCCGCGGGGCGGTCAGCCCGCCGATGGCCGCGCTCGCGGCACACGCCCCCGCCACGTGGGCCGCGCAATTTCGCCAGACCGCCTTGCGCGCGCCTCTGACGGGTCCAAACGACGGGCCGGAGCTTGCAGACATCTCCCAGCAGGCACTGGCCGCTGTGGTGAGCGGAGGCGACGCGAAAACGAAACTCGAAAACCCTTGTCGACCATCTGCTTCGGCCAGAGGGGCGCACAGAGAGATTTCGACGAGCGCCAGGGGCCATTCCGGCGTTTTGAGCAAGCGGCCAGGACTCACCCGCGCCTCCCTGGCTGGAGCGGCGCTGTCTGGGTGGGCCATCATGACAGGGAGGCCACCAAAGTGGCCGGGCACCTCAGACGCGGACGGGGGTTCCGCCCGGCGGCACGATGTTGCGGACGGCTTCCGGACGCGGGTCTCCGCAGACTGCGGGATGCGGCGGGCTCTCCCCGGTGGTTATGAGCGCTCGGCAGGGCGGACCGGGGGGAAGGGCGGGGGGGGAGGGGCGGCGGTGCGCAACTGCTGTTGGCCGGCGGGGCCAAAGCTTGGACGACGAAAAACCAGGGCTGTATTGCGGGAGGCTGGGCAACCGTGCGCTGAAGACGTGGATGGGCAGCCATTGGCGAGGCGGCTTCCAGATCGGACGCGAGGGAGCTATGCACGGTGTGTGCGTAATGTACTGGGTCGGGGTTGACGTCAGCGAATGTACCGGGAGGAATGGCCAATTCAGGGGAATGCCGCGCGGAGTACGTTCTTGGTTGTAGGTCATCACAACGCCACACACGCCGTCCCAGGCAGGTGGGAAGCATCGGGGGGGCCCTTACACACATGGGAGCTGTACAGCAGCGACCGGCCCACCACCATTTGGTTCTGTGTGGCGATTTCACGCGGAACTGGAGACTTCGTAATGCCCCCCCCCTGCCCCCGTGCTTATGCAACAGTGGTTTTGATGGGCACACCCTGTCACCCTCACACCCCGCCAGTAGATATATCCTGTTGCACTTCCAAGATGTCGCTCATGTGACGATTTTCTAAGTACCTACTGAGATGACCAGTTTGATGTTGTGTATTATTAGCTCTTTGATTGGTTGATTGGTGATCTGATCTGCTGCAACATTGTTTGAGTTACTGAGCACGCCCTGGAATTAATGAGCCAAAGGCGTATTAAATGTCCTGTTCCATTGCTTAATGTCAAGGAGCTCACCTGGAGAGAGCCGCCCTTGCTGTAAACCCCCAATGCACGACCCCCCTGACGTGCACGTCACTCGTCGCTCAGTCGCACGTGTGACTGAGCCGGAACGGAGGTGTAAGCTGGGCCACGGAGAGCTGAGTTGGAATGACGTCTTAAGCCACATGAATCATCACTAAGGAAGACATGAGCCGGGAATTCATCATCAGTAAGCTATTTTTCCGTACGTTGGTTCTGGCGGAGTGCCAAGGCCGGGACTATGGGATTGCATTGGCGGGCATTATTGACTAAATCATATTTTGCTGACTTGATTGATTTGATTGGTGGATCACTGTTGAGGGACGTACTTGGGACTGACCGTGATTGCTGGGGACTGAACGTGCTTGCTGGGGACTGGAATCACTTGCTGGGGACTGAAGTTGACCCGGTTGTATGGAATGTATGATGGGTTGTACTGTGCTGGGAACAAGTGTTGGAGAACTCGAGATGTCTGGGGACAAGCTCAGGGGGGTCTGTACACGGGTTGTAGCTTTGGAGGCTTCTCGAAAGGTGGCTAGGATCGGGGGCTGGGACACCCTTTTGGAGTATAAATATGCATGGGACAAACATCCTTGTAAAACTCTTTCTGGGCCCACCATCGCTGCTGTGTATGTGTCTTTGTTTCTGAACTGTCCTCGGACAGTGTGTGTGCCACATCCCATTTCGCCTGCGGGGAAGGAGGCGACCGTGGTGTCTCCCGACAATCGGGACCGCATTCGATGCCCATCAGCCCGTTGTGACGGCTGGTCTGGCAATTACGGCTCTGCCGCAGGATAGGCCTGGTCTGCATCCGTATGGCGCGGCTAAGACACGTGGGCTACCGCCACACTCACGACACTGCTGTTTCTGACGGTGGGTATGCATTGCCTCCCCGTCGCGGATTCGGGTTTCACTCATGCAGTTGGCCAATCAAGACGGTGCAAACATGCTGAAGCGTGGAGAAAATTCAATGGCCGATACCCAAACTGTAGTGTTAACACTGCACCCGTGCTTGGTCTTTTACGTTTACGTTATGTTTTATGCTTTTACATTTGCGTTTTTATGCGCAAACAAGTTAACACACGGAAGCGGCTATTTCTGCAGCTATATTAGGCATATTACGTGTTTCACAGCTATATGCACAGCTATATTACGTATTTTAATGGCGCACAGAACTGGCTATTTCTGCATCTATATTTACGTACTTTAATGGCGCGTTGAGACATTTAGGTTGCATGATTGAATCGTAAACAATGATCAGCCCTTCCCTCCTCGGATCACCCGCAACACAGTGTCCACCTTGCCCTCGGCAAGGGCAACGACGTAGCCGAACAAAAGGTCGTTTTATGACCACTCCAGCAGATCTGAACCCCACTCCTCGGACTCACTGAGGCTGCATGTACTGTCTTAATGTACACATGACCTGCTCTTATGCATGTTTACGGGGTTTTATACAACAAAATATACGCACCACTTTGATGCATAAATGCACGTAACTGAATAGTGTTACGTCGTGAAGACCAAGCATGACTGCAACGCTGCTTGGCACATCCTACACGCATCGTCTACGGGGAATCCAAGGAAAATCACAGGCTCCTGCATGGAGCTTGATATCGAGCCGCTCCTGTAGCGCCCTGGCCAGGAAGCGATGGGGGGTGGGGTGAGGCGGGGGATCTAAGCTTAATGTCACATTGACACTAAGCGTACAAAATTCAAAACAGTGTCTTCCCTAACGTGGTGGCCGTGCATTTGATACCCCTCCAAATGATGTGGCTCGGCCAGCTGCTAGGTGTTCCGGAAAAGTGAAAAGTCACACTACACACTGTACGGGACATGAATAGTGGGCTGTGTCGACGGATCCATAGAATTTGTGCATTACACAGTGCACATAGCCCGTACAGACCATGTATTGTCGAGTTTCACATCCCTGAATTGTTACATTACATTGGTTTCCTTTTATTAAATGGAAACCAATGTCCTGAGGCGCCGCAAACCGTTAGTCATTTGACGTCAACGTGATTTACAAGGGATAGGATCATTTGGGTTTGTTCAGGGTACTTGCGCTGGAATATTTAAGCTGGCTCCGTGTTGCGCCGATGTGGTCTTTCAACAAAGCTCCAAAAGAACATCCATTGGCGTGTTGTGTGCTATCAATTGTAAGAAAGTGGCGACAAAGACACACCAGCGAGATGTTATCTGCCACAAAAACATGAAACAATCTTCTGTCTTTGACGGAAAGAAACAAAAATATAAAAAAGGAGGAAGAAAATAATCAAGGAGGCTAAAAGCGATTCCAAGTTCAGGCCGGTTTGTTCAAGGAGCATGGCGAACTTCCCTGTTATTCTGTCCACTTATTTTGAGCTTTCCTCACCAGGCATTTTATTTCGAAACTCGGGCCAGCGAACTCAGGGCCTGATGGCGCATTGCTCCTCTGGCTTTGATGGTGGATTGTTGGATAAGGCTGCAGTGGACCCTACTGCGATTATATCGTTCTCACGGAAATCTCTATCGTGTGGTTGTCTCTGTGCTACTTGGACAGCTCAACTGTCATGCAGGACTTGCAGGTCCAATTGGTGATTGAATTCTCGGTAGGTTACCGCCATCGAGAAAGAGAAAGTAATTTCGTGCAGAGGTGGCTGATTTTAATTGATTTGAAAAAGCATTAGTGAGATGTTTAGAGGATAGATATTTTCTGTTGTTTGGCTGCTTGTACACTGTAGATTAAGCGTGTGGCACAGCCGTTTTTGTGCACCGGCACTTGTGATACAACGGGCCTGCGATCGTCTGAGGAAGGAGTGAATTAGAGTGTGATCCACCGTATCTGTTCGCCCACAGATTTGCACTGAGCGACCTCTCACTTGAGCGACAGTGAAGTTATTATTATCTGTAGCGATGGGAAAACCGCTCCTTTTGCGACAATGTTGTTTCCTTTCCGACAGGTCCCCAGAACTACTATTTTCAGTGACACACCACAACGATATTTTGTCTTGTGTGTGCACGTACGTAATGCCATCACTGACCCCCGCCACCCGGTTTGAAATGTAAAAAGCACCTGCGCTCTGCAGTATAAGCCACAACCAATGGGACGCGATGAACCCATTGGAGGCTCCGCTGCGGATCACCATATCGTAGATAGTTGCAGCCATATCTCGACTGATCACATATCAATTGATCTGTTGGTTTCGATTAAAAGAGGCAGGATCCCAAAATATCTTAGTTGGCGTTTGGCACAGACACCCCGCGGGCAATAGAACTTGTCCAAGCATGTCGCAAAAGAACTTAATCAATCTCCAGCAAGTGCGCGGGTTAAAATTCATCGTTGCCTCAGAAATCTGCCCGTTGTACACCGACAGATGCGCGTGGAATGGTTGCAGTTGGTGCAATGAATCAAAGCAATATCGCTTCTCCGGATCAACGACGCTAATTTGCAATCTGCGAATAACCACCGGCGATTTTCGAAGTGCGCAACGCCTCATCCAAAATGGATTGCGATTGGAGTGGGCGACGGGACGGCACAACAGAAATTTAGGCAAACACGGCATACCGCTATGCGATGGCTGTCGCCTGGCCTGCTCCATCGTGCTTTGATACCACGTTCTCGCAGCCAAGAACATGTCGCGGCGGAGCGGGACATGCTGAGGCCAAATCGCCGGACCGAACTTAGTGAATCAGCATCCACCCAGCGAAATGCGTATGCTTGCTAATTCATTGAATTCAATTCATATGGAATTGCATTGATGAATCGCGCACATGGCACATTGGGCTCTCAGTCGCCGCGCGCGAGGTCTCAGTCATCGCCCCATCTCATCGGCTGCAACTCAAGGCCTTCACCTTCATCGTGCCACAATCCGACTGCTCCAGCTACCACCCCCCTACCGCGCCCTCCTAAGTCACAGCGCTGTGGTAACGCGCTAGCGTGGCCCCGACTTTCCATTCGCCATTCACTACCGCCGTCTGCGCTTCGATCAAAGGCCGCGGCAGCCATAGCTCCGGCACGGGACGTCGCCTACCATCTCTGCCTTTGCACCTCCATCCTCGTGTTGATCGTTGCCTGCGTCATGGCGCAGACTCCGGTGACGTCACCCGAGGGATGCTGCCCTGCAGGTCACCTGGGTCGCCCCTCCTTGCTGTTCAGCGGGATTGGAGTCCGTGGGATCTCCACATAGATAAAGCTAGCCAGGCAGAGTCGGCAATGGGAGTCCATTCCCAGAGCTGAGTCTGCCGGGCTAAACGCATCGCCCATCAAGACTTGCTTGCATCCATGCACAATTTTCTTGCACAATTTTTTTTGCACAATTTTTTGCATAGATTTGGTGGAATACTTGGGATTTTATGACATTTTGCCGATTCCATAAATCTCCACTAGTTTATTGACGCTTGCAACAGAGGCTATGCCATTTGCAATGCACTGTTCACCCAGAAACATTTTGGATGAGTTATCTACAGATCAGCACATCACGTGCTGCCTATTTGCAGTTTTTCAGCGTGCATTTTTCGCCGGCTAGTGGCGCTTACCGGCTGTCCACGCCAAATTCCTGACCCGCCTGTGCTGTTGCCCCGCCAAGGAGTTGCCATCTGGTGGGCACGTGGCGCTCTCTGTGTGAAGTAGCAACCCGACCTACGGCAAACTGCACACTAAGACATTTGAAAGTGCCTGGAACTGCACCGATAATCCATGGGTTTCACCACGGGTATTTGAAGCCTTTTGCAAACCAGCGATCATCTGCCATGCACTTGGCATGCGAGGCAAGTGCGCACTTGACACTGCATGTCGATAATGGCCTTGAGGCAAGGCCCACCCCCCCCTCACCGCGCCCACCACTCCACCGGCATCGCCAGCTTGGTGAAAGGGCTTGCATTGTCATGCTGTGACAAGGCTCGTCGTGCTCAGCATGCACCCAATGGAACTGGGCCATCGTTCCAGCTCAAAAGGTCCTCAAATGCTTCAAGCATTTATCCAGGAGAAGGTGGCACAATCAAGCACCATAAAGCACCCAAACTTGCACCACCTGTTCCTGCAGTTCTCAGTGACCACCCCCTCTGCGCCGATCACCAGTCTGCGACCGGCCAGAGACCGGCCAGCAACACCGCCGGCGGCCTGGAGCACATTCCGGCCTGCGACAACGGACACGATGCGTTGACGCGAAAAGCTCCCCACCCTGTACCCACCTGTCCCCAACCTGTACCGTCCCGTCCCGCGGGCCACCAAACGATCTCGCGGGACACCAGAAGGAAAAAAATGGGCCCCAAGGCCCGCGATTCTGTATTAGTACATAAATTTTCGCAATATTACGACAATTTCACCACCGACCCGTCCGCTGGCAACTTGGTGGGGTGCGCACCTGACTGAAGACAGGCATGAGATTCGATGCCCCAAAAGATGCCTGGCCGGCCACTGCCAGTACATTGCCCCCCACCGCACCGTTCTCCACGGTACGCGCCAGGCCGGCGCCGTGCCAGTACTTGTGCCAGAAAGTGCAGCCCCCTCCTAAACACGCGCCGCGCTGTGCCCGCCGGCCAAACCCTCAGCGCGTCCGCCCCCGTAGTGTCCGGAGGCCCCCGCGCGGCGCTCAGCAGCCTCTGAGCTTCCCTGCGCGCCGGCCGGGCCGCGCATTTCGGCTCCAGGCCCGCCGCGGGCCTCCGCGCCTCGCCGGCGCGCCCCCCTCCCGGGCGCCATCCCGCCCGGCCTCCGGCCCGAGCCCCCGATCGCCCCGCGACTGGGGGCGGATCGCGAAGATGTCCTTCGGCCATGGCAAGGAGAGGTTCAAGACGAGGTTGGAGAGCACGCCCGGTAGGGAGGGGGGGATTGGGCTCGAATGGGCGTCGGCGAATTAAAGGTGAAGGTTGGTGGGGGATGACCGGGGGGTGCTTGTCGGTTGCAGGGCCTGGTGCGTACGACCCCAAGGCGGACGTGGGCTTCAAGGCGGACCCCAAGTCGGGGTTCCTGGGCAGGGGCAGGTTCTTGGACGCGATCGAAGAAGGTGAGGCCGCGACTTCCGCGCCCTCCGCCCGTGTTCGCGGTCACCCTTCGGGGGGCTTGCATCTCCATCCGCGGAACTCTTTGCCACGGCGCTGGGGCGCCGGCGCGGGCCGCGGCTGAGGATGATGCATCGATGGGCGCGGAGGGCTGACGCCTTTTCGGGGCCGCGGCAGGATGGAGCGCCGCGCTCACTCCCTCTTCGCACCTGGGGCGGGGCGATCTGGGATGCCCGAACTGGCTTTGGGAAGGGCGACTGGGGTCGCCCACGCGGCGGCCGAAGGCCGGAGTCTGCTCGGGCGCCGGCGGCTGGCGTCTGGGAAGGGGGCCGGAGCGATCTGTCCCCATGTCGGCTGGTGACTTGGGGACGGATGGACCCGCAGCTGATCTTCGAATTCTTGGTCATAATTCTTTGCCCCGCGCCGGCGGACGCCGATCGAGGCGGAGCTCCGGGCGCCTCGCGGGCTGCGCTGCGCAGCTTTGGTGCTTTGGCGCTTTTGGCGTCGATTCGGGCGGCGGGCCGGCGGTCTTGGATTCGGAAATTTTCGGGATTGGCAGATTGAATGGTGTGTCGTGCACAGGGGAAGGGAGGGACATGTCTCCGCCCAGGGCCAGGAACCTGGTAAAGTCGTCGGACACCAGAACCTTCAGCTGGGCTACGCAGAGGATCCACGACCTGGAAAAGGAGCTGCAGGCTGCCAAGGCGCGCATTGCGGTAAGCGCCGCGCCCCAGCTCGCCCGGAAGGCGCCCGGCGGGATTTCACCCGGACGTGCCGCGTGGGGCACAACTTCCCTTCACCTTTTGAGTGGTGATCGTTAGTCAGAGGGGGCCGTGAATGGCGCCATGACGGACGGGTGGCGTTTGTGACCGACTTTGTGGTCTCTAGGAGTTGGAGCGTGCCCTGCAGGGGACGAAGGAGCTTGAGGTGAGCGGATGGCCAGGAAACTCCTGGCTTGATTGGCGCCTGGTTGATGGCTTCCAATGGCATGGGCTGGCTTTTTAGCCATTGCTGTTGGAAGGCCCCCAAGCAACATACGCCGGAAAAGGAATGCGGGCGTAGGAGCATGGATGCAAGCTTAGTTCCTTAGTTCTTGCCTTCACAACACAAAACAGTGCCCTAGCAGCTTGATGCAAAGCATGCGAGCCTGAAAGAAACCAAGATGCCTCATTGCGCATCAGACAATGGCCCACACCAGTTAGCTACCAACGAGCGCATGCAGATCATATTGTTGATCACACTGGTATCTGAAATTGCCATCTTTTCATGCGTTGGCCACAAAATTAGCTATGCCTATCTTTAGTCTCCATTCACCCATCCTACGATACCCGGACAACTGGAACTCATAATCACGGCAACACCAATTCTAATGACCATGTCAGGAACTCATGTCATCAAGTCGACAGGCAGGCTGTGATCTTGCCAGATTTAAGAAGCCAATCCACAGGTGAATCCACAGGTGCATCGTCCAGGCTGCTCGGAAATGGTTTGTCATTGGCACCATGTCCTGCATTGGCGACTGATCTTTGCTCAAGTTGGCAATGGGTGCTGGTGTAAATATTGCCCAGGCCCAAGTTTCTGCACTCCAGAGCCAGTTGGACGTGACGACCTCAGAGCGTGACCAGCTTGCAAGTACCGTCAAGACTCTTGAGGACAGAGTGTCAGGGCTTGAGGCCGATCTGGGAAGGACAGAGGCTGAGAGGGCCTCCTTGGAGAAGCAGAAGGGCTCGGCCGAGGCAGCCCTTGCCTCTGCCCTTGCCAAGGTGGCTTCTCTGGAATCTTCTGTGGAGGACACCAGAGCCGAGCGAGATGATGCTGTGAGCCAGCTAGGCTCTCTGCAGAAGAAGTTTTCGGTGCTGACCAGTGACATGGAGAAAGAGGCGGAACTCAGGGCGCAGCTGGAACTGAGGCTCCAGGCTGCTGAGACTGAGAACAAGCAGCTGGTGGTAACTGTTGGCCAACTGGAGGGCAGGTCCTCAGCTGCGGAGACAGAGCTGGTGGCTGCGAAAGAGCGCATCGCGGATGCTGTGGAGCAGAACGGAAAACTGCAAAGTCAGCTGTCTGGAGCCGAGCAGACCAATCGTGAACTGCTTGAGAAGCTGAACACGGCACTGAAGGAGGTTGAGAAGAACACGGGGGAGATCGCCGAGTTGGAAAAGAAGCAACAATGCACGGAAGATGGGTTGGCAAAGATGACAGAAGCGGCTGTGGGCCTTGAGCAGAAACTCAAGGTGCTCGATGAAGAGCGGATGCAGGCCATGTCAAAGGCGGATACCTTGGCGGAGGAGGCGAGACACAGGGAGGAGGCCAATGCCACATTGGCCGCAGAGCTGAGGGAGGCCCAGGCTGGGTGCAGCACACTGGAGGTTAACGTCTCTAAGTTGCAGCTCCAGAGAGAAGCAAAAGAAAAGGAGCTTGGCAGTCTGACTGAGGAGAACAGAGCGCAGACTTTGCAGATCACAGAGCTGCAGGCAGAATTGAAGTCTGCCCAAGACGTGATGGCGAGCTTGAGAATTGAGGTGGCTGTTTTGGAGAAGGATCTGAAAGATGCTCAGGATACCAACAGTGCACTGGATGCAGACTCGAGGCAGAAAGCAGACAGCATCGCCCAGCTGCAAAGGAGGCTGTCAGTGGCCCAGGAGAGCGCTGACGAGAAAGGACGGCAGCTGTCTTGTAGTGTAGAGGAGAACCAACTTTTGAAGCAGCAGCTGAAATCTATGACGGACGAAAGCAGGCACAGAGGGACAGAAAATGCAAGGCTCGAAGAAGAGCTGAAGGCAGCCAGGCAAGATGCAGAGACCCAGCTGGGCAGGCTCTCAGCTCTTGAGGAGAGCTACCAGACAGCTCTCACCGAGTTGCACAACGCCAATGATGAAGTCGAACACAAGGACGGGGAAATTTCAAACCTGAAGGAGGAGCTGGCTGCAGCAGAGGAGGTGGCGTGTGGGAAAAGCGAAAGGGTCGAGGTGCTGCAGGAAGAGTTGCGTGGCATGAATGCTGCCCTCCAAGAGAAGATTACGCTGGTGATTGGTCTGGAGAGCAGGATATTGGCTGCAGAGGAGTCGTCCACCTCGACCCAGAGGGCCCTGGATGACCTGCAGCAGCAGATGAGCAGGTACGAACAGCAGATCGAGAGCCAGCGGGAGGAGCACATGCAGGCGGAGCTGCGATTGAAACAGCAGGTGTGCTATCATCGTTGTTGTTTACTTGTAATTTGTTCCAATGCAACCATTGTAACGAGGAAAGGAAACGTATTATGCAATCGGCACTCCCTCCCAAGAAAGGCAAACTGTGGGGGCAGTGCTCATTTCAACATTGTTCTCCGGGAATTCAGCCCTGCATTCACTCAACTGCATGGACCAGGGCACAGCCACAGTCCTGCGCGAATGGTATTGTGCCCTTCACTGCCCTGCATTTGCAAATTGAGTGGCTTGTCATATTTTAGAGATTGGTTCAACCAGAGTGAAGCAATGACCAGTTTGCAAATTGTTGTCGATTTGGTCATCTGGGGTCCCAGGGTGCTCCCCATTGAGTGCATGCCTCGTGCGCTGCAGTTGCCAATTGTCTTGCCAACAAGAGGAGGCACGAATTGGTGGACCAGATGGACATTGGCACTATCTCTGCTTGAAAAGCTGATGAGCCAGGCGTGAAGCTTGTGCCTTGGCTTTGGTGATCTAACTCAAGACATGAACTTCGGTTTGAACAGTACAATTGCCGTGCCTCCCCTCCTTTTCCCTTTTTAATGATGCATTGCTGTTTCACATCGCATTGCGGAATGATGTGGAAGTTGCTGTGAGCAAAGAATATGGCAGGTAATAATGAGCGATGTGAAGAGTACAATGTGTCACCATTGCACAAAGAGGATAGCGCAGCAGCAGAATAAGTTGCCAAATTCTCAGTGTTGACAGCACTGGCTGGCCATCGTGGGAATCGAAGATAGTGACTTTGGCAGACAGTAAACATGCCATACAATGGAGATCCGCCTCTTGTCTCAGAGTTCATCAGGCAACAGCCTTCTCCACACTGCCAGAGAAACATGCAGAATTCTTTGACCCTGTCGGTGGGGCTTGCCATGACTCCTTGCTGTGCGCAACTTCCCAGTATGAGGATGAACTCAGCCAGTGGCGAGAGGAAGCGCAGATCCTGCTGAGGATCAGGGAGGAACTGTCGCTAAGCATAGCAAAGGCCGAAAAGGCTGAGAACCAGGCAGCCGCACTTGCAGCACAGCTGCAGATTGCTGAGGGCCAGATAGAGCAGCTGGAGGCTGCTGCACAGGCCTCGTTGCAGACTTTGACACAGCTGAGGGAAGAGCTGTCGGTGAGCACAGCAAAAGCTGACAGGGAGGAAGCACGGGCAGCTGGGCTTGCACAGGAGCTGGAGACTGCTCGGGGCCACCTGCAGCAGCTGGAGGCTGCCACTGAGCTTGCCGCAAAGCAAGAGGAAGAGGTAATGGAAATGCCTGTCATTGGGGAGTGTAGTGGAGTGCTTATGTGAGCTTAGTCTCTTGCAGGTGTGCTGCCAGAGCCTAACAAATGGATGGGCACACAGGTCATACCTGCTTTGCCGCTGGTTCTCGTTTAAGCACAGAAGGAATATGTCAAGCCGTGGGGACCATCCTCCTGTGGATTGAAAAGTTGCAACTATATTCTGTGCACAGGCAGGGTTGATGCAGGAGCGTCTGGTTTCATAGGAATAGCATGAAATAGAGAATAGACTGAATAGCACAAGAACAGAAGGGTCCCAGTATTAAGGGATGAAATGGTGGGTGTGTGGGTGGGTGGGTGGGTGAGTGTGTGTGTAATTCCATTAAGTACATGCACGTTAACAACAGTGCCAAAGCCTGTTCACCCAAGGGTATGTAGGCACTGAGTACCACAGCACGACAACAAGGTCAATGTTCAGGAGTGTGTCCATCCTAAGAAGAAACACCGAAAGGAAAAGAAAGCAGGAAAAAAGAAAGACAAGAAAAAAATGGAAAGGAAGCAACCCACACTAGAAGCCAGAGAAAGGAAGAACAAGTCCAGATCCAGCCGCAAGCACACACTAAGAAGTTGGCCGAGGCCCCCAAGGGTGAGTGTGTGTGTGTGTGTGGGTGGGGGTGAGGGGGGTGGGGAGGGGGACAGCGAACTCATGCAACTGTCGGATTGCCATGGGACACAGCAGAGAAGCAGCCTGTGAGGTTTGTCTCGTCATGACTTGTGGCTTCCCCAGATCGAGGGGTTGGAGAAAGAACTTCAGGAAGCGCAAAAGAAGATTGGAGCGGCACATGATGATGCCTCCAAATTCAAAGTCGAACTGCATGACTCGGAAACGATGAGATTAGAGATGCAGCGGCTGATTGATGACAACTATGTCCTGGAGCACAGAACGGAGCAGCTTGAAGTGGACATACAGTGAGCAGCATTCGAAACAGTGCCCGGTTTGAGTCATTCTTTTTTCTTTGTTGTTGTGTCCAGTTGGTCTCACTTTATCGGACTGGATTTTAATGGTATGCCTAGCTTGCTTATGAGTCTACAATATCACAGCATTCTATTGTACAGCTTGCGATGATATTGATACATGTGTGTGCCTTGCCCATGGAGGCTGCACCTGTGAACTGCCCATTTAGGGCCAAGAGCAGGGCTCTTAAGGTCCAGACATCTTGCAAAGGACCAGCTGTTGGATGGCCTGGCGAGCAATAAGTTCTCTTTAGTGACTGTGGGTGAATTGGTGACAAATCACTGCCCTTGTTGCTTTAGAGCAATGGGTGGTGCTGTTTCCATCTGTGGGCCTTGGTTCACCGTTGGCGCATTTGTTCTCATTCGCCACTGATTCACCGGAAGTCTGTGAATGTGGCTGTGTTGGAGGGCCCTGTCAGCACTGATTACTTGAATAGCAAACCTGCTATTGGGAAATGATATTGTCAACTGGTAAAGTGAGCTACATTCTCATGCCAATAGAATGCAACATCGCTCGTTTGGTGAATGGCGGTGATTCGTCATATTGCAGTCATATTCTCAACAAGGACCGCACTCCTGAAATGGACAGGGCTCTACCTTGTTAAGCACCCAGTCCACTGTGCCATCTCTATATTACAGTTGTTTCCGTAGACTTGATACACTTTGTGGATCTGGGATCATTATTACATTCAGTGTGCATGCAAATATTCAGGCAACTGCGCTGCCATGCTTAGAGTCAGTAGAGGAGCTTGTTCTAGTCTGTGGTACCCAAGTCTTGTGCAAGCAGACGAAGGAGGCTATGGTGGAATGCAAAGGGGCCAACTTCGCCACGTCTGTGAGAGGCGTATACGTTGTCAAGATTTTGCAACTTAGGGATTGATTCACAAGAGAATAGAAAATTGCTGACGGTGTCTCCCAGTTGGCGCCATATCCCGCTTCCCTGGGGTGCATTCTGTTTTGTTTGTGTGGTGCCCACATGCACTGATTCGCATTCTATGACTTCCGTATAGGCGCTTGATGGGCACCAGCTCCAATGCGCTCGGCCACAACAACCCTAAACAGCGCATCCAATACCACCTGAGGTTGAAGCAGGAACTGGAGGAAATGAGAAAGGAAGTTTGTGTGCGCCTCAGAGAGAAGTTCCTTCTGGAACAGTGCATCAGGTGGGGCCCACCTATGGAGATTCCTTTTCATGACAGAAAGCAGAAGGGCTCTGTGTTGCAGCCCCTGTTTGTCCATACGTGTTATCAGCCCTGTTTTTTTTCTTGGGGGGGGGGGGGACTTGACGACTAGTTGTTTTGGTGTTGATTGCCTGATTTGTGCCCCTGCTTCTGTGCAGCACGAATTTGGGCGTTCACAACCTGTTCTGCCATTGCAACCATTGTTACAGCCTCTTTCCTTGCTCTCACTGTCTGTAAAGCGTACCTTATGAAGGCCATTGGAAGGTATCCACATCACAGGACGCGCTGTGTCACCAGTGTGTGCTTTGCCAAACTTTGCGGTATGGCCGTGGGTACGTCGAATGTGGATGCAAAGTGGAAAAAGAAGTTGAATGTAAGTGAATGATAGCAAGGCACGTGTTGAATGTATTCAATGCAATGGATGGGAGTGAATGCAACCACCATGCCATTTAGCAGCCACAACAGTGTGTATCAAAATGTCCTGCTGCAGATCATGGTAGGAGCTTGTTTTAGTTTGTAATACCTGCGTCGTTCCCAAAGTCACAAGGCAGAAGAGGAGTGCAAAAGCGAATAGTGAATATTGTGCATCTGCAGCAAAGGACAGGGGTTTGTGCCATTCTTGAAGCTGTGATTCAGGATACTGATGAATGTGCATTGTTTCATGGTTCGCATTGGTGCCCAGACAGTGGTTTGCTTATCATTCACCTTGTTGCAAGGTGAACACAATGCAACACTATTGGGAACATTATTATGATCACCGAGCTATTTTGAAAGATGAATTGCCATCGCTTTGTGTGCCAAGGCTATCCAGGGGGATCTGTTTCTCTAAACTGGCAGTTCTTTCGAGTGCATTGTGGGACCATGGCAACAATAATATCGCGAATACATCCCGATTCTGTGAACACCTCCTGGCATCGCTGGATGGATGCAAGGGCACTGCTCTGTCAGTTCCATGACACATGTGACAGCCACAATGTTAGTGGAGTTATGAGCAATGCATGAGGCAGCCATCTGTTGCATGTGAACCGTCCGACTAACCTCCAAAGAAGCTGACTGTGCACATTGTGCACGGCAACCACATCTGCCAGCAAAGCTCCACACTGCGGCTGTGCTCCATCAGAACAAAGGCCGTCACCTCTTTGGACTCGTTGCACACATTATCGGGCAAATGTAAGCGTCATATCCACAAATGACATCGAAATATCCATCATAGGCTGTGAATTTGGCAAGGGCAGCACATCACCGCCAGACACTCATTGCTGATTATCGACGCGTTGGCATCGCTCATATCAACTATTGAGGTGGTGTTTGCTCCTGTCCAGGTACCTTGCTGCGCGCACAGAGCCTGATGAAGCCACCTCCAAATCTGCAACCGATCTGCACGTGCGGAGGACTGCAACTGCGATCCTGCCTGAGTCTCTGGCTGAGAGCGTTCTTTTCGCCACGCCGTCACAGCGCAAGGCCATGCTGTGGGCAGGGAAGGGGAAGAATGTCTCGAAGGCATTATCGCCATACAAGCCTAAGGTAGTGCACTTCTCTTCTGCACGCAATGCTTCACCAATTAGCTGGCAGGCGTGCCACATGCCGCAGGCCTATTTGTGTACAGTCTTGTGTACCGCATGGCAATAATAATGTTGAAATGTCCTTGCATATTCCATTGGTGTGCGTACCTCCTGGCTTCAAGCCATGCTCTATGGTATTCTGCACGCAAGGCCCAATGATCAGCAAGGCTCTGGGGCATCTGTGAGTGGGTGGCATGCGCACGTAAACCTTGGCAATGTGTCTGACGATGTGCGTGCTGCACAGGAAGCCATGATGGACGAAATCAAGAAAACGCAGGAGAACATCGTTGAGGAGGTTGACCGCCTCGCGAAGTCGCCCACCCAGTCGATCCTGGCCTCGCCTTTGAATTCAGCCCGTTCCAGTCGTGCTGAAAGCGTGGGGGCGATCAACAGCATCGAGACCCGCATCCTGGGAAAGATCGCGGCGGTCTGCGAACCGCCAGCCTCAGCCAAGCACCGCAGGGCACAAAGCACGATCTGATCGATTGACTGCTGCGCACAGGCCACTGGAATGTGCAACGTGCTGGCTGCCTTGCACCTGTTGGAGTTGGCGCGTTGTGCCAGCAGGATGCGAGAATGGATGGCACGTGGGCTGCCTTCTGCCTGCTGCCATTGTTGTCCACGACCACAGGGGATTGCGAATATTGGAAGGCGTTGGTTTGACATATTGTTGCGCCCCACACGTTATTGTTTGTGTCTCGTGCCAGACCGCTTCTGGTGCCCCATTTGGGACCGAACAATGCACGCAGACGTTGAAACGGAGGTGGTAGCCAATTCAACCGCCGTTGCTCTGCAGGGAGAATTTCCAGGAATTGGTGTTTTGAGACTCTCTGTGAGACGTGCCTGCAGCTGTGCTTGGCCTACAGGACACAGGCTTCGAACAAAGCTGGACCGCACCCTTTGAAGATGGGATCGCGCTTGCATAAGGTGCTTAAACAGGACGATAACGTACCGCTGTGTCTCAGCTGAGACGTGACCTGCCAGGACGCACGGCACCCCAGGGGTATGAATACTTGCGCAGAGAGGTCGGTTCTGACGTTGTACCGATATGTGGCACAAGGAACACGATTGTACACACCACATGAACCTTTCGCGGCGCATGGGTTGCGAAATCATATTGTAATTGATTGACATTCTCCGCGCCTTCCTGAGGGCGAACCTCAGCCTTTGTGCTCAGAGCTGTGTACTGTGTGTTGTGCCTCTTTCAGCGCCAACGCCCAGCAGTGCTTCACTTGCAGCAACCTGTCACTTTCAATGTTTCGGAAGCGTTGCCCGAGGCGAATCCAGCTAGCATACAATGACGTGCATCCCTATGTGCGCTTACTGGAAAACAACTGCAGTCCCCTCTCAAAGACGGCAACGTCGACGCCGGTGCTTGTGTCCACGAGCACTGAGCAAACTCCAAGCTGGGACACCTGCTCCAAACGGGACAGTCAGGCTACTTTACACCAGTGACATTGTGGATGAACATGATGCCAATCATCCCCTTGCTGGTGGAAGAGCAGGGGCTTGCCTGACATAGCACATGCGACCAAAGGAGGTGCTCAAAAGGTTACCAACAGGTCGGAAGATGCATCCAGAACACTGTTCAGACATTTGTGGCACTCTCATTCTTTTCAGGCGGGGTTATCACGCCAGCACTGCATTAAAGCACTGTATTGAATTACACAGGGGCTCTCACGGCCCCTGCCATAGACCCTACCACAGAAGTTTCGGTTTTAAACCTCTCTTTGGCATAGCATGTTGTTTTTGGTGCGCTTGGCATCGTTCCTTACTTTACAATATTTGACAAGCACTTCCTCTGTCCTGAACGCAACAGTTCGTTTGGGAGCCCGTCTTTGTATAACGAACTTACTATTTTTTCTTGAAAGCTTGACCATACCACTGCCTATGAGTATGTTACATGCTCTCAAATCTTCGTGCAAAATGGACACGTGCAGGTCATATCACAGTACTTTGTGACCCCACATGACTTTTCCAAACCCTCCAATTTTCTCACGCTCGCACGGACCACCACCACCACCACCCCTCTTAAAAGCCGCCCCTTGACCAGGTCCCTCTGCGACAGTTAGTGTGCAGCGCAGAGTGGATATCTACGGCTGCCGTTGTGGCAGCAGTTCAGAGGTGTTCCTCTCGAAGTACAGAGGCTGCGGAACTGGGCTCCGTTCTGCTCGATCGTTGGGAGCGACCAAAGTTTTGACAGCCGTTTGAGCGTATTTCAGTTTTGGAATGGAAACCCCGAATTCAGCACACTTCATAATAAGGGCGTTTTCAGAAGGGGCCGTCACTTTGGGCAGCGTGGCTGCAAGTGTTCAGGCCACCACAATAAGTTTGGAGAATATGATTGTCACATCGCTTCACTACAACAAAAAGATCGCTAGACATGGCTGCGCTGGACAATGGCCACGAGGAGCAACTCGAGTGCTGTCTGCGCCAGAACGCAAGAGCACCATCATACACCACTTGGGATCTCCGATGGAGCATCCACACCCTCCATCGGTTGTGATGGGGGTGGGGGTGGGGGGGGTGAGGTTGTTTTGTGAGAAGGTCTTCCATGCACCAACCAGGCCATTCATTGAAGATCCGCAACGAACGAAAAGTTGCTGGTGCACGCAACTGTTCCGTGGCCAGTATGCAGACACCAAAAGGCTTGTGGGCAACAGCAGACCCCAGATATGTCCTTGTGTCGCCATGGACGATGGCGGGGATTTCTGGAAATCGACGATGGCGAGATGCACAGCCATGTGCCATCTTGGTTGGTTGTTCACCATGATAGGTGACGATCATTGTGCTAGAGACTGAGCAAGGTTGGCCGCTCTATGCTTTCAGTGTTCTGAAGTTCAAGAAAGGGGGCCGCACCCATGTGTTGAGCCACTCTGGACCCAAGAACCTATTTTTGGACAGGCAGGGGATGTTTTGGGGGGTTCCAAGTTGTGGTCTGCAGTAGCGTAGGTTTAACTTTTGGCAAACGCAGTGTGCCTGACCTTTCCCTCTGATTTTTTTAGGGACAATTGATATATGTATTGCAGATGTTGCTGTTGCATTTTCAATGAAAGCAAACAAGCACTTGATGCAAACGCAGTTTTCCAACAAATTGTTTCATTCAATTCGGGACATAGGAAGCAACAATTTCTTGATTTTTGTCAATTCGCTTTGGTTTGTAAGCATTTGCAAATCTTGTGTCGAAATGGATAGTTCGTCCTGTTGCCACTTCACTTAATGGATGAGACATGAGTGACACATAGAGAGTTCCTGAGTAGCAAATACACTCATAATTAATGAATGTGACAAGAGTATGTCATAAGGCTTGCGAAAATGGTAACTACTGGCTGGCAACAGAATGAGTCAAAAGGGACAGTCGTTTTGCTTGGACAATGCTCCTATTTATGGCAGAATTCTAGGTGGTACATGCAGTTTCAAGTGGGTTCCAATGATGGGGCAACATTGGGAAGTAATGCTTAGATGATAGTGGTGCTTAAGTGAATTACGGATGTGAATGATTAATGGAAGAATATGCTCTTGATTTGTTAGGATGTGAATGGATAGTTTTGTTATTTGTGAAGAGTTGCCTTTGAGCCCGCCAACACTTACCTTAAAGGGGCACTCCCCTGAATTCCAATGCTTTCACACAACATTGATGGGAAGCATCTAAGGGCTCAAAGGCAACTCTTAGAAACACAACTGTCTACTCACATTTCATCAGATTAAGAGCAGATTCTTTCATCAATCATGCACACTCATAATTTATCTAAATACCATTATCAGCTAGGCATTTCTATCCAATGGCACCACATCATTGGGGCCCAATTGAAACTGCATACCACCCAAACAAAACGATTATCCCTTCTGGCCCATTCTGTTGCCAGCTAGTAATTGCCTTTTTCACAAGCATTTCGGTGTACTCTTATCACATTTATTAATTATAAATGCATTCTTTACTCAAGAACTCTCTGCGTATCAATCATGTGTCGCCCACCAGTGAAGTGGCAGGATGATGAAGAACTGTATATGTAAAAATATTCGCGCAGAAAATTTCATGCATTTTGCAGGAGAATACACGGGGGAAAACGTTCACACATTTGCAAACTGTTTTCCGCCCCAAACGTTCTTCCCCAGCGAAAATTTCCTTTGTGCAGACATTTCCATTGTGTGAACTTTACAAAATAAGTCCAAACCGGTTTCTGCCTTGCTTTTTGAGCGTGCTAGCAACAAAAGGAAGGAAGCAAAGGAAAGCGTTTACTTTAGGGCGACACCTGTTGTAACCAAGGTCACTTTTGGGCGCCCGAGGTGGGCAGACATGCCTATCGCGTTGCGGCCGATCGACCGGCTCCATCGAGAGCGTATCTCCTTTCCTACGCCCCACCAATGCTGCGACAAGATGACAGCAGACTGTATCAAACGGGCAAAACCTAGAGCGCAAGCCCTCAAGGCAAAGCCACAATCACAGTGCTGTTGCTCAACAAACCCGCAGGTTGCTATTCGCCAAAAGGTGGTCTCCAGGCGCCAAAGTCGCGTCAAAGAGAAGCCGCCAAGGGTGGTCCCGTGCCGCAGCCCGCTCTGCGACACAGTGCCCAGCTCCCTTTGTGGAAATCATCACGCCATGCAGAAATGGATAACTTTCACCTGTCCAGCGGCTTTGCAAGCTGCATAGATAGGTAGGCATGGAAGGCCAGCGACAGGCACACAAACATTCGAGCGGAAGAAATGATGGACGCTGACAGCCGCGCCAAGGGCAAGGATTGAAGTCGCAATGCTGCACGGGATGGCTCATGCGCCCAGTCCGACTGCGTGTGTCTCTGACCACAGTGCGTCAGTGGCCTCCAAATTCGCCCAACAACCACCACCGCCATGTGGCTCTGTCAAGATTCAACCAACCGATGGCCGTTGCTGTGAACGATCTGCTAGCCAGCTCAGGGCTCCTTCATGGCGCCCGTTGTCTAGCAAAGAGCGCCACACGTTGCAGTCGTCGCTATGCAAAGCCAACAGGCCCAGCCGCGCCCAACGCCCGACCCGCCTTGGAGGGGGGCCAAAAAGTTTGCAGCCTAAAAAATCCGCAGGGCCAAAACGTTCGCGTTGCAAACATTCGCGCAGCGGCTCGAGCTCGAAACGTGCAAACATTTCTCTGGCGTGAACGTTTTACGTACACAATTTGTGAAAATATTAACTACGTACACGCACGTGCATTTTGTCAACAAGCGCTGTACTGCCTAGGTTACACAACTGAACAAATAACACAGATACTTGAAATTTTATTATATTAACTTTTCCGAAATTTTCCATAAAACAAATTGCAACCCGATGCATTTTGTACAGGTCTGTACCGGTGCACTTGCACGTGCATCGACATGAGACTATCAGCAATGGCAACACCAACCACTTTGGAGCTTTTTTGTCCTTCACAGTATTGAGCAAAATCTCACAATCTTGTTTTTGCTCAGGAGGGGGTGCCCATTTCATCACATTTTTCTTGCTGCAATGACTGCTTCTTTGGATGACACTCCAAAGTGTGAGCTTATTGGAGACTGGTACGCCTAGAACGCTGGCGTAATGCCATGTAGCACTGGCCCTCAATGCAATCTGATGAACAACAACGATACACCCATGGAGGTGTGCTGGTCTTCTTACCAGCCACAACGCCGTGTGCATGGGCACAATGGGCATTCCTCGTCGCATGGTCAATGGTCAAGTTCCACAGCAACCGTTCAACCTTGGGGCGGATGTTGTCGATTCACATTTTGACGTGTGCCAAACCGGGGCTGTAAGCTTGGAACTGACCAGAACGCCCAGCCACCCTGTACACGGGAAATTTTATATAGTGGTTGTGCCCTTAATAGAAAAGGATGGACAGACATATGGACGAGTAGACAGATGGACGCCTGCTGGCTGGATGCCGCCACTACCATCAAACGTTCAGCCTTTCCGCATAGTAATGCAACGCTTGGCCTTTTTTCCCTTTTTTTTTTGCGGAGCAACATAAAAACTATAAAATAACGTTCTGACGAAAATGCGGGGCAGAAAGCGCAATGGTTATAATTTCTTATGCAGAAGGGTTGAATATTTTGTGGTATGCAGAAAGGTCAGAAAATTCACCCCGCACCTTGGCAACGTTCTTGTGTTCATCGTCAAAGAAAAGCATGTCGCTGTACGGCAAACCCGAGTCACGCTTCAAGTTCGGAAAATGGGCGGTGTCCTTCTGGGCAGACCGTTGGTCGAAGCCATCCGCTGCGGGGATGAGCTGAAGAAAGTCGATCTTTTCTGTGAGGCCTGCTGCATGGCGATTAATGTCACTCAGAGAAAGCTGTTGAATTCCGCTTTGAATGCACTTGTCGTGCGGAATTCCCAAAGAAGACCGAAGGCACCATCGCGCACACCGACGTTCATTCCTGAAGTGCGCCTGTAGCAACACTTGTTGCGGGCAGGTGAGCATTTGTTGGTCAGATTTCGCGAAGTACGAACGCCAGAGAGCGTGGTGTCTGTATACCACGCCATGTTGCTGAAAGCTGTAGCGCTCCAAATAATGGGTCACATACTCAAAACCCATCTCCGCAATGGGCCATTTAGAAGACTGAGGAATGTATGTTACAACTGTGCATGGGTTTATTGGCTGTACCACACATGTTAAACAGCCAAAAACCCAAGCAAAATTACTACCAGTTTGGACGCCATCGTGCTGTTACCATTCATGCATTTTCCCACTTCTTGCGTGTCAGAATCTCTTTTCAACTCTGCTCTGTACAAATTGTGTGACACAGAAAGTGATTTACGCGAAGTCTCAAGGTTTGCAGGCCAGTGGGAGTCGGATTAGTGTGTAGCACATTGCCATAGGTGGATCGAGCGACAGTGCGTTGATAACTCGACAAGGCCATGTCAAACCACACAGCAGTCCATGGCATTTCATCAGTCATCTTAGCTCATCTGAGCGAACAGCTGCATGTTGTACTTTTTGATGTAGTCAAAAGAGTCTGTGGTGTCACCTAGGCGATTGAGAAAGGCACGTGCCACATGAGGCGTTGGTGTCCTTGATGCAACGCCAAAGGCCACGCCACTGTCCCTGCATTCATCCAGTTGAGATTTCTATTACATCATGCTTCAACGACACTGTTTGGATGCTGATGTGGTGATCATCACCTGCAAGGTGCAAGAGCTTTGTTTGTGACATCTTTAGGCCACAGCAATCCAATCTAAAAGGCAACAGTGGCATGTGTGGCTTTGAGATTGCACAGGGGCCAAACACGCAAGAGCTACATATTGCTGTGCCTGTCATTGCCTTCCCAGTGGGAAGCACTGCGTTGTATGGACATGACGATCGCCATCAAAGGAACTGACACAATCGAAGACACGAGTCATTACATCCGTGGTCGCCATGAAAGACAATGGACTGCACATGCATCTTGGCAGTGCCCCTGAAAGTCCGAGCAGATTATGTTGAAAGCTGGGACTCAGTGACACCCAAAGTGTCCTAAGTTCCCACTCATTTATGTGCACCGCCGCTTTGAGCATACACAGGGACATAGGCTTTGGAAGCATTTGAGGTGACATGACAAAGGGCTGACCTTGCATTGTAAAGTGATGAGGTAACCCATTCTCTCTGGTGGTGTTTGTTTATGCAGTTCTTGGGAATCCCTGCAGTCCCAATGGTCCAAGACTGCCAGCTGGCGTCAAGAAAAGGGAAGAACATCTCCGATTCTTGGATGGAAACAATGAAGAAAACATACAGTGTGTCTGCATATATTCGGGGAAGGAAAACATGCTGGAATGTGATCTTGATGATGGTCACCTCATTCACCTTTGCGGTAATCCGACACTACCCAACAGTCCGTTTGCTGCAAAATGGGTATAGTAACGACACAGAACAAAATACATTATCTTGGGCAGAGGTCGTATTGGCTTTGAGCAGTGATATGAATTCTGTTTGGTTACAAGGGCAAAGGCAGAGATTCGAGTCATGTAACTGAACATACATGTTGCCAATTTTTTTGCATTGAAGTATTTGGATGCCCGTTTCCTGTGAGTGAGAGTGTTAATGCAACAGATGCAACTGCTTCATCACAAGTATTGCCACTGGCATCAACATGGCATGCAACACATAAGGTGAGTGCACAGCTGCGTGCTTGTATATGCTCTAATTGATCGATCAACGCAGCTAGAGAAGTCTTTTTTCTTCATTGCACTCTGTCAAATGTGCCTGATGTCTTTGATGTCCAGTGTTCTGCATTTGCATATTCTGAATTGATAGCTTGAAACCAAGATGGATTCGGCCATCCTCTTTTCACTATTTTTCATACACTGTGTTGTGTGCCATGCCTGTTTCACAATGAAACTTCCAAATCTCATTCTGCACTGCAGAAAAGTCTGTTGCAACACAAATCCTGATCAGGTTGGAGGGTTGCCCTTTGTACGAATTGCCTTCATTCTCTCGATGGAATCACTGGAAAGCTTTCAATTCCAATGACCTGAGTGACCTGGGGAGTACAGCTTGGCTCTGTCCGGATATTCCATTGCACCTGCGCTATGTACTTTATTCCACATGAGCTATGCAAGGTCTTGTGAATAGATTCGTCCCTTGCTAATCCCATATGGCTGCAGTGTGCTGGTGTGACAGCACCTGTAGCATGGCACAAATCGCATAGAAAGGATACAGGCAGTTCTGGCAGTAGTTCCTGTTTTGACAGCTCTCATCACTCGAGAGCACAGACCAAGCTCAGCTGTGTACAGGCCAGGGATGCTGCCTTACGCCAGCTTGACAAGCCCCATGGTACGACTGGATACGATTTCGCTGTTGATGCAATTTTGCAGTTGATCCAATTTGAGCACACCACTGCACATTTGCTACAAGTTTGCCGCCCAGTGAGCTTGGTGAGACCTACGTACTTGATTGCCTCTATGATGTCACCAGCCTCGGGATACAGCCGCGGTGTGTCCGAGACTGTGTACATCTCGCACCAAAATGGCCACGTGCAGTAGTCCAGATCGAAGACGACCATCCCGGGCGGGGGGGAACACCTCCGCAGCGCCTCCAGCGCCTATCGCGTCAAATTTTCCGTTTCAAGCAATGCCATCCAAGTCCGCAAGCGACCTCGCTGCACCACTCAAGCGGTGGGTCACCAATAGCCATTCCAATCCCTCCTGGAAGTTCGTCTTGCGGGCAAAAAGTGTCGGGATTATGCCTGGGATGATCGTCGATCGACGAATTTCGTCCAGCGCTACCTCAGATCTGGGTAGCCTGCCTCAGGCGTTGCCGCCGATCGTCGCTTATCAACGCACGAGTGGCCCCTGCGTGCCCGCAGCGAACCATGTGCGAAGGGGGAATCCAATCCCCCGTCCGACATCCCCATTTTGCTCTTTTCGCCCCATCAAGGGATATCGGCCGTTGCCGCTGTTCGCCTCTCCTCTCCGTTGCAAAGATCGAAAAACAGACCCCAAGCGGCCGGGCGCATCTCCCAGGAGTTCACAATCTTGAGCGGTCCTCGGGTGCTCCATTCCAGCACGACCCAAGTTGCTCCCCGCCCGCAAACTGCGGCGGAAACGGGGGGCGCCTAATGCCAATGCTGCCTCAACGCTCCTTAAGGAAAAAAAGCCTACTCTGTTGCGCATTGTTGCCCGGCCCCGCCGTCCCAATTGCCCGATTTGCTTATGCGCCCACCTTACGGTAAGCGGCGCCCCGACTCCCATCCCGACCAGTGGAGGCCATTCCCGTTGTCGCGTGCCTCCTGCTGCCAGCGGATGGTCTTGCCAGGCAGCCCCTTTCAAGGATACCCTGCGAGGAGAGCCCCTGCCGCATGCCAAAGCGCCTTCCGAAGACCCTCAATGTTGGAGAGTGTTGCGGATGCAGCACCGTTCTGGGGAACACCAGACCACACCCCACAAAAAAAACGCCCAATCTTCACACCCATCTTTGCGTTTTTAGTTCCAACACTTCCTCCGTCCAAGAATAATTGTCCTCTATGACTATGGGGCACGACTTCTCCATTGTACTCACATCAGCTTTCAATGAAATTTCGCCCAAAGTTGAGTTGTAAGTCTGGAGCATACTATCAAAATTTCAAGTCAACTCACCAAGTATTGAGGATTTGGTAATGCTTTGTACCAGTGGCCTTTTACCCAGTAAACCTCGGTACTTGGGGTCAAAAATGACCAAAATTTACCTTTCCCCTAATGCTCAAAGGGCTCGTGTCTCATTTTCTATTCTTGAAAATGGGTAGTTAAGGGTTTTCCAACCTAATTTTTCTGTTTCTAAAACTTGTTTTCAATTTTGAGGCAGACCTTGTAATGAATTCTGTCTTTTAAATAGAGGACAATTAATCTTGGACAGAGGAAGTATATTACACGAAAATGTAATGTAAGGAGCTTCCCCGCAAACACACCCATCTTCACACCCGTCTCCATGATGGAGACTCCAACTCCGTCACCGTCTCCGTGCTGATGGCCCGTCTCTGAAACACATTGAGGGTGTTGACCCGTGGGGACATATGTACCCAGGCTTGGTTTTGACGTTTACGTTTATGGTTTTCACGCGTAAATATGTAAATTTAAAAAGGCCTATTTTTGCCGCTATTTGTACATTTTACGGCTCCCTCGGACATGTAGATTACGCGACAAAAGTTGCGTACAATGATCAGTCCTGCGCCATTTCCTGCACCCACAACACAACGCTCACCTCGCCCTTGGAAAGGACGATAATGGCGTTTAGCAAAACTCGCTCTTTCTAGGGCGTCTAGCTGCCACTCTCCTTACTCTGTAAGTCTGTATGTACTGTCCTTTATGTACACCGGGCAGTTTTTACGTTGTATTTACATATTTTCACGCATTTTTATGTGCAAAAACGTAAATAAGATCAGTTCGTACTGCGTAAAACTCAAGCCTGTATGTACCAGCGTTTCCGTTTTTTTGGGACGACAAATTGATGCTAAGCTCCCATCCCGCCTCCCCGTTTGTGTGACTTTTTTTTCTGCAAAAAAATCTTACCACCACCCCGGCGACAATCTTACATCGACGTCGGCATGACTCAGCAACGCACCTTGAGAACGTAGCATACGTACCTCTGCTGCGTTTTGAAATTTCAGCGTTGCAGTTTTGCTCTTCGCTTTTCGACATACCGTTGGTTGTCCTTTTGCGGTCCGCGCCGTGTGGAATGGCGACTCCGCCCAGTACACATGGCCTCAAACGCCGGATTCATGCACCAGGTAGATGCCGTGAGCAGTCCAGAGACTCTCGCGTTGCGGCTGAGGCTTTTCTGCCCGCGGAGGACCGATTTTCAAAGGGCTATTGTGCGCAGCGGGGTCATCCAATGAAAATGCGGGTTGTCTCGACACCCAGTTCCTACTGCAGCCATCCAAAGCACTGCATTCCTTTGGGTAGCGTTACGCAACGGGGTCAATAATACAAGAATGTATATGTTCTTTCTCTATTGCTCTGCAGTATTGAAGGCCTTCTAATAATAGAAGGCCATACAGAATGTAGCCATGCGGAAGGGTCAAATATAATACGGCATGCAAGCGCTCTTGATGAAACTCACTCAGCAACGTTTCCCAATAGCAGGAAACAACTTTCCAGCGCGAAAGCACAAGTGTCGATGCAGTAGAGAAGAGGAATCATATTTCAACACAAACAGCCAGCACTGCAACGATAATGGATGTTTGCAGGCTTGGTTTTTACGTTTACGTTTACGTTTTTACTTTTACGTTTTTACGCGTAAAAACGTAAATTTGCAAAATGGCCTATTTTTGCGGCTATTTTTACGTTTTTACGGCTCCCTTGCACACGTAGTTTACACGATGAAAGTTGCATACAATGATCAGTCCTCTGCCATCTCCATCACCCTGAGCATAATGTCCACCTCGCCTGTGGCAAGGGCGATAATGGCGTTTAGCAAAAACTCGTTCTCTGCCTCTTCCAAGGCGTCTGGCTGCCACTCCCCGGACTCTGTAAATCTATATGTACTGTCCTTATGTACACCAGGCAGTTTTCACGTTGTATTTACGTATTCTTACGCATTTTTACGCGCAAAAACGTAAAAATATCAGTTACTACGGCGTAAAAACCAAGCCTAGATGTTTGGAAATGGTGTGCACGAAGCGATGGCGAGTGATGGGTACATCCCTATACGCTCTCATTAAAATGAGAGCACCAGATGCTTTTATTAAATGAGAACAATTTCTCAAATTTTGAGAAATTATTGTGGTCTCCTTGGCAGTTGGGCGCTTGAATTAAGCAAGCGAGCCATTCAGGTGATTTTGGCATGAGCCTAGCACACGCTCAAACCGCCAAACAATGTTTGAGCGTCTTATTATCTTTCGCAAATAATTTGGGAATTGCGCAATACATTAAATTATCAGGTGTAGAACCCGCGCCCCACCCCCTTAGCGTGAGGTTGCCGTTTGCAATACCAAAATACGAAAAATCTCCATGATGATGCGGATACACCAGTTGCCGCAGAGCCTGCACTTGCAGCAAAACAGCTAAAGCACAAGTGCATTGGTGTACTATTGACTTAGTAGGTCGGTCGATGCCTAGAGAGGGTCAATCGATCGAGATGTCGTTCTCCAAAACTATGTAAAATGGAGCTGTTATCGTGAATTCGGAAGCTGGAAGCACATTTTGTCAGTGCTTTTGCATTGTTGCTTGTATGGAACTTTTCAGTACCGGGCTTGACGCCCATAGTGACACAGATAGATTTTGAATAATTGCCTGACCAAATGCGTCCATTTTATTCTGCCCAAAAATAGTGCTGAATAGAATAATATGGGAAACTTCAGGTAGCCAACACTTCAAACTTTGCCCGTATTATTACGTATTCTTTCCTGATATGCTTGCCTGTGGGAACGCAAAGTTTTTCCCACTGCTTATTTCTGCACTCCACCACACATGGTTGTGAACACAATCGCTGGTGCCTGCAGCTTTTCCCACACAGTGGAAGTGACCCACCAGGTCGGGGTCCGATGCATCGGGCAGAAACCGATATTATAGTGTCTGCACACGAAGGCCCAGCGCCCTCTTTTTTGGTAAAGGACGGTCGACCTGTATCTGCCGCCTGGCTCGCACGAATTCTGGATTAACTTCCAGCCGATTGACAGTAGTTAATGCCGACCGGTTGAGGCTGATGCGGAAGGGTTTAAATGTAGAGACCTCGACAGGAAGTCTAGGAAGTACCTCTCTCTCCAGGAAGTACCAGTACTTTTGTGTTCAGGAAATCAGACAAATTGGCCATCCAACTATTAACAAACGGCCGTTTTCGCACGCCACATCCAAGGCATAACGCTTGTTGGGAATAATGGTCCAACATTTGTCACAAGTAAGTTTGATATTAACGGATTATCTCTTGCACCGATGGCGTCTGGCCATTTCAACGATCTGCAACGTTGGGCTCGGTGTTTTGGGGATCAATTCTGGATTTGGCAACGAGGTCGCGCACATATGCACGCCCGCTAGTGGTGGCTTTGCTCCAGAATGTCCTTTAGTTCAGAGACTGTCTAAAGCAATGCAGGGATGCATTTGAATATGCTTCACTAAGCGGAGGCTTCATATGCGCGCTTCACAGGACACCGTGGCCCACATGAAGTCCAAAGTATGGCACTTCAGGAAACTGAATTTCTTATTGTGGTTATGTGCAGCATTCCGACCAACACATACATACAGTCCGGCAGTCCGATTTCGGCAGCATATAACAGCCCTCAAAGAACGATATACCAAGATCACGATCTCAGTGCTGAATTATTTTGCTTTGGAGATGTACCTGGCATTTTAAAATGCAGAGTAACATGAATAAAAATGAATAAAATGAATAACGAATTTGCTATTTACTGTGTACAATTTTTGCACTAAAATTACTTGGAACATCCATTCTGTGTACAAATAATGTCGGCGAAGCACTCCTGCCATCGACCTGTTGTCGAAAGGAGGCTAGCTGTGGTGCTTTCTCAGATTCCCAGAAGTCGAGCTGAACAGACATACTTCTGGATCTTCCTTTCGGTTGATTTGATTAAAGCGCCTTTCGCAAACGAGAAAAATAGAAAAATGCGTCTGCAAAATTTGGTAGCCGTTGATGCAACATCGATGAGACCTTGCCTCAACGCCGCTCTAAAGACACGAGGTCTGAAGGTTAGCGTTGATACAAGGGCTTATCAATGTTGCATCAAACCTAACAAATTTCCGCTTGTATCTGAGGGTTGAAAAATGAGTCGTTGATACAGCATTGCTGCAACACCGCTTGTTTGGTAATATAGAAATAATATGCCTTGTTGAAGGGCTGAATAGCGCCGACTTCACAGGGCCATTGTTTCAAGTGTTCACCGACGTTGATGATCGTTGTTTCAATGCCGCCCTTGCAGCA